ACCTAAGTTCAGGTATAAAGGTTAGACTAAGGTCAAAACCAACTTGCTTTTTTACTCAAGGGCTTGCTGTATGGGATAGTTTCTGGTGTTCATTTCGAATTTATTGATAGCAGGAACCGCATTATACATCTTCCATGGTCTTCTTAGAGGTTAGAACAGGTCATTGACCTGAAATGGCACGGGTCAGTATTTTTTTTAGAAGCATTCTGCCTGACGTAGTCTTTGTCGCTTATTCAAATGCAAAAACCAGAGCAGCCTTGTATGATTTTGGTTACAATAACCTTCAAAATGTCAAGCAAGGCCACTGACCTAAACTGAGCATGTGACCGTTGCTTGGAAACAGTTATCTAGGTTATAGGGGCACTTTGGAAACCAACCTGGCATTTGACCTTGTTTGACCTTATTTCACCCGAAGGTCATGACCTAGGAACCTAGAACTTTGACCCAAGTGAGTTCACGTAAAGGTCAGCACACCCTGTAAATTTGGTGTCCCTAGGTCTCTTAGTTTCCGAGACCTCAGTGGGGGGGAGGGCAAATTGATCCCCCACCTTAGCTAAGGGTATCTAGCCGGCCACCCGGGCGCGTGTTAAAGCTCTGATGAATATTCGTTCCTGGTTTCGTTGTCTTTGAAACATTCGTGTGATAAATATGCGCCTCGAATGCCTGACGCGCGGCCCTCGTCATGAAGCTCATCTCAACCAGCAAATCGTAAGCTGAATTGTTCCCATGCCTTAGGGCGACAAATGGCCATACAGATGCTATGCTTGATGCTTCTTGTCTTGCATGCATTTAGCTCATATGTTCATGTACTTGGAGGCTTGCTGTTTCTGTTTTGCTGCATGCATGTAATCCATGTTGTTGGAGCAGCCTGAGCTCCTTCCTAAGTTTGTTAGCCGTTTCGTCTACAACACCCGCCTTCTCCTCCTCACTTATCTTACCTTCGCCAGTCATGACCTGTACTGTCCAATGCTTGCGCTTGCGATCTTCGCTGAAAGGAATGGTTCACTGCATGATTTTATACAAAGGTGACATTTGCTGATACAGTCCCGAATGTGCACATTGCAGTCATCACTGTCAAAAACATGATCATGGACAGAATTTCGCAATCGGGGTGGAAATGTAGGCCACGATCCAAAATTTCACGGAAAAGCTCACTTTGGATAAGCGCCAGCGCGAAATTTCCGCACGGCACATAACACCACCGCATCGCGTCATTCCACTTACTTTCGGGGATGTCTACCGCCACATTTTAATGGCCGACGTGCATTTACATATCAATGCATCCAAAATTGGGAAGTGGAGATGCATCCCCGGGGCCCACTTGAATACGCGCCAGATGACCGATTCTAGACTCCGCCTTCAGTGAACACTGTATGATCACTGTGCAAGATCGTACAGCCCTGTGAGTTCTGACCGCTGAGTCTTGTATACTGGCCTATGTACACTGCCATGCCTTGCAAGGACCGACGCGTCCGGCAATCAGTCCGACGCGTGGGGGGGGGGGGGGGCAGACCGGTGTGTCGGGGTAGGGGGAGCGGACCCACATCGCCCATCCGGGGGCACCGCACCGGTATGTCGGGGTGGGGGATGGGATGGGGAGGGGGCAGACCCACACCGCCCATCCGGGGGCGCCGCACCGGTGTGTTGGAGTGGGGGGGGGGGGGTGAGGGGGAGCAGACCCACACCGCCCATCCGGGGGCGCCGCACCGGTGTGTCGGAGTGGGGGGGGGGGGTGAGGGGGAGCAGACCCACACCGCCCATCCAGGGGCGCCGCACCGGTGTGTCGGAGTGGGGGGGGGGGTGAGGGTAGGGGAGCAGACCCACACCGCCCATCCGGGGGCGGCCGCACCGGTGTGTCGGAGTGGGGGGGGGGGGGGGGTGAGGGAGAGCAGACCCACACCGCTCATCCGGGGGCACCGCACCGGTGTGTCGGGGTGGGGGATGGGATGGGGAAGAGAGCAGACCCACACCGCCCATCCGGGGGCACCGCACGGTGTGTTGGAGTGGGGGGGGGGGGTGAGGGGGAGCAGACCCACACCGCCCATCCGGGGGCGCCGCACCGGTGTGTTGGAGTGGGGGGGGGGGTGAGGGGGAGCAGACCCACACCGCCCATCCGGGGGCGCCGCACCGGTGTGTGTCGGAGTGGGGGGGGGGGGGGTTGAGGGGGAGCAGACCACACCGCTCATCCGGGTGACCGCACCGATGTGTTGGAGTGGGGGGGGCTGAGGGTGGGGGAGCAACCCACACCGCCCATCCAGGGGCACCCCACCGGTGTTGTGGTGGGGGGTTGAGGGTGGGGGAGCAGACCCACACCGCCCACCCGGGGGCACCGCGCCGGTGTGTCGGGTTCCTCACTCCTGTTTGCATTGCAGAGGAGCCCAGCGCGGCGTGAAGCCCAGCTCCTGGCGCCTGCCGATCAGGACAGTTAGTTCTCGCTGTTCCATGGCAAGCACCGCTCTCCCAAGAAGGAGCATAACGGCTGTCTTTTGAAAACAGACATGACGAACGATGGAATGGTGGCGTAATCCGCTGCCCAAATTTTGGTGTGCATGAGTTACAACGTGAACTTCGCGTTAGAGAAATTCAGAGTTGTGAGGGTTGCAAGGAAAGTTGGTTTTGATTACACAGCATCCGCTATTCTGCATCTTCGTCCACGAAATTGTCATGCTCACCAATGCAGTTTTTTGACAATTGTTGTGAGCAGCCCGCCTGTTCGACAAGCAACACTTGGCTGCGCCCTAGGCCGCCCCTCGCTCGGCGCGCGTCCGGCGTTCCCTAGCAACGGTATACGAAAGGCGTGGGCCCCCGGGGCAAAAGTCAGCTGACGCTGGGCGGGGGCGATTTATGTTCGCAGTGAACAAACACACAGTACCAGGTATACCTGGACGTGTTGGCCTTCTTTTGTCCATGGTTCATGCTTAAAGCTGCATTCGTGAAACTCGGAAACTGGGAATTGAAAGCTTACTCCAACATTCGTCACTGTCACAAACAGATCACGCTGCGAAATGTCTCCCAAGCGCCATAGGCAAATCTGGCTTTGAACTCGCCAGTCGCCAGCCATTTGCATGCAGCGTTAAGGCGGCTCCTGTTGCTTTGCACCCGCCTGTGTTTGTGGGCCAAGGCTAACAGCTGACGGCTGGCGGGGCCGCCACGTGATCACGCCGCGGACGATGGCGTCCGGTAGCCTGACGATGGTGTCCGGTTACCGGACGATGGCGTTCGATAGCCTGACGATGGTGTCCGGCTACCGGACGAGGTCACTACCATGGTAGTCAAAAGGCGACAAAATGGTAAAAAAATGTCACAATCATCCGTATCCTCGACATTTAAGAGATTGATTTTTAAGAGACTGATTTTCTGATAAGAGACTGATTTTCATACAGCGGGTGAGGTCTGTCAAAAACAGAGGATTACGGACGCTAAATTCGCTGGCTTTATCGTCGCTTTCCACTCATTTTATGCTTGTCACCTTATTAGAAGCCTCTTCAATATGGAGCTGAGGAATCACTCAAAATTAAGAGTAAGCCACGTATCTTTAGATGAAGCAATATGATGGGTCCGAACAGTTTAGAATGAAAGTGTGGCATTCCTTCTCAAACCATTTTTCAGTGCACGCGTAGAGACGTCCACCATTGTTGGCTTAGGAAGCCTTCCTGCAGGTAACAGCTGCAATTTCCTCTAAATTGAAGATTTCCGTAGCACATTACACAGCCTTGTCAGCTGACCATGCCTTGCCTTCGCTAGACAATACAAAGTGGATGCCTTGGCGTGACTCGTCTCTGTTTAGCTCGTCCTGCCATATCCGACGGCCCTGTCGGCTGCGGGTTAAGCGGAGTCGCAGTGGCGGCACGTGGTGACGGAGCGGGACGGGCCATCCTCCGGCCGAGTCCCCCGACTTCTAGTGCGCCGTGTCGCCGTGATGCAGGGCGACACGCGTTGAAGCATTGGGAGAGCGCAGACATGATGGCACGCATTTTTGGTAGCTTTCAACCATCATTTCCCCTGGTTAGGCACCCGGTAACGCTGCCCCCCCCCCCCCCCCCCCCGCTCTTCTTGGAGTAAATGCCTGGTATGTATCGTATGCATATGACTTAAGAAGAAGCCAACGGTATCTAGTTTTAAGGTACTATGCTATTCTTAAAGACTTAAGCATGACTTGTTACCCCAACCCGGCGTCACGTTACACTGTCCAAAGCTCCTCCTCCCCCCCCCCTGTTACGCTTCCGTTACTCCCTCTCTCTCCTCTATATGTATCGTACTTTCTGGAAGGCCTCATTAGCTGGCACCCCTTGGAGTCCGTGCCTATTTCCGTTGGGCGTCGCTTGATACAATGCCTTTTAACGGGTTTATCACGATGGCTTTATCACGAGCATGCTCTCCCTTCAGGCTCAACGATGAATCGCGAAAGGATTTGTGCTGATTGGCAATAAATTTATTTGCCAGCCCTGGAGACCAGCTGTGTGGAATCAAGGAACTGCCAACGTTTTGGTGTATCGGCGGCAGGATGGAGCCCAAAATTTGTGTTTTCTCCGGCCTTCGCCAAATCCTGTATACGCCGCCTGTTTAAAAAATCTTAACGACGCGATGATTTGGTTTTTGCAGATGTGATGTGCACTAACTTGAAAAACTGGTCAACGGGGAAGAGTTAGATTATGGCGTGCGTCGTAACGCCGCGACAGAGTCTGACCACACCAGTGACGTAATGAGCCATATCTTGTTGTTCTTGTTGTCTGTAGATAGCATGGACACAATCTGTGACGAAGTGTACGCCATGATTTCGAACGCGTTATCTTGTGTCAAACCATGCTTCTATTTCGCACATGTATTCCATCATCACAGCCTAAAGCAGTAGAATCACCACAAAAACAGATCGGAAACCAGCTCATACTCTCAAACCGGTCGCTTTCAGTCCCCGCAGCCTTCACAGTAAGCGTCCCTATTTGCTCACTACCCCCCGCGATGTGAGAGGTCCCGCTGATGGTGCCCGCCGGCGACGGCAGGGGCGACCGCGGCGGCCGCGGCGGCAGGCCGGGGTGGTGTTCGGCGACGGTGTCACCCAGGACTCGGGCCCCTGGGACTTCTGGGAGCAGGACTCGCTCTGCTCACGCTCCTGTGGCGGCGGGGTCACCCGCCAGGTCAGACGGTGCCTTCGGCAAAGGTCAGTGCTCGACCGCCCCTGGGCATGGCGATTGGCAATGGTCGCGCCTGCATGAAGATTATTGTGGGACGTTGCAGAAGGCCGCCAATGTGACGCGCGGTCAAAGCAGCCGAGTTTGATGATTCATGGAAGGAAATCATCAGAGTCTCTGCGTCACTGGATGGATTTCAGGACATGTATTGCTCGTCTTGGTCAATTTGCCGTCACAGCGAAAAATGACGCGTTCCTCTCGTGAGCAAGGCAGCCGTGCCTTTGAGTCGGTGAACGAGTGGTCTGTCGCCAGAGTCGACGGGTCGTCCGAGTGCGCCGGGCCCAGCACGCGCTACCAGTCCTGTAACGTCCAGGTGAGAGGAGTGACGGGTTGTTCAGCAGCGACCCCCCCCCCCCCCCCCAGACGGCCCGGATCGAGCCCAGCAGGGTACTCAGCAGGCAGCGCCAGGAGGCCCTGATCTCCTAGCGCTAACGCTCCTCGGGTGCACCGCCGCCTCCCTCCAGTAGAAAGTCCTGATTTCAACCGTCCTCATAAGGGACATTGGAACGCTCAGCATTGATGGGTTGAGGTAGGCGTCGCCTTTGGTCAAGGCCTTCCTCCACGCATTGGCTGTCTTATTTCATTTGGCCTTGGTCCGAAAATGGCGCCACCCTCAGCCATTTCAGTGACGGGAGCATGTACAGGCCGTAGAGCTCGACTGCTGGCGCTCTTCCCTGGTGGTCGTGCAAACCCCTCGCACAGCGCCGTGAGTGGTCGGCCAGTCCGTCCTGACGTACTCATGCTGTTGTCCTCGTTGTAGTACTCATGCTGTTGATGTTGTAAAACCGCAAGTACTTTTTTGGTGTTTTGACGGCAAGCGCATTCGCACGTCCCAACCCGACTGCGCCCAGTGGTAGCACCGCCGTTGATGAGCATGTTCGTCAGCCCTGCCCAGCCGGCTCGAAAGACTTCCGAGAGGAACAGTGCTCCTCGTTCGACAGCACCGCCTTCGAAGGCCGATTCTACAGGTGATGTCTAGACGCAGCCGCCCTCGGTGCTCGCGGACAGTCGCCACGTTCTTAAGGCCCGATTTCAGCGTCGCATTTGCCTGCTTCTAGTGTTTGTGGTGTGTGTGTGGGGGGGGGGGGGGGGCGATGGCTGCTCCGAGCGGTGTCTGATTCCGTCCGATGTTGTGAGTCGAGCTGGTAACTGGGTTATTAAACATACGTTATAACGTTCTGCTCTGGCGTTCGCACACCAATGTCAGCTTCCGTGCTGTTCAACTTCAGTTCAGCCTGCCCCGTCACGTCGAGTGCAAGTCAAATCATTACGGATGACATAATCCAGAAGTGACCACTCAAGGTGTTAAGGTGATCACAGTCGATCAAGGATCACTCTCCGCCAACGTCACCTCGACCATACGGCCTCGAGACCTGACGTTTGCTGGCAGATGGGTGCCGTATCTGCGAGCGGCCAATCAGTGCGAGCTGAACTGCAAGCCTCAGGGGGAGCGCTTCTACTACCGGCAGCGGAGGAAGGTGACGGACGGCACCAGCTGCGGCGAGGACGGCCTGGGCATCTGCGTCGACGGCCAGTGCAGGGTAGGTCAGGCGGCCGGCCCCCTTTGGATAAACCCGGCCCCTCCCGAGGCCAGCGGTGATCGGAGTCGGCTTCATGACAGAACCAGCAGCGATGAACGCGGACGCAGGCTCGCGGCACGGATTCATTTACACGTGCAGTGAGGATGGGAGCATGCTGTCACTCACCCGGGAGCTCTACCGCCGCTGTCTCAGCGCCCTCGCGCCTGACCGCCTGACCCTCGCACCGCGCCGTGCCCGTGTTCCAGCGCGTCGGCTGCGACCGGCTGCTCGGCTCGACTCGGCAGGAGGACGAGTGCCGCGTCTGCGGCGGCGACGGCAGCACCTGCCACACCGGCCAGGGCGTCTTCGACTCCAACGACCTCCAGCAAGGTGCCTACACACACACCGCCTGGTGGGCAGGGTGGTTATGGAGCTCCAAGTAGAGTAGTTTTGCGCTTTATTCTGCCCAGGGTGGCTCCGAGTGAGTGTTGCGCGGACATTTGCCGTTCCATTCATTGCGTACATCAAAGAAACGCCGTTTCAATGGGCTGCATGCGTTGAGACAACCGCAGTCAGCGTGCTCATTCATAGCATTTGATGAGACCCCAGTCGCCAGCTGTTTCAACTTTGTACACCGCATTCGCTCTGCGTCACGAGCCCGCCGCGGTCAGCACGCAGATAGGCTGAGTACCGCAACCTTCTCACCGACAGAATTTTGTGCCCGCTGGGAATGTCCTGATGTTCGCTGTGGTGTGGAAAAATGGTGTTGGTAATTGTGGTGAGGATTGTGATAGGAGGACACCTTTCCAGGGTACAATGACATTCTGCTCATCCCCGCGGGCGCGACACATATCTTTGTGGAGGAGCTCAAGTCGTCGAGCAACTACCTCGGTGCGTATGAGCGCGGTGGTGGCAAGCTGAGCAAATATGTCCCCGTCGCTCTTCGGTTCGTCGTTCTTCGTCAGGCGGGGGATCTCAAATCACGTATGGTGGGATGGTGAACGTATCATGCATCGTACCGATTGAATGGATATTGAGCTTAAAGATGCAAGTCTCCGTTTCCACCGTTTTCGAGGATGTCCCCGCTCCTTAGGTTCACCAGTGCCACGACATGCATTTAGGTACGACACGGATCGACGCGGAGTGACGCTATCCCCGGGTGGGACACGACATTCGAGCACGTCCTCATCATGCGCCGGTCACCCCGGTTCGACCCTCGGTCTCGGTCCTTCGCCGGCCGCCACGCGCGCCTGCCCGCGTCGTCAGCAGTCCTGTGCCGCAGCCATCCGCAACCTGACGGGCCACTTCTACCTGAACGGCAACTGGCGGATCGACTCCCCGTCCAGCCGCACGTTCGCCGGCAGCCGCTTCCACTACGAGCGGCGCCGCGCCGGCTTCTTCGGGCCGGAACGGCTGCGCGCGCTGGGGCCCACCACCGAGCCGCTCTACGTTGTGGTGGGTGATGGGGCCGCGGGACCCGGTGCGTGTGTGTATGCGACATGATCAGTTTGGCATACAGTAGGCAGGATTGCCGCCGTTGTCGGACACTCGAATTCCGCGAAAGGGCTTTAGCCCAGCGCTACATTGTAGGACGACGTCGCCTGGAACATCGCTCAGCTTTCCATCGAGACTGCCGTTAATGTTCTTTCTTGTCACAGCTCCTGTACCAAGAGTTCAATCCTGGAATCCAGTACAGGTACAGCGTACCGAAGACAATCGCCGAATCGGGAAAGGCCGAGTACTCGTGGGTACCGGACGAGTGGTCCGATTGCTCCGCAATCTGTGGTACAGGTACGACACAGCACTGTCTATTCCCAGGTATCCCGCTTTTTCTCTCGAGCGCATTTTGTTGAGACGCCACAAAACAGATATGCAGTTTAGATACGGCTCTGGGTTTGTTAAGAAATCCTCATGTCAAAACTCTCTGCGAAGACATCTGAGTAGCGCACGACTCCCGCCAGGGGTGCGGCGGCGTGAGCTCCGATGCGTCCGAGAAGAAGACGAACAGAAAGTGTCCGAGGACCTGTGCGACGTGCTGCAGAAGCCGACGGAGTCGGAGTCGTGTAATGAGCATCGCTGCCAAGCCAGGTGCACGCCCTAAGCCGCCGGGAGCGGGAACCATGGCGGCTGCTCACGGGTGGCGTATTGGAGTCATGAAATACGCCCCTTTGGGGACGAGACAATACACGCCCCTTTGGAGAGTCATAATACGGCCCTTTGGAGACGAGGCATTCCGGTCGGCAGCTTGGGCGAAGCCGTCTGTCCGTTAAGACTGGCGTGTTCATTCTATGAAGCGCTGAGGATATGTTCTAGACCGACTGTTCGTGCCCTGCCCCTCCCCCTCCCTCCGCACACGCACACAGATGTCACTCACTGTTGGTGTGCCGCGCCCAGCTGGCAGGTCGGCAACTGGTCGGAGTGCTCTGCCGACTGCGGCCAGCAGGGCGTCCAGTTCCGGTCTGTCACCTGTCAGCAGAGGGTCACTGCGCTGGTGAACGCGACTGTCGCGGATGACCAGTGCCTCGAGGGGGCGCCGCGGCCGGACGAGTCGCGCCCCTGCGCGGCCGGCCCGTGTCCCAGCTACCACATTGGCGACTGGTCGCCGGTGGGTGTCCGGCCGGAGCGGAGGTCACTGACCCGGACCGTGTCGGCAGGGTTCGGACCGGTGCGGGAGCCCACTGCGCCACGGGATTGCCCGCACCCTCGCGGAAAGTGACGTGCCATTAAGTCTGCGGTGGTATGTTCATGAGCGGGGGGCAGAATTCATAATGTGTGGGCTACCAAGAGACCAATCGTCCTGCTTACGTCATGAGACGGGGCTAGAGGTGACATCTGGTATCACCTAATCGTGTAAGGATATGTGCGCGTGCTAAAGCCCAACCCCGTCACTGCACAACACTCAGTTTGACCAAGATACGCCTGCTTGGGGCTGTCTTCTTGCGTGGGTCTGGCCGCCCAGTCCCGGCCGCCAGTGACCAGAATGTCCTCTCCGGCGTGGCTGACCGCATGTGACCCCGCCCCGGCAGTGTGACCGCCTGTGTGGCGAGGGGAGCCGCACGCGCCAGGTGCTCTGCCATCGCGAGACAGCCGAGCGGACCGAGCTGCTGCCAGACTCTGGCTGCGACGGAGCCCGGCCAAACGGCACAGAGCCGTGCATGCGCCGGCCCTGCGACGGCGTCGACTGGGTCACCTCCGACTGGGGAGGGGTGGGTCACCTCTAACTGGAAAGGGGTAGATCACCTCAGACTCCTGGAGAGGGCTTGTCGAAGAACTGCGACTGTGCAGACCACAGGCGTCTCGTCTCATGTATTTATGCCACCTCTGCCCAGCTTTCCGCGGAGCTTAGTAGGACGGCTGATAGTGACTCGTCCACTGCCGCAGGCTCCATCAATATCCTCGTGCCACGCACAGCGGTCACACGGCTACCCATCTATACGGGCCTAGAGTCCGCTGAAATGGTGGTTCGAACCTCGGTTTACTGAGATCATCTGTCCTGAAATGCTGTGCAAACTCCCGCGAATGCCTGTGCCATCTCTTTAACGACCTCCCACCCGAAGCTGCAGCAGTGGGACCAGCCCCAGGCAGCGTCTGGTGTCCGAGGGCGTGACGGCCGCCGGTCTGCTCCGCAGTGCGCAGGAGCGTGCGGCCTGACGGTGCAGTCGCGCACCGTTCAGTGCGCCAGCGAGGCGGGTCACGTGTACGAGGAGCGGTTCTGCCACGCGGTGCGCCGGCCCGCCCCCAGCCAGCCGTGCGCCGGCGCTCCGGACTGTGCCTTCATCTGGTACGCCACCCAGTGGAGCGAGGTACGCACCCCGCCGGACAGCGGGATAGGGCTCAGCGCGCGAACCGCGGCGGGGCGCCGCCTCGCGGCAGCTGGGGCCCGTGGTGTTCCAGTAATGTTTTCACTCTCGTCTCCGCAGCACGTCCGCGACCGTGTGTAGCATCTGCCTCGGTTTGTGGCTGGATCCGTACTCAGTCTTGCGATTCGATTCAGGGTTAGTGGTATCCTTCCACGGATATCGACTTGGTGGACGCAATCGAGTGAGAGTTTGTTGCACGCTGAGAACTTTTTCGCATTTGGAAGCTTTCGTTGCCCTGTCCACTGTTAGTCTCATCTAACTCAGGTGCGCCCTGCTTTGTCGACAAGCGTTGCGCAGCTGATCAAATTATGCCCACGTTTACCGCAATTCTCTTCTTACCGTAACTCGGTTCCTTTTCCTAGCAGCGTGCTCCCCAGCTGACTGTGCGAGGCTCGTCACGTGACGCCATGGCTCACCTCTGGTGATTAGGATACCAGCCAGCTGATGTATGTGCCGTGTCCGTGCTGGTGTATCTCGACCGACTCATTCATCCCAGCTGAACTGGCCCGCGTATCGCACATCCGCCGCCACGACTTACCTCAGCTGACCTGCCCGGCATCTGCTGACCTGACCTTGGCCTGTACGAACACGATCTTTCCTCAGCTGACCTCACCTGACATGACCTGCCCTCAGCTGACCTGACCTGGGTCTCTACAAACAAGATCTACCCTCAGCTGACCTGACCTCTTCCTCGGCCAACACGAATTTCTCCTCTGCCCTTACCTGCACCCTGCTGATAGGACATACCCCCCGGCCGCCCTGACGCGGACATGGGCTGTGCCCCTCCCGATGACCCCCTGCCCTGCGGCAGTGTTCTGCCGCTTGCGGGCCCGGCCTGCAGAGCCGCAGGGTGTTTTGTGGCGCGGTGGACGAGGCCGGCCTGATCTCCACCGTGGACGAGGCCAACTGTGACCCAGCGCGGCGCTACGAGCCGACCCGGCCGTGTGAGGGCGACCGGCCGCCACCGTGTCCGGCCGCCTGGCGCACGTCGCCCTGGGGCCCGGTGAGTGGCCCGCCGAACACCACTCGCTGGACGTCTCCGAGACGTTCCGTGATTCGTCGTCTCTCGACATGTCTCAGTACCCTTCACTTCTCCTGGGGGGTCCTGATATGACGTGTTTGCGCGAGAAGACCTCGATCCTGGTGTCTATGGAGCGACGCAAAGCTCAAGAGACGCTGTCTCGCTGTGAGTTCGCCCGATAGATTCGTTGTCAGGAGAGCGCCGCCGCCGACTGCCTTCGAGGAGGTCCGTGACGCCGCGTGCCTCGCGCGTGTTCTAGTGTTCCGCCTCGTGCGAGAAGGGCACGCAGACGCGGAAGGTGTTCTGTGCGGACGATTCGGGCCGGGTGGAGTTGAGCCGATGCGACGGCACGAGCATCCCCTTCACGCTCCAGGACTGCAACGACATCGCCTGCGCCGACGCAGGTCGGTGACTGCGCTGAGCCTTCGCCACCAGTCGGAAAGCAGCTCAAGTTCTGGCGGCACCCGTGACGCAACGTCGTGGCTGCTCGTCACGACTGGCTGCTCGTCAGAATCTGTCGCTTCGGCATGGTGTACGCTGTGTTGAAGCTGCTCGTCGCAAGCTGTCGCTTCGGCATGGTGTACGCTGTGTTGAGGCTGCTCGTCGGAAGCTATCGTTTCAGCATGCTGTGTTGAGGCTGCTCGTCGGAAGCTGTCGCTTCGTCATGGTGTACGCTGTGTTGAGGCTGCTCGTCTGGACTTGTCGCTTTGGCATGGTGTACGCTGTGTTGAAGCTGCTCGTCGCAAGCTGTCGCTTCGGCATGGTGTATGCTGTGTTGAGGCTGCTCGTCTGGACTTGTCGCTTTGGCATGGTGTACGCTGTGTTGAGGCTGCTCGTCGCAAGCTGTCGCTTCGGCATGGTGTACTGTGTGCTGTACTGGTGATCGATACTCTGGACGCAGTTAGTTTGTTGCATTTGGTTTTCTCAAAAAATATCGTCCTCAACGTAGAGCCAATAACATCAATGGATGATATTTCGGTATCTTTTGACATCCACTGAGTGATCTAGGTTGAAACGTTCTGGGCGCTCTTCCAAACGGATGCAATCCTTTTGCAGAATTGTTAAAGCAGTTGGAAGTGGCCACACAGACGTACATCCCATCAGCAGCCGACGAAGATTGCCTCGATTACGACGACTACGTAAGCTCCGCCCAGCAGTCATCTGTACGCTAACAACTTCAGTGTCAATCCCTCAACACTGGCACGCTGGGAAGGGCGTCCATTTGAGCAAAGAATCAGGGCCTACAGACCTCGCAGCTAATATGTTTCAAATATTGTCCTTAAGTCACTGAGCTTTTCCATGTTTTGATTCATGTTGTTCGTGACTTCCAGGTGCAGGAAGTTTGAAAGGAATGGTTGGGGTAGTTCGCTTTTTAGTTGCATTGATCTTTACTTTCGCCACCGTCCATTTATTTCATAAATCAGTATTCAGTCCAAACATTTTAACCGGTTGAATTTCAGGGATCAGAGCTGTTTTATGAATTTCAGCCATACTATACGATTGTGAAATTCTAACCCAATGACATAATTCTGTGGCGAAATCTCAACGTACCAGTGCTCGGCACACAGTCTGCACTGTCCTTTAACCTCATCTTCCCTGGAGCCACCGCTTCCACCGACCGCAGGCCACCCCAGCCAGGGACAAATAGCGAGCGCCAAAGTGACTCGAACCCATCCACCCCGGCACGGGTAGGATGGAAGGCAGGCGCTCGAAGCTATCGAGCCACGGGGCGGAGTTAAACATCGCTTTGGTTCCAGTATTATTCCGTTGCGGTGCCAGGCAACGGAGCGCCGGCAATGACAGCTAATAGAGGGATTGGGCGGACCGAAAGTTTGTTTGTGAGCTAAATGCGTAGAGGCTCCGATCTTTCTCTCGATTCACTTAGAACATTCTTGTTTACAAGGCGTTTGCTGTTCACGCGCAAAGACTATACAATTGTAGCTTTTGTATAGTAATATATATAATATTTGTATGTATAATATATAATAATACATATAAATAATATTTTTATATAATGTTTTGCTATAGTAATTGTAGCTAACACCGGGCTTATGACAGGGCGCTGAAGGTGTCAAGGGTTTTCAAGTGGTGTGCCATTTTATAACGGTGGTTTAGTTTAAAGTGTAACTGTGGAAGTCAGCACAAAAAATGATACGTTGTCAGTTGTTCGGTATGACTTGGCGTTGAGAAGCAGCATACCTGACGGCATGTCTGTGTATGTAGCAAAGATAAACTGGACAACTTCATGGTAGACCGAATCCTTCGCTCAACACCACTGATCTGTAACTCTCCATAACCGCATGCCCCTCGTGGCGACCTTCTGCTTCCGTCACTCCCATCCATCCCTCCTCGCTGACGTCACTGACTTGCTCCGCCGCCAGGAGGACGAGGCCGGCTCGGGCAGCGGCTCGGGCGAGGCACCGGACGCGCCCCGGCGCGAGCACGCCACCTTCAGTGACCTGCTGGCACGCGCGCTGGACTCGATCGCGGACGAACGCTCCAGTGGCGACGGTTCCGGAGCCGCCCTCGAGGAGACGGCGGACTGGGACGCGTCCGGCGAGCAACCGGACGACCTCGCCGCCCTGCTGAGGGCGTCGGACGCGGCCTCGGGAGACGGCTCAGGGGACCTGAGGGCAGACCGGGGCGACGGAGCGCCCGGGGACTTGTTCGAAGACGCGTTTGGCGCGGCGTCCGAGGTTGCTCTGCGCAACCAGACGCTGACGACTTCGCCTCGCCAGCGACGGCAGGCCTCCAACGACGACCAGCCTCTGGAGGATTTCTCCGGGTCAGGAGCGCTCGAATCCGACGTCGTCCTCCTCGCCGGACGGTCCCGCAGACTTGGCGGGGGAGCCGTCGTCTGGCCAGGAGCGTGACGTCGGTGAAGATGTGTACGACTATGGAGATGGTGGTCCAGATCTTGGATACCTCTTCGGAGATGCCTCGGGCGACAAGGAGTTAGAAGGCAAGTGGTTCCATGTTCCTTGCAGCGCACACGCTTCCGCGAATAGCGTCAGCTTCAGCTTTCTTCCCTTTGCGTGCTTCGCTTTTCGTAACCATATCACATCAGCGGCAATGCCACAAGGCCTGACAAAACTACGACATGGTATTTTCACCACACCCAACTCTGACACGCCTTCACGCGTTCGTGATTCAGCATGGTGTGTAATCTTTCAGTCGTGCTGGCGTCCTGTATTCCAGTGTCCGTTCTCCGACACCAGATACCATTCTTCGACACCAGATAGCCGGGGATGCGGTGCTAAAGGCTGCCACACACTGGCCAATTCGCTCTGCGATGTTGCCCAGCGTCTCGGCTGCTGCTAGCGATCTGTCTGCTCTGCTTGACCTTGACCCTGTTGTCGACTTGAGCTTGCTGAAGCAGCCGCGCAAAATTCGCAGTGATAAAAGCTGGGCACGATTGTCTAATATCGGCTATTGCCGTCTTCATAGTGAGAGCACTATGCGACGCCAGCCACCTGATAGCACTTTTCAAGGTCATCGGCTACGAAACCGGGTAGATGCTTCCCGGAACACAAATGTGTGCCATGCAGATAACGCATAAGGCCCAATCAGAATTTCGTACAATTTCCAGGAGAAAACTGTGGTAATATGTGGACTTGTCGACATCTTATTTATTCATATAGCCAATAATCCGGGAACGCCGAGGTAACATTGCAGGCGCCTGCCAAGCGGCTGCAATTGTGTAGCCGATAAATATGGCCGTTGACCGATGAGACGCGGGCGATATCTCCGACCGAACTAGTAGCGTGCCAACGCGCCAGCATAAGGATGAGGTTAAATATATTAACTGACGCAATGACGTTACAAATTGGCGCTGAGTTGAATTGGAGGCTCATAAACCTAGTTAAAATGAATTGAGCTGGAACACCCCAGAAGTAAGATTGTAGGAAGCAGGATAGCATTCAGAAAATATCAAATCCATTCCCATCATGCTCACCTGTACGCATTGCGTGATTGGCCGGGTGCATAACAGCTAGTCTGCTGTGGGATAGGCGGCGAGTCGCAGGCGCGATGTTTGGACATCCTCGAGACAGTCGTTCAGCGGACTCACGGTACTGGGTGTGTTCTACTTGTAAACGACGTCTCATGAGCTACTCTCCCGCGTATCCGACCAACCGAAGGACAAAGTAAAGAGTACGGTGCTTTGTCGTATTCATTGAGTGAATAGGAATACCAGATAGTGTGCATTGTACCCGCAACACGCATGACCCGTTCCTGAGCAAAGCCGGTGTTATAAGCAGGACAGCACCATCTCACCGGAGGCGAACGGCCCGGCCGCTCCGTGCACGTGTCCATGTACGGTCTCCGAGCCGCCGCGACCCTGACCGCCGTCCGGCGGCTGGCTGACGACCCGCGGCGCCGGCAGACCTATTTCCGGACCTGGCGGCGCCGCGGCCGCGCGCCGGCTTCCGGCGGAAGTGCCGGCCACGCGCGGTGCGGCTGCTCTGCGGCCCGTCCACGTTCGGCTGCTGCCCGGACGGGCTGACGGCGGCGGCCGGGCCCTTCCTGCAGGACTGCCCGAAGGTCGGTGCTCTGGGCCAGCGCGCCGGCGCCGGGCCGGCCGCCTCACCGGCCAGCGGATGTAAATGGTGGAATAAGAGGGGGAGGGGTGCACTCCCAGTCCGTTCAGATCGGTTGTATCGTCACGGAAAGCTCCGCACTTGAGCGTTTGCATTTTCCTCGCCACTTTTCCACACCTGACGGCGACGAGCGATGCCCTAGTGCCACCAGGTTTGCGAGGCTCGGGGGCCGCCTTGTTTACGCTGGCTCGTCATTGGTTTCAGTGTGGTGTGGAATAACTCACGGCTTCAACGTGGCCCAGTCCCGCGGGCATGACCCTGTACAATGGTGTCAGTGACCTGTGATTCATTCGTCGCATTTGGTTGTGGCAGGGCCGGCAGGAGCCTTCGTGAACCACATGCTTTCACATTTCCGTTTTTAATAGTGTTCCTAGCCTTATCGCGTGTGTGATTTGATGAGGCTGCGTTGCGACCGACAGTCTACTGCTGGAGCACGACAGACCCGCGAGGCGACCTCAAGTCCACGTGCGGGTCATCCCCCCCCTCCGGACTCCCGCATGACGCACCGTCGCCTTCACCTGCCGCCGCCGCCCGGCAGGTGATCTCATGTCCGACCCTCCCCCTCCGGAGACCGCGTGACGTACCACCGCCGTTACCTCCCCCGGTGACCGGCAGGTGACCTCCTGTCAGCGGACGCGGTTCGGCTGCTTGCCCGGACCGGAGACGCCGGCCGACTCGGAGGAGCGCACCGCGTGCCCGCCGGCTGCCGACTGCGACCGCTCCTTGTTCGGCTGCTGCCCGGACGGCTTCAGCGAGCGGACCGACGCGGCAGGCAGCACCTGCCCCGAGCTGGGCACGCCGTGCAGCACCAGCAGGTTCAGCTCGGCTCGCCGCAGACCGTCGCTCCCGGAGAGCCGATGACCCGTGGTGAACCACAGTGGGCGTCGTTCGGGGCAACGGCTGTGGTCGGTGATCACGTCCGTGCAGTGCAGTGTGATGGTGACGTCTTGATATCGCCCTTTTTTAAGTGACGTCGCGAGCGATTCTTTGTCAACGAGGAAGCACGCGACCACCAACCACCAGCAGCTGACGCGTCGATGTTTTGCGTCGCATGTGTCCTGGGACACTCGCTTTCATAATACTACCTTGCCAGTTATTACCACGGTTACTGGATCTACCGGGTACTGGCTACGGGTTATTGCTGGCATTTATGACTATGTGGTCAAGTATCCTGTCATTCAAGTGTTGAGCATCTCGTGGCATTCATTTGCAGCATTTGTGCAGTGCACTTTTGCAGACAGTAGTGATGGCCTTATTCCTCGTAGAAAATACCAGAACAATAAAGGAATAGATGCGTTTGGCGCCTTTATCTCTCCCATTCTCCTGTTTTCTCTTTCTACGAGGAATGAGGTCATTACTACTGTCTTATCTATATGCAGCACTTCCCACTGATTTTTTGGTTTGGTGGTTTGTTTGCGGTTTGTACACCGGAAGCCGCCGCGCCGCCAGATACGGCTGCTGCCCGGACGGAGAGCACGCCGCCGAGGGTCCGTTCGGCGAGGGGTGCCCCGGAGTGCGGCCCACACCCGTGCCGTCCACCGACCAGCCGCCAGAACGTCACCGCTCGCAACTGCAACGAAACTGAGTAAGCAGCGCGGCCAACCGACAGTAGGGTTCGAACGGAAGGCGGGCCGCCGCGCTGAGGCTCCCGCCTGCACGACTGTCGTTCGATGGTTCGGAGCCGCTGGTCCACGTCTTCTGGCGTGTGTTCGTTGTGATCTACGGAGTCAAACCGTGCCCGATAGACGATAGCTGCGACGTTGTGCTGAGCGTGACGTCCTGTTCGTCCACAAGCTGTCCATGAGTGCTGCCAGCTGACCTTTACCCGATGGACAGCGCGCTAAGCAGACGACGTGACGCCGCGGTCTTCCTGGTGACCACTAGTTTCTGCGGGTAAAGCTACTTTACGTATTCGTTTGAATTTGGCCACGGCGCCTGTGGCTATATGGATTGGTGGGGAATGCCGTGCAACAGGTGCGACAGCGACCATACAAACCTTGATTTGCAGCGAGCCATATCATGACGTTTCTAAGGTCAGTCTTCAACACGCGTTTAGCACATTTCCTCACCGAGGAAAAAAAGGAGGAAGTGTGTTCGGGCTGCTGGTACATATCAACATCCAATGGCAATTTTCGCTCGTGCTTGTGTTGACCATTTTCGACCTACGAGTGAGGTGACACATGCTGCTGCACCTAGCCCGCGCTGACCCCCGGAGTCTAATGCTTACTTGATTTGTTGAACATCGAGGGGGCTGTCCCACATAGGGCTACAGCTACCTCTGTACTTACAGGAAAGAACGCCTGAATGTGAAAAGGAAAAGCACAATCGTCAGTTTCGTTGTGCGAAATGTGATCACACGTTGTATGTAGTGTTGTAATGTAATACGTTGTCGCTGTAGAATCACCAAATAATCCGGTTACCACGTTTAACAAAGCAAGTAAGCATTAGACTCCGGGGGTCAGCGCGGGCTAGGTGCAGCGGCATGTATCACCTCACTCGTAGGTCCGAAATGGTCTACACAAGCACGAGCGAAAATTACCACTGGATGTTTTTGTGTACTAGCAGCCCGACCACTTTTTCGGTGAGGAGATGTGCTAAACGCATGTTGAAGACTGGTCTTAGAAACGTCAAGATACGGCTCGTTGCAAACCACGGTTTGTGTGGTCGCTGTCGAGGACTGGTGGTGTCGTGTCGAGAACTGGTGTTCGGGTCGGCTCCAGGTCACCGACCGACCAGCGAAAAAACAACATGTAGGCTTCGCAGCTGTTTGAGCGGTGCATGTGGATGGGGCGGGCATTGAAGCCGTACCCGTGCCAGGCTCCCAAAAAGGCATGTTTGCGGTACAACGTGTAGTAGCCTGAGTGCGCCACGCCGGAATGCTGTGTTACGTCGTCTGCTGCTGGGGGAGCAGGCGGCTGACACAGGGCAGCTCATAAATCTGGAAGCAGCACTGCCAATAAATCCGGACTCTCGACGCGGCAAAGTATGGCGACAAGTCCAGGCCACTGGCGGAGAAGTGCACTGTGGTATTGAGCTTGTGCCCGTTCTGATTCAACTGCATCAAGAAACGTCTCAGGTGCACCACAAAGATGCGTGGGAACCTCTAAATCTTAAACATTTTGGAGCACTTTTGGCGCTTCTGGCGCGTGGAACACGTGGCTTTTCTTCTCCGTCAAGCACCTCTTCCCTGGTAAAAAGGTCAAAGCAGCTATGCACGCCCACCGGAGCCGTCATGGAGGGGATCGGTAGGCTCAGCCCCCAGAAACGGTCCAGTGTGCCAGGCGAAATGACGCAATTTCACGTTTGGGTTTGGTTTTTGTTTCGTCGCTTCAAAACGTATTCATCCCTAACAGGATGTTTGCTCCTGTAAATCTTGAAGTTAATCAACTTGTCTATGCAGCCTGATCTGGCCTCTTTAATTTAATGTTTGAATCTACCGCGTGTCGTTCTTTCGGCTAATTTCGCCCCCCGACTTTCGTTCCTCGTTAGTATAGTGGTGAGTATCCCCGCCTGTCACGCGGGAGACCGGGGTTCGATTCCCCGACGGGGAGCTTTTTCGATTAGCTTGACTTGCACCTGTTACGTCTGCACTAGTTATGCTGCGAATACCGCTAGGATGGGATGGAAATTCTGTAAAAAACAAAAACAAAAATGTGTTGTGCTCCGCATGACACATTTTTGTTATCTTGCTTCGTGAGTTTCTTAAGCGTGCTGGTTCTGAAGCTAATTTAAGACTGGACAGTTCATGTGTTTAACACGCCTTCAAACAATGTGTGCGGACATGCATCCGGAAAGCAATGCATAAGGTACACACGTGAATGCTGCGTGATAGCGAGCTGTACACGTTACCTCATTCACCTGAAACGCAAAAGCTCCCCGACGGGGAATCGAACCCCGGTCTCCCGCGTGACAGGCGGGGATACTCACCACTATACTATCGAGGAGATGTGAGGAGGGGCGCTTTTATACAAATATATTAAACATGGTGTGAGGAAATTGCGATAGTCGACAATTCATACATTTTGAGGAATTACATACCTCATAAGAGATGTTTGGCTCAACAAGTAAGCACTAGCAGCATTCATTTATCACTTTATCTTACCACGGTGCTGAGTAGCCAACGACGCCAACGTCCGGCGCATACGCATTTGCCACTGTTCGAGCTCACCGGGACGGTGCACCCGATCAGCTATGGATGTGCAATGGACGCTGGGGATGAAGGAAAAGACATTGCCTGACAAAAATGGGCACCAGAAGCCGCACTTTTATGCACACACTTTTGGTAATTTGCGTGTTTTGGGTTCCCCTGAAATTTACGGTGCGCGTTTCCCCGCACCGACCGAACCCCGCCGTTTAGAGCCAGTCCCAAATGTGATGCAAATGCGCGACGATGCCAGCCTAGCCGCGTACCAAATTCCGCCAGTGGCCAGCCAGCTGGCGCTGGCACTGAGTTGTGACTGTATTTGTGCCTGACAGACGAACGGCCACAAAGTACTTTATGATATAGATTTTGATGGCCTGTTGCGCGTGCGCTGGCGCTTTAGAGATACGCACAAATTGTTTAATTTTTCACTTTTCACAATTTTTTTTTCAATATCCACAAATTTAATCAACCTGGGATGAATTAAATTTGGCACCAATTTGGCAGGCATATGCGACCATGCATATGAAATTCCCACGTGAATGACCACGTTTCTATATTCTGCCAACATGACTAATCGAGTGGCTCTGTGCTGACAGTAACTTAAATTGTAAGCCTGTTCTGCATTGTTGTGAGGAAAGAAAAGGTTGGGTTAGGCACCGTTGCCCATAAAATGTTTCCTTAGTTTATGACAGGGCGGCCAGGATGACGGGATGGTGACTCCATTGAGTGGCCAAATAAGACCATGAGCAGACAGATGGCTGCCTTGGCGTCCGGATCGCCAGACTAAGGGATCGCTGACGTTGGGGACTTTGGGATGCGCCTGCACGACTTCCAGTTCGTGGTATAACCGTCCCTGGATAACCACGTATGGCGCATGAACACCAGTACCCCTGGGCGGTGGTATCTATATTTCTCATTCTCCATCAGGGAAGACAGTGCCGGGTGCCGAGTTTAGGTCATGGGCCGAGTCAGGGGTTAGTCGACCGGTTGAACTCACCAACAGGCGTCAGCCGCACCACATTCAGACCCAGCTTCAGTAGCACAGCTTGATCAGCGCCAGACGCCGACACCACGAGCAGTACTCCGTACCCGCTCACCGGTAGATATCTAATCCACGAAAACAATAGACTCGCCGCGAGCGAACGCGCGCGACGCCACGCGGTACCGGAAGAGACCCAGGGCAATAGGACACTTGAGAGACCGCAGCTCCTGCCCGTGGCGCGATCGCAACCAGCCAGTCACGTGCTCATGATCGAAAGCAGCCAATCACCTCGCAGGGTTTTCCCGCGCTGCTAGGAATCTTCGCTGTCAGTTTGAGGAGTGGCAATGGATTGAAATGTTTCCAACGTCTCGCGCAGACTGCAGTTTTGTTTTGGGTTTCACTTCATCTTCACTAGTTTGAGACAGATATTAACTAGGTAGGGACAATGTGTAATTACCAGCGCGTTCTACTCCAGCGCCAAGATTCGTGCGTGGATTCGCTTCAGAGGCATTGACTCGGACTCGGACGCACAACACATTGGGTAATCGCAACTCTGATTCTGATCGTCTCGGTGAAGATTCGATTATGATTCTGACTTAAGGCAATGTGGCTCGATTCCGAAAACGAGTTCGATTCGAGCGATGCCTGTAGCAATGGATTAAAAACGGCTTAAAGGGGGCACGCTGTACTTTTTGTACTGTTCATTTATTTTCAGATCAGATGCGTCCATTTGATCGGTACTGCCGGTTTTCTCGAAATCTTCTCAATAGCTCAGAATTTTCATTCGAAGGGGTCGCTCCTGCGCAAGAAATGGCATCGGTCTTCGTGCTCACCACAATAAGTGTAATCCACTGAATTTCCAGCCTGCCCCTAAAATATACCAACAAACGGGTTTCTCCCCAGACTTTGACCTACTTTCTTGCCAGAGTTGGGAGGGGGGGGGGGGGAGCCCCAAGTAAAGGAGCTGAAGCCCACACCGCCAGCTGAATGTGAAGATGCACCCCTACCAGCATGTTTGTTCTGTGACGTTTGCAAGCACACTACTTTGTTAAAATGCTTATGTAATGAATGCTCGAAAGTTCGCAATAGTGTTTAAACAAACATGTATTTAGGATGACCCGGTCGGCCGGTTTCATGAAGGTCTAAACCGGACATTGTGCTGAGAATAATGTTTGTCACATGCCAATGGTTGTGCTCAATTTGGTGCACGCATAACTTGCTAACTTTGAATATATCCCTGTGATCACGCCTCTCAACTCTTCACGTTGACCCATGAACGACTTGGTTTACTCACCTTGGACTCTTCGATCGTCAGGAAACATTTCTTAGGGTCGATTCGGCTCTGACTCAATATCATTTAAGTTGCCTCTGGAGTCGATTCCGACGCTACCTGGAATCAAGCACCAGTCTTGTGCACCCGAGCACAGCTGATTAACCGGCGCTGAGGAGCCCACCGGTAATTAACTTGGCTAGGACCGTGTCAACTGCGACAATAGTTTGGTTAGAGTATGTTTACTTTAGGAAGGTCGTGTTGGGTGCTACCGTATTCCTGGAAGCGGTAAAGTGCAGCAGAACAGGGAACATTTTGTCTGGCTAACATGGACACGGCCATCATTGGTCACCAGCTTTGCAGTTGAGTTGGATGAAGGTTGAGGTATTAGGATAGGCATATTTATTTATTTTCACGACTGACTCACGTAGATGGTTCGTTGTGACGGACTTTGGTGCCGTGATTGGCGGCTACCTATGGCAAAGTGTTGCCTTCGGTATCTGAGACTTTTCATAAGCGAAATGTTGAAATGCCTCCAGGTAGGTTGACGACCGTATATCATATTCCTAATGTTTTCAACAACGCCTATGAAAACAGCACGCCGACACAAATATCGCGACAATTCAGAAGTATCATGGAGTCTGCCCAGGTAAACGAGATCAGATAGCGCATCACGTCTTAACATCACATAATCGTCTCCCTCTGAAGGTCGGCAAGGTAACAGACCCGAGAACAAGAGCGCGAACCGTCCATGTGCCCCACCGTCTGACTCCTCAGGCAAGGCTGCTGTGAAGACGGTGTGACCGCGGCCGCCGGGAGCGCGAGCCGTCCATGTAGCCCGCCGTCTGACCCCCCAGGCACGGCTGCTGCGCGGACGGTGTGACGGCCGCCGCCGGGGCGGACGGCGCCGGCTGCCCGCCGGCGTGCGCGGCCGCCGAGTACGGCTGCTGCGCGGACTCCGAGCTGCCGGCCCACGGGCCCCGCCAGGAGGGCTGCTGCGTGAGCGCCGAGTTCGGCTGCTGCCCAGACAACGTCACCCCGGCCCGGGGGCCCGACCTCGACGGTGAGGCGCGGACTCGGCCGGCTGGGTGCCGCGCGCGAGGGCGACACACGGCAGCGGCGTGGCCGACGACGGCCGCGGACACACGTGTGTGTAGAAAGCGCATGCCAGGTCTAGGAGCTTTCAGATCAAACTGTTGCGCATGACGTCCTCCCGCCCCCCCCCCCCCCCCGCGCCCGTGCAAACAGGTCTTTATTTCATTCTGCAAATGCCCTGTTTTCCATCGGACATCCAATCATTTGTTATGTCAATGCTCTGAATGTGTACGTACGTCTCAGAACCTGCTTTAGGAGACCTGTCAGCGCTTACAGGCCAAGCAGCAAGGACTGAAATGCCGTCCTCCGTTTCACTGGTGCTGATTCCCTGTGCGGTAGATTCGTGACAGGCGGTACTAAAAACGTACTTTAAAGACGTCGCATACTCCTGTGCACAGGTTACTTTAGTATCCAGTCTCACCTTTTTGTCATGCAACTCGCTTTAAATGTGATGGCTGCGGCTCTAGTTCACTTCCGATTCTTCTCCCACTCGCGTTCGACACATCAACGTACGCCGGGTATACGCAACGTAACGCAAAATAACAACGTAACGCAATAACCCCGCCCACCCCTCAAGACCGATCCCCGGTACAGCAACACCGCGCACCCCTCACGACGACCCCGGGTACAGTCACCCCGCCCACCCCTCACGACCGACCCCGGTACAGTAACCCCCGCCCACCCCTCACGACCACCCCGGTAAAGTAACCGCGCACACGCCCTCACGACCCGACCCCGGGTACAGTAACCCTCGCACACGCCTCACGACCCACCCGGGTTACAGTAACCCCGCCCACCCCTCACGACCCACCCCGGGTACAGTAACCCCGCCCACCCCCTCACGACCCACCCCGGGTACAGTAACGCCGCACACGCTCACGACCGACTCCGGGTACAGTAACCCCGCCCACCCCCTCACGACCCCACCCCGGGTACAGTAACCCCCCCCACGCCTCACGACCGCCCCCGGGTACAGTAACCCCGCCCACCCCTCACGACCCACCCCGGGTACAGTAACCCCCCACCCCTCACGACCCACCCCGGGTACAGTAACCCCCCCACCCCTCACGACCCACCCCGGGTACAGTAACCCCGCCCACCCCTCACGACCCACCCCGGGTACTAGTAACCCCGCCCACCCCTCACGACCGACCCCGGGTACAGTAACCCCGCCCACCCCTCACGACCTGGCCCGGGTACAGTAACCCCGCCCACCCCTCACGACCGGCCCGGGTACAGTAACCCCGCCCACCCCTCACGACCGACCCCGGGTACAGTAACCCCGCCCACCCCTCACGACCGACCCCGGGTACAGCAACCCCGCACACCCCCAACACCCTTACCCCGCCGCCGCCCCCAGGCTGCGGCTGCGAGTACTCGGCGTTCGGCTGCTGCCCCGACAACCGGACGCTGGCGCGCGGCGAGGCGCTGGAGGGATGCGGCTGCCGCTACACCGAGCACGGCTGCTGTCCGGACGGCTACACGCCGGCGGCCGGAGCCGACGACTTCGGCTGCGGCTGCCACACCTTCCCGCACGGCTGTTGCGAGGACGGCCGGACCGCGGCACGCGGCCCCAGCCAGGAGGGTGAGGCCGGCCGCCCAGCGGGCTCGCTCGCTGCTTAGGTGGACGGTGGGGATGCCAGACACGTGCGTTTGGTTTGTCTTGGAGAGCGCTGTTTAAGTTTAGTCTGCCTGAGTTAGTGGCATTGCTGGGATATGGTTAAACTCTTTTTAATGGTGTGATGAAACATTACCGGACGCATGAGTGATGAACATGAAACGGAAATATTATTTCGTCGGTGTTTGAAACTGAGCCCAAGTGCACACATTTTGAGCGCGATGAAGCGAATATTGACCTGATGGCAATGGTTATTTCACGTGTCAAACGTCTGGAGGAGGAAACATCGATATTATTACAGCGTGCCCATGTAGCGCCACAGACACAATGTTGAATGCTTAAAAGCTGGAGGAGGCACACCCCTTTCCCCCACCCCTGTGGTGAAGCCCATGCAAGCCGACATGTGAGCATTCAGCACAAGTTTCGATTCGTCCAACCCAGTAGACTGACAGCCTGCAACCGCGTGCACGCCGCCTGGGCCGCCCGTCCACACACGTGCGGGGACCCTCCCGCCTCGCCGCCCGTCTGACCGTGCTCTGCCGCGTCCCAGGCTGCGGCTGCGAGCACGCCGAGCACGGCTGCTGTCCGGACGGCCGCACCCGGGCGGCGGGGCCCGAGCTGGCCGGCTGCGGCTGCGAGGCGCACCTGCACGGCTGCTGCCCGGACGGCGCGACCCCGGCCCAGGGACCCGGCTTCCAGGGCTGCGCCGAGCCGCCCACCGACCTGAGAGGTCAGTGACCCCGCTCTTAGGACGACTACCAGGGCTGCGCCGAGCGGCCCGCAAACCTGCGAGGTCAGTGGCCCCGCTCTCTGGACGGCTGCCCGGGAAAGAGGCGTCGCCGTAATGATTGATTGGTTTTGGGGTTGACATTAGAACAATGCATGGTTTGTCCTAGGAAGTGTTTCGATGGACAGCTGAAGTCGATTGGTCGGGTATGCATGACAAGCAGTCGTAGTGAAGTGCGACGTCTTCCGCCCACCACTGGTGTACCATTTCCTGTGTACATGGCATGTTCGTAGGCCATCCAGAAGGGAGGGACGAGCAATGATAATTATCCACCTCAGCTTTTTCTATAGATGTATGCTTTGTTTCGTTGCCATAGATTCATTGTATATAGATAGATAGATAGATATATACAATTATATATATATATATGTATGTATATATATATATATATATATATATATATATATATATATATATATATATATATATACGATTGGTCCGTCCCGGTGGCTCAGTTGGTCGGGGCGCCTGCCTTCCGATCCACCCACCCGTGGCGGGGTGGGTTCGAGTCGCTTTAGGGCGCTCGCTGTTTGCCCTTGACAGGTATTGCCTGCGGCCGGTGGCAGCGGTCGCGCTAAAGGTCAGAGGACGTCAGAGGGCAGAACGGACCGTGCCGAGCATTGCGGCACGTTAAGCTTTCGCCACTAAATTCTGCCGTTGCCTGGGATTGCGCGATCGGATGGTGGGGGTCAGAGCTCACACAACAAGCACTGCTTAGCGTGAGCGCTGATCCCAGAAATCCATCCATTCAAAAGGGTTCGGATCAAATTTTTTAAAAAAATTATATATATATATATATAAAGTATTTATATTTTAATTTTAAATGTATACAATTATATATATATATATATATATATATATATATATATATATATATATATATATATATATATGGATTCAATGTTATCACAGATGTCACCTCATCCTTCGGTTGCGAAGTTGAGCATAGCAGCCAGAAGAAATGTGTTCGCTGACATTCATGGTGTTTGCGCTCACCAATTCGTTCATTCGCAACCTTAGATAAGCCTGCTCTCATATCAATATGTTTCGTTAACATCCAGCTAAGCTTGGAAATGGTGATTCCTTATCACACTTTGACTGGTCACCCGCCTTTGCAACCGTTCACAAGCAATGCGTTTCAGTAAATCTGACTAAATGCAGACTTCTTAGAGAGTAAAAAAGGACTTCATAGAGAATTAAAAAAAAAACACAGAATGGCAGTTTAGGTCAGGTATGAGGAGATCCTACAAAAATGGAATCTCACGCAAATTGGTCAGTGGTCTGGATAACATCAGTGCACGCCGCCTGTGTCCGTTGCGTAGGCTGTCTTTGCACGTGACCTTGCCGGTACTCACAACGCTTATTGGCAGCAGCCTGTCCACGCAACAGATTGCAGACTCCTCAGTGGCCCGTATGCTGACGTGGTGGTGGTGTGTGCGGGGCAGACCCCTCACTGGCCCGTATGCTGACGTGGTGGTGGTGTGGACGGGGCAGACCCCTCACTGGCCCGTATGCTGACGTGATGGTGGTGTGTGCGGGGCAGAGCCCTCAGCAGCCCGTATGCTGACGTGATGGTGGTGTGTGCGGGGCAGACCCCTCACTGGCCCGTATGCTGACGTGATGGTGGTGTGGACGGGGCAGACCCCTCACTGACCCGTATGCTGACGTGATGGTGGTGTGTACGGGCAGACCCCTCAGTGGCCTGTATGCTGACGTGATGGTGGTGTGTGCGGGGCAGACCCCTCACTGACCCGTATGCTGACGTGATGGTGGTGTGGACGGGGCAGACCCCTCAGTGGCCCGTATGCTGACGTGGTGGTTCTGTGGACGGGCAGAGCTGTGCAGTCTGCCGAAGCAGCGCGGGCCGTGCCGCAACTTCACCGTCCGCTGGTTCTTCGACATGGAGTACGGCGGCTGCTCCCGCTTCTGGTTCGGCGGCTGCGAGGGTAATGTCAACAGCTTCGACACCGAAGAGGACTGCAAGGCCACCTGCGTGCAGCCCGAGGGCAGAGGTGAGGCCCAGTCGGCCGCGGTGTCTGTTGTGGCTGGGTGCGGCCGGACCCCAGGCTGCCGTTTGCTGTCCGGGGATCGGCATGTTCGGACGCTGCGCAATGTATGACGTGAGATATAATGTTATCAGATGTATTTCGGTGTGTCATGATGACAGTCTGAATGACAAGTAAAAGTGGTCTATCCGCCTCAGCGGCGCCTAAAACTGCGTCCATCCGTTCCAACCGGCCCGCGCCGTAACTGGCCCACCGCAACCCGGGCTCGCTTGGTGCGAGCCAAGTCTCAGGCTCCCAGACCGATCAGCGGCGATGAAAGCGTCGCTGGTGCCCTCCAATCGCCGACGCCCGGTCTGTCGCCAGTCGCGTGTCAGCTGCCGCTGGTCCGGGGCCCCTGCGACGGTGATTATCCGGCCTGGTACTACCGGCCGGACTCGGGCCGCTGCCACGCCTTCTCCTACGGCGGCTGCCTCGGCAACGGCAACCGCTTCAGCGACGAGCAGGAGTGCCAGCGCCGCTGCGTCGTGCCCAGCGTGCTCGGTGCGTGGTGGTGGTGAGGCGGACGGAGTCGACGCAGATGGAGCCGGTATTGCGCGAACGGCGGCAGGCTGAGGAGGGGAGGGCCCTGAGTTTCGGTGCAGTGTTAGAGCTCCTGCCGAACGTTTTCACGGAGCGGTCGTGAGCCGTGAAGGACAAACAGCGGGCTGTAATAATAATGCGGTCAGGTCAGGTCATGACATCGGCCGTGCCATGTTTGTGAAGAATGTTTGGGATTGTAGGTGCCATTTATGTTTGTTTTCGGTAGCCACCTCTTTTTGTGGATACTTGATCGCTGAGCGTCGCATTTCGGTCTTTTTTGTACCGCTCAATTGTAAATACGTATAGATTTTCATTTAATGAACGACTCGCGTAACTTAGCGCCCCGACATCGTCGACATGCGATCTGAAAGCGCTGTAAATCCGGCTGAGATAACAAATACCACGATCGAAACCCTCACCTCCTAACAATAGGCCAGCCATTCTAGATGGCCACAGACTGTCAGTGTCCGGAGTGGCACAGCTGGCGCCGCCCGCGTGGCGTCCGTGTGACCAGCGGCGTCGGCCACACGTCGTCCGTGTGACCGGCGGCGTCGGCCACACGTCGTCCGTGTGATCGGCGGCGTCGGCCACACGTCGTCCGTGTGACCGGCGGCGTCGGCTATACGTCGTCCGTGTGACCAGCGGCGTCGGCCACACGTCGTCCGTGTGATCAGCGGCGTCGGCTATGCGTCGTCCGTGTGACCGGCGGCGTCGGCTATGCGTCGTCCGTGTGACCGGCGGCGTCGGCCACACGTCGTCCGTGTGATCAGCGGCGTCGGCCACACGTCGTCCGTGTGACCGGCGGCGTCGGCTATGCGTCGTCCGTGTGACCGGCGGCGTCGGCCACACGTCGTCCGTGTGACCGGCGGCGTCGGCTATACGTCGTCCGTGTGACCAGCGGCGTCGGCCACACGTCGTCCGTGTGATCAGCGGCGTCGGCTATGCGTCGTCCGTGTGACCGGGGACGCCGCCCGCGCGGCGCCTGTGTGATCGGGGACGCCGCCCGCGTGGCGCCTGTGTGACCGGTGGCGCCGGCCGTGCAGACCCCTGTCGTCAGGAGGTGGCGCCCGGCCCCTGTGGCGGCCGCTTCCAGCGCTGGGCGTTCGACCCGGCCAGCTCGGCCTGCATGCCCTTCGACTACGGCGGCTGCCAGGGCAACCTCAACAACTTTTTGACGCGGGACGAGTGCATGCACCGCTGCTCTCGACCCGGACGGAAAGGTCAGCCGGAGGGGAACCATCTGTGGTGAGGGGCTTATGGACTTATGGGTTAGGGGCTTGTGGTGAGGGGCTTATGGGCTTATGGGTTAGAGGCTTGTGGTGAGGCATGTCATCTCCAGCCGAGGTTCGAGACTTCCCATCGTATCAGACAGGCTCGCCATGTTTTGACACATGACAGGTGGTAGAGTTGGCACAGCTTGGAGTAAAGGAATATCAGGTGACGTCACTAAGTTGTGACGTTACCAGAGTGAAGTCTTGTGCGGCGATTTTCGCATGCGCTTGCGGAGACTCAGTGTCTTTTAAATTCCCGATCGCTTAGTTGTCACTCTGATGGACTTGCTTGTGTACCAGTCAGAGTCGGTCATACACTGCGAGTTTGCACACGATCATCAGAAGTCGTGTGAGCCTATAAGGGCTGAAATAAAGTGATTCGTTCTGTTTATTCTGGAGGATTAGGTCAGTATGACTGACACGTTTCTAGAACAACTATTTCTGTTTACATGTGATTGGGACGAGCAGAAAAATTAGGTCGAAGGTGTGACCAGACCATAACTGGCACGACCTTGGCGGGGTGGCATGATGGTGAGCATGCGATTCGTAAGCGCAAGGGAACGCTGTTTCATTGCGTGTCCATTTCAAAGATACTCAACCAATAGTATGGATGCTAGCGATGTCGAATTTCTTCAAGCATGTTTTTGATCTTTAAAGTTTGCTGCGTAGCTTGTGACACCATCATTTACGTTACGCATGACAGCTCCACGCTTTCTGGGCGGCATTGATCAAACCCGCTGACTGCCATTTTCCGATCAGAATTTTTGACCCTGGGGTATCAGGGGATTCCCCCACCCTCCACCCGACTCGTCACTTGTCCGTGGCGAAATGCCCCGGGTGTTGCCAGATTAATGCTGGCTTCGAAAACGGGGAAAATGCTATCGAAAGGAAAACGGTTTAAGATTTTTAGGGTGTTTGGCATTTCGCTGGTTCTGATGCAATATCGGTATGGCAGTTTCAGACTCAGACAACCCCTTCTCAGCAGTCGCCATCAGCGACCGGCCGTCAACATGCACCAGATAGGCGCGCTTATCGGTTGGATTAGTATGGTATTATGATAAGACATTTAGAACAGGCCAGGATCGACGACTCGCTGGACATGACTGAGCATGTCGTGTGTCCGTGCGAAAGAGTTCGTTAGTATTCCGGAGGACCATCGACTTGAGACGTTGAAAGGAAAGAGTCTCTATTAGCCAAAGCGTTACAAGGCAAAGGTGAGAGAGGGGTTAGAAGGGCGGCGTCGCACACTCCGAAGTCGTCGTCGTCGTCGTCGTAAACGCTGTCGTGGCTCACGTCGAGCCGCGCCGGCGGAGTCTGAACGTGGACTGCTCGGAGGGACCGTGCGTTCCCGCCCGCGCGTCCCCATAAACCCACGTGGGTTATGGGCTCCAGATGGTGGGAACCAATCGGCAGATGGGCCGCTCACACCCTCGCGGAGCCGCCGCCGCCGCGCCGGCAGCGACGGCCCGCTTGCTCGTTAACATCGTGGCATGATTCACCGAACATCATATCAGCACGGCAGCGATGTCTGTTTAGCGCAACCACAGCTTGGCTACAAAAAACGCCCGTCATACATCATGCACCTTGCCTGCGTTTTACTCCAAAACATCATCGGCGTGCGTCTTTCTCACTTTATCTGTCAGGAACCGTGTCAGAGCGGTTGTTTTGCGCTCGTTTTAACCCATTAAACGACCGAACTGAAAGCTCACACGTTGGATGTCTGATATCTGTGTTATACCTCGTATGAAATCCCTAGGTCTCAGTTAAGAAAGTTGGCACCTGCGTTCAAACTCACATGGATCTTGCACCGTAACTCAGTTTCCGTCAACCCTTTATGTAGTCTATAATTATCAGTTTGCGCTTGGCTATATGATCCGGGCAATCAAGCGATCCAATCACGTAATCACGCCCATGTCGGTGCCTAGCGTCCGGACAGCTTTCCTCTCTTAACATCCAACGGTCCCGTTCAGCCGTCTGTCTGGTGCCGCTTCCCTGCTGGTGCCCCCCCCCCCCCCCCACCACGCGCTGGTTCCAGGCTCCCGTTCCAGCCCGCCCTGACCCTGGTTACCGGTGCGCGCAGCCGTCTGTTCGCTGCCGCGTGCCGAGGGCGACTGCGACGAGCTGCTGCCGCGCTGGTACTTCGACTTCGCCCAGAGCCGCTGCACGCCCTTCTACTACAGCGGCTGCGGCGCCAACCTGAACCAGTTCGTCTCAGAGGCCGACTGCCAGGCCACCTGTCCGCAGCACGTGTTCGGTGAGTCGTGCGGCAACGGAGCGCGTGTTCCGTGAGTCGTGCGGGAACGGAGCGCGTGTTCGGTGAGTTGTGCGGGAACGGAGCACGTGTTCCGTGAGCCGCGCGGCAACGAAGCGCGTGTTCGTTGAGTCGTGCGGCAACGGAGCATGTGTTCGGTGAGTCATTTACATGAAATTAACAGTAGTGACTTTTTCTTAGGGCAAGTATCTAGTGTATGTGTGGTTGCATGAGGAGAGCTGGGGAGGGTATTTTGAAAGACGATATGTTTTACCTTATTTGACCCAAACGACATAATCCAGGGACCTCAGAATTTGACACGAGTGAGTTCACACGCAGGTATATCTATCCTTTCTATCCTGTCACGCGCAGGTATATCTATCCTTTCTATCCTGTCACACGCAGGTCTATTTGTCTTGGTGTATCTAGATCTCCTAGTATTTTAGATCTTTGAGTATGGGGGGAATTGACCCCCACCCCACCCCAGCGCGTCGCGTCCAGTCGTCGCCCGGGCACATGGTATGATTAAGCGCATCCATCTCCTACATATGTATCACTACACTTCAGCGACGGAAGCCTGCGCTGACGAGAAGGACGCCGGATCGTGCTCCAACTACACGACCCGCTTCTGGTACAATGTGGAGGACGGCAGCTGCCAGTCTTTCCAGTACGGTGGCTGCGGCGGCAACAGGAACAGGTTCAGGACCTTGGCTGAGTGCCAGGACCGGTGCGAATCTCACAGGGAAAAGGTGGACGCCGTCAGCTTCCAGACAGGTCAGCTAGCTGCCCGTGGAGTTGTCACTAAGGAAAGGCCCACGGCCACTATTATTGATGATTTTTAAAAATTCGTTTTAGAACTGTAAGCTTTGCTACTATTACACCTTCCCACGATCTGACTTTTTTCTAGGCCGAACCTTAGTATGCATTCCTAGTCGTGAGTCCCCGTTTTTAATAGCAACAGTCTTGGCTTAATAGTGAATTAAAATATTAATAGCCAGCAGACCTCGCTCTGACATGGCCCACTATGTACAACTATACATTAATATGTCAGTGTTCTGGAGCTCCACTTCGTTTAAGTACCGATTTTTCAGCTTCTCGTATGGATGCTTGTTTGCATCGATAATACGACCTCCAACCTCATGGGCACAATGTGTTTCATTTCCCTGGCAGACCACCCCCTGACGGGCCGTTCTCTGCCAGGACCAGCTGACGCCCCCCCCCCCCTCCCCCCCCACCGCTCACCTGACGACACGTCCGTGAGAGCGCGTCCGTCCGCCGCCGGCAGCCTGGTGTGAGCTGCCGGCCGACGCCGGCTCCTGTGACGGCCGCGAGGTGCGCTGGCACTACGACAGCGCGCGCGGCGCCTGCTCCCGGCTGGTGTACTCCGGCTGCGGCGGCAACCGCAACCTCTTCTCCTCGGAGGCCGACTGTCAGCGGCGGTGCGCCGCCAGTCAGGGTCAGTCGCGCTGAACGGGTGCTGTGTGAGGGATGGGGGGGGGGGACGGGTCCGATGTGTGAATATGGTGAACAGGGCGGAGTGAGTGCTCTGCCGTCACTAGTCAGGTTCTCAGGTAATTGAAGGTTCGAGTTGGAGGAGATAGTTGGGTTCACAGGAGTTATTCCGGGATGGTCCGAAGACCTGCTGAATCTGCCTAATGATACATAACCTGCAGACGTTTGCGTACTGATTTGGCTGGTGAGACACTGATCGATGTAAGTTTAATGGCTTGATCTGCCTTGCTCGCACTTAAAATGTTACTGCCACTCCTGGGCTTGTTAGACACTCGGCCTTGCCGGCCTGGCTTTACGAGGCCTGACATGGTCTGACCTAACCTGACCTGACCTGACCTGACCTGACCTAACCTAACCTGACCTGACCTCCAGGCGTGTGTGTCCCGCCACAGTTGGTCAGCCACCGCTCTGGCTCGCTACTGTCACCTGACCTGACCTGACCTGCAGACGTGCTTGCCCTGCCGCGGCTGGTCCGCGCGTGTTCCGACTCACTGCTGACTCTGACCTGACCTGGTCTGACCTGCAGACGTGTGCACCCTGCCGCGGCTGGTCGGCCCCTGCTCCGGTTCGCTGCGCCAGTTCTACTTCGACACACGGCTCTCGCGCTGTCTGGAGTTCGACTTCAGCGGCTGCCAGGGCAACGGCAACCGCTTCGGCAGCCTGGCCGACTGCGAGGCCCGCTGCGGCTCCCCCGTAGAGGTCACCGAGCGGGCGGGCGGCCCGCCTGACCAGACCACGCCGGCGCCAGAGGGCAGTGAGGGCCGATCAGCGGTGGTCTGTGTTGAACGGCACGGGGTGTGTGCCGGTGTGGCGATGGCGATTGCAATGGCAATTGCACAGGGAAATGGTGTCATCATTAAAAGTGCAGAGGAGTAGCCAAACTTTTGTTTGGTTGATTTCTGTCACAGGGGACGAAACCAAGTGACTCGGGTCTTTTCACAGGGTTTCTGTTTCACACTCAGACTAGATACAAAACAGCCTTCCTCACATGAGAGCGCAACTCGGAGTTTACTCCGTCCTGGATGCAAACATACCCTCTCTGAACCAAACTTAATAATCACAGTCACGTGCCAAGGCCGCGACCTGAGGTCGCAATACCTAAAGGAGGCATGCCTGCGCCAATGTCACCGCCGTTCGGCCCGGTCTCGGCGCCGTTCTCGGCCTGGTCTCGGTCCAGCTCGGCGCCAGCCTCGGCCCGGTCTCGGTCTGGCTCTGCGCCAGTCTCGGCCCGGTCTCGGTCCGGCTCGGCGCCAGTCTCGGCCCGGTCTCGGCCCGGTCACGACCCGGCTCGGCGCCAGTCTCGGTCCGGTCCCGGCCCGGTCTCGGTCCAGCTCGGCGCCAGTCTCGGCCCGGTCTCGGTCCGGCTCGGCGCCAGTCTCGGCCCGGTCTCGGCCGCCACTGACCGCCGTCCGGCGCCCCGACAGGGCCCGTCGACGTGTGCCAGCTGCGCCACGAGACGGGCCCGTGCCGCGAGCCGGCGCGCGCCTGGTTCTTCCGCGCCTCGGAGGGCATCTGCCGCCAGTTCACCTACGGCGGCTGCGCCGGTAACGGCAACAAGTTCGTCAGCGAGGAGCAGTGCCGCCGCCGCTGCGGCGACTACCGCGACCAGGGTGAGTGACGGGGCCGTGAGGAGGGGGGGGGGGGGGGCAGAGAAAGGGCTGCACTGAACAGACTCGGGGGCTGCACTTTGTAGGGTCAGGGTCATTGGCAGAGTGATGGGAACATAGGGGACGGGGTGGGCGCCTACTGGGAGGTTAGCGAGCAGCCACGCTAGAGAACTTGACATATTTAGCAGCGAGATGAGTGACCTCTATTGACAAAACGGAGAACAAAACGGATATGTTGTTCGGGGGAAGCCACAGGGACCGGGGTGACCAGGACTCTGCGGAACCAGCGTGACTACGACCACGGCTGGGTGGCACAGTTTTAGTCATTACGGTTACGCAAGGGTCAGTGCAATCGCGTAAAATTGCGCACTGATTCTGATGCGCACTGACTCACTGTTGAGTTGTTCAGAATGGCCGCTGCATACAGAATAACGACGTAGCAGTTGTTGCCTGCCGCCGGCGCAGGAGATTACGGAGAAGAAATTAGAGCGCGCGACACCTTGTAACGAGAACGCGGGCTATCAATCACACGGCCGAGTCGGTCGTGGATCCTGCACGCTGACAATGCAGCTCATTCTCTGGGCCGACCGCCGGCACGCGTTTCTGCGGGCTCGAGAAGTCGTGTGACCCGTAGCAAGGCGAGCAGTCCACCGCAGCCCGGAGCTTCCGCCGGTGCGTGCCGTCACAGACCGTCACTGGTGGGGGCACCTCCGTTACGGCACTTACGCACTGTGTAATGCAATTTCAGAGCTCACCTCAGAATCGCTTCAAAAGAATTGTGCAACCTTGGTTCGTGCTACAACCTGTTTTGTTATGATACGTCCCAAGGTATTTAATAGCCTTAACTAATCTTTCTTCACCTTTCATCTTTCAGATTTTTTTCATCTTAACAGATCTTTCATCACCTATGCAGCATGCATTTACCAACTAACATCAATGCAAGTAACGCCTTGGCCAGATATTTCATTCTTAATCCTAGTTAATTGACATGACTACACAGGATGGAAACTGACCCATGTTAGCGTCTCAGTCGTCATTACGAGTTAACGGGCTACATAATTCATTTATCTGAAAGTCAATGGAAAGCTGAAATAGCTCGAGGCCACATGGACAGTAAAGTGTGCTTATGCCATAGCCATGCGTCTGATTCGATTTGGTTTAATAGCTTGATGGCCGGTTTTAGTGTTTAAGTTGCCGCAGAAGGGTTGACGCCGCCCCGGCCCGTCAGTGCCCCACCCCATCCCGTCCTAGCACGTCACCCCCTCAGTATGTCACCGTCCCATCCCATACCTACCCCAACACGTCACCATCCCAGCCCGTCACCGTCCCAGCCCGTCACCGCCCCAGCCCGTCACCGCCCCAGCCCGTCACCGCCCCAGCCCGTCACCGTCCCAGCCCGTCACCGCCCCAGCCCGTCACCGCCCCAGCCCGTCACCGCCCCAGCCCGTCACCGCCCCAGCCCGTCACCGTCCCAGCCCATCACCGCCCCAGCCCGTCACCGCCCCAGCCCGTCACCGCCCCAGCCCGTCACCGTCCCAGCCCGTCACCGCCCCAGCCCGTCACCGTCCCAGCCCATCACCGCCCCAGCCCGTCACCGCCCCAGCCCGTCACCGCCCCAGCCCGTCACCGTCCCAGCCCGTCATCGCCCCAGCCCGTCATCGCCCCAGCCTGTCATCGTCCCAGCCCGTCACCGCCCCAGCACGTCCCGATCCCAGCCCGCCACTGTCCCAGCCCGTCAGCGCCCCAGCCCGTCACCGCCCCAGCACGTCATCGCCCCAGAACGTCATCGTCCCAGCCCGTCACCGCCCCAGCACGTCCCGATCCCAGCCTGCCACTGTCCCAGCCCGTCATCGCTCCAGCCCGTCACCGCCCCAGCACGTCCCGATCCCAGCACGTCACCGTCCCAGCACGTTCCGATCCCAGCCCGTCACTGCCCCAGTCATGACTGGAAGCCCGTGCTGCGTCTCGCAGACACGTGTTCGGTGGCGCCCTCGGCCGGCGGCTGCACCGGTAACCTGGTGCGCTGGTACTACGACGGCCGCACCGGCGCCTGCCGCGCCTTCACCTTCACTGGCTGCGGGGGCAACGCCAACAGGTGACGGTGACGAGGTCGCCGGCGGAGGGAGCGCCGCGGACAACGGTGGATAGGGGGGGGGGGGGGAGTGGCCCATGCGCTCGCTGAGAAACGACGGCGGTGCAGAGACGGTCTGGTACGTGTTGGCAAGTGGATGGTTTGTAGAGTAAGACCACGCTGATGAGGAGCTCTGTTTCGATGCGATATTGCATGCAATCGCATTACGCATGATTTCAGAGTGCGTACATTGCATGCAATTGCATTTTGATGCGTTAGAAAGGAGAAACACAGACTAGTATATAATCAGTGTTTTCGCATGTGATCATTGGCGTAAATTGCCCCGTCACTTTTTTCTAACGCTTTGTGTTCACTGCGCATCGCTGGCGCCCTGACTGTCGCTGGTGCGCTCAGGTTTAACACTGAGGAGGAGTGTCAGGCGCTCTGTGTCGGCGGAGAGGAGCTTGCAGTACCCGACAGTCGGGCGACCGAGAAGCCAGGTCAGCGAAGTGTGCACAATGTCTGAGGCATTGGCTGCGTTCACATGTCGAGCGAAATGAGAATGAGAATGAGTGAGGAACTGGAGAATGAACTCAGTCTCGCCATCGCTGTCTGTTAGTCGAGTGAGGGAAGCTGGGGATGTTTTTTTCTGTGATAAAATGAGGTGCACTCCGGTGCACTCCCCCCCCCCCCCCCTCCCGCCCGTCCCCGTCGGCCTGAGAGACTCCCAGCGTGTACAGTACGGCCCCGCTCGCCGCTGGTGTGACTAACGCCGCCGCCGTCCGTGTCCCTGCAGCCGCGGCCGGGACCGCCGCGCCGCCGGCTGCGTCGGAGACCGGTCCGGCTGACTGCTCCGAGGCCAGCGAACAGTGCCGCCAGCTGGTGGTGAGGGACGAACGCCGGCAGGGGCCGCCGCTAACGCCGCCCGGCTCCTGTCGCTGTCTGGGGTGGCGGTCAGAGCAGCCGCCTCCGGCCAAAAGACCGGGGAGCTGAGAGCGGGAGAGGACAGTCCGTCAGACCTCCGACCAAAAGGCCGGGGAGCTGAGAGCGAGATAGGACAGTCCGTCAGACCTCCGACCAAAAGGCCGGGGAGCTGAGAGCGAGAGAGGACAGTCCGTCAGACCTCCGACCAGAAGGCTGGGGAGCTGAGAGGGGGGGGGGGGGAAGGACAGTCCATCAGACCTCCGACCAAAAGGCCGGGGAGCTGAGAGGAGGAGAGAACAGTCCATCAGAGCTGTGCAGTGCTGTGCCGATTGCCGCTGCTTCGTGTGGTTGTTATCGTCCGTTCGTTGTAAGACCGATCTTTGGTGACGCTCCGCCGGAACTAACCGTTTTGCCGTTTTCCGCTTGTGGTGAGCGTTTGAACGCCTTGCGTAAGATCGGCCTGATGAATATCCGGCCGTACCCTGTGCGGTGATGATACCAATGATAATGTGATATGGTGCTGAGATATGCAGTCGACACTATATTCCGTTAATGGCTTCAGACTCGATCGTTTCCGGCCTAGTGTACGGGTGCCTGCCCCTCCCCCCCCCCTCACACAAGACTTAACAAAGGCTGCCTCCTGCGTCAACCCCACCATCTGTGTGTCCGTGCCGAGCGTCGCCGCCCGGTGACCCCACCGACTGGTGACCCCACCGACTGGTGACCCTGCCGCCTGGTGACCCCGCCGACTGGTGACCCCGCCGCCTGGTGACCCCGCCGACTGGTGACCCTGCCTCCCGGTGACCCCGCCGCCCGGTAATCCCGCCGCCCGGTGACCCATCCCTCCGATGGCCCCGCCTCCCGATGATCCCGCCGCCCGGTGACCCCACCGACTGGTGACCCCGCCGACTGGTGACCCCGCCGCCTGGTGACCCCGCCGACTGGTGACCCTGCCTCCCGGTGACCCCGCCGCCCGGTAATCCCTCCACCCGGTGACCCCGCCGCCCGGTGACCCCGCCGCCCGGTAATCCCGCCACCCGGTGACCCTTCCCTCCGATGGCCCCGCCTCCCGATGATCCCGCCGCCCGGTGACTCCACCGCCTGGTGACCCCGCCGCCCGGTGACCCCGCTGCCTGGTGACCCCGCTGCCTGGTGACCCCGCCACCCGGTGACCCCGCCGCCCGGTGACCCCGCCGCCCGGTAATCCCGCCACCCGGTGACCCTTCCCTCCGATGGCCCCCGCCTCCCGATGATCCCGCCGCCCGGTGACTCCACCGCCTGGTGACCCCACCGCCCGGTGACCCTGCCTCCCGATGGCCCCACCGCCCGGTGACCCCGCCGCCCGGTGACCCCGCCGCCTTGTGACCCCGCTGCCTGGTGACACCGCCGCCCGGTGATTTCGCCGCCCGGTGAACCCGCCACCTGGTGACCCCGCCGCCCGGTGACCCCGCCGCCTTGTGACCCCGCTGCCTGGTGACACCGCCGCCCGGTGATTCCGTCGCCCGGTGAACCCTCCCTCCGATGGCCCCGCCGCCCGGTGACCCCGCCGCCTGGCCGGCAGTGTCGGTTCGGCGTGGAGCGGCACGTGGACGCGCGCCTCTGCGAGCGCTGCTCCTGCTACCAGCCGTGCCGCCAGGTGGCGTGCGGGCAGGGCGAGCGCTGCGTGATCGCCCAGCGCCGCGACCAGGACGACGGTCTCGTCATCACGGCCGCCTGCCGCCCCAGTGAGTGGCGGGTGAGAGCGGCGGCGCCGGAGCTGGCGACAGCGCTGGACGACGTCCAGATGCTGGGGAGACGAGTTAGTGACGTGGGGGCTTCCGTCCCGCTCCACCGGTGCTGTGGCTGGTTGGTGCGACTGATGGGCTGGGTGACGCTCCTCCCGCCCGTCCGTGCAGCCGACGGGCGCGGCGGGTTCGAGACTGCAGAATCCGTCGAATATCGCTCCGTCGAAATCGTCGAAAGAACCATGACCCATCGCTTTTTCTGCACGTCAATTCGATACTTAGTTCTATCTTTGATCCATGCTTTCATTAGAACCATACGAATTTCAGCGTGAATGTGAATGGACTTCAGCGAATATTTGACAGAGCATCAGTTGGATGGAACAGAGCGTGGTGGTACCTAGCACCACTGTCTTCTGTAATGTTAGTACGTCCACCGACAAATGCTTATATGGAATGCCGTTCGGATGTTCTAAAATGAATGTGTTCAGCCCTCAAAGAGGGCTCCTGCCGAATTCCTGAAGTCTCGGAGGAGGACTGCGCCGGCCCGCAGACCGGATGCAGGGATGACGCTGACTGCAGAAACAACCTCAAGGTGTGGACCCACTGGACGGCGGCGTTAACACGGGGTCAAATCTGGCAATGCCGCTGCCGAACTCACGCCCACTTCCCCACTGTGCTCTTTGGCAATTTTTGTGCCGAAATTGTCGTTAGGTTTTCTTGGAATGTTGCACAGCTCAGTACATTCTAGCGCGGAGTTGAATTTTTTGAAATGAGCAAGTTGCGAACAAGAAGCGGGCCAGTGACCAGGTCTCAGTACCTGAGAAACAGTAAACACACTGCCAAAATAAATATTGCTCACAAAGACTTTTGAGCCAAAGTTTACATGAACACTTCGGTAACGCTCATGCGTTTGTTTTGTGTGCAGTGCTGCAGCGACGGCTGTACGTTGCGGTGCGTACCGCCGGAGGGTCAGGAGGAGACGTCCGTCCAGGACGCCCCGCCCACTCCGGCACCTGGGGACCAGCAGGTCAGGGTCACCACCGATGCCCTCCCTCGCGCCTGTCTCGTCCCCCCCGCCCCCCTCCGCCGGTGTGCCGTGGCAGAACGTAGCGCTACATTGTCGAACCGGCTCAGGCTTCTGAAACAACTATTCGTAAAATATTCCAGCGTTTGATGTTAAAATGCAGTTGTTTAACGGTCATGTTTTGCTCATTAAACACTCGCTCAACACCTTATCAGACGTTTTACAGCATGCAGTGTCCACTTGATCAAATTCGGGTTTGACTTATAAGCGAGATGTAGTTTTCTATCCATTTGAGGAGTCTTTCGCCCCCCCCCCTCACCCCTCCCTCTCAACGTGGTCTTCACCTCCCCCAACTCTAGAAGAAAGTGAGTCAAAAGCAACCCGTTTTGACGTATTTTGAGGCAGGGTACGTTGATTTTCACTGCTCAGTCCCCATCTCCTTTTGTGAAACTACTCTCCTGTTTACACGTGCGTGAACTGTCAAAAATATAGGGCAGCTATAAGCATTGCAAGGGAAATGTGTCGATCGTTTTCACTTGCATACCGGTTCTGCTCGGTCGATGCAGCCGACCCCCGACACCACCGAGGCGCCAGTTACGACCGGCGAGCCTCCATTCCGAGTCACCAGCCCGACCACGACGACCACGGCACCAACGGCTGCCGCCGGCGTGGTGCCCGAGACACCGGGTCAGTCTCTGCCACGCTCTCTATTGCAGACATTCGGAGGCAGCAGCTGTATGGATGTGGAAGCAGTGAAACCATTTCGCCCTGTTCGTCGCAGCACGACTGGTTGTAAAAACGTGTAGATGCGAGTGGTATAGTGGTTCTACACGTAGCGATTAGTTTTTTTAACTGCTGGCAAGATGCCAACCTCCTCCCCAATGGGTTGTGAATCGTGTCAATTGCATTGCATGCCTGCGCCATTCTATACTCGCATGCTGTGTTCTACAATCTGCACGAGTCATATGGAACCTGCAGCTACGCATCGGCCGTCCCCCGCGCGCGTGCCAGAGCCCGTGACCCGCTGACCTCTTCGGCGGCAGACCCGCGCGCGCGGATCGTGGAGGCTTCGTCGGCGGTGGACGTGGCAGAGGGTTCGCTGGCCGTGCTCCGCTGCGTCGCCGAGGGAGACCCCCGCCCGATCATCTCGTGGAGACGCGGCGACGAGGAGGCGAGTGGAGCCGGCGTCGCAGGCGTCGGCTCCGTCTGCAGGTGGCGCGCTGATTGGCGGAGACGGCCAGCCCGCGGGCAGTGTTGATCGATGGAACTGAGCAATAGCGCAGAGAAACCAATCTTTTCTGCACATGAATGTTGTGGTCTTTTATGTGTCATGGTTGTCATGCATGCGTTTGTTTTGTTGCCTTATCGGCTGCATGCTTCCGGATCGTTCGATTTGAATGCAACATTTGTGATGAATCATTTCACATTTGTGAGGTTGGACAAGTGCGCAACGGTTGCAAGATCAGCTCATTTCCCCCATTTCTTTTGAGAGCGTCAGCTGAGCCGCAGTCCGTCATGTCCCCCTCGCCTCCGCCTCCCCGCCCCAGCGGCTCAGAGTGCGTGCCGACCGCTAGGTGAACCCGCGCCGCGGCCGGTACCGGCTGGACGGCGGCTCGCTGCAGATCGTCGGCGTGCGGCCTGAGGACGCCGCCGTGTACACGTGCTTGGCCGACAACTACCGCGCGCCGCCCGACCGGCGCTCCATGCGGCTCACCGTGCTGGGTAGGTGGCGCGAGCGGCCCCGCGATGGCGGCGGGCCCAGGGGTAGGCTGTTTGTGGGAGGCTGGGTGACGCTGGCCGTGGTTCGCAGTTTGCGAGACCTGCTGGTGATGTGCGACGCCAAAGAGACATGTCGGCTGGCGGCAATCGTGAGGCTTGCCGAGGCGGTCCGGTATCCGGTATCCGATTGCGGTGTCCGGTGCCGTTCAAGAGCAGGCTGCTTGTTCATCGCATGAGTTATGGAAGTGGCTGAGCAACTTCTTTACTGGCCGCCAAAATTTGGTAACCGCTACAACGTAGCGTAGCTAAACCCCAGGTCACGTGCGATATTCTCCAGAAGAACTTGTTCATCGCTGCCCTGCTCGTCTTAACATGTAGTTCAGCGCCAGCGCAGGTGCTCGAGGCAATCTCGCGCCGCCCCAGCTGCCCTCCTGACGCGCCGGTCGACCCGCGCGTGCCGCAGACCCGAGGCCGGCGCCGGTGCGGGTGCTGCGTCCGTCGCTGGCCGAGCAGCCGGTGGCGGACCTGGGCGGGCCGGCCGTCATCCGGTGCCACGCCTACGGCTGGCCACGGCCGATCGTCACCTGGTGGCGCGAGCGGCGCCTGCTGCCGCGCTCCTCGGCCCAATACCGGCAGCGCGACGACCACGCGCTGGTCATCGGCATCGTGCGCCTTCCCGACCTGGGCATCTACACGTGCCAGGCGTACAACGGCCGCGGCCGCGCCGTCTCCTGGCAGGCGCAGCTGCGCGCGCACGGCCCCGTGGACGCGGCGCCGCCGGTGCTCTGGCCCTACCTGCGGTTCGTCGTGACGAGCGGTGGGCCGGCGGCGCCTGCGGCGGCGGTGCCGGGGCAGGTGGTGCCGGCCGGCGCGGGTGGCCCGGCCGGTCCGGCTGCCGCCGCCGCCCCGGCCCGGCCGTTCCCGGCGCGACGACCTGGAGAGGCGCCGTACTGGCCTGAGTACACCCGACCGCTAGGCACGGGTGAGCGCCTAGCGGCTCGGCTGGCACGTGCAGGGGGGGGGGGGGGACTAGCAGGGCTGAATCGACGGGTCTTGCTATGTCTTCACACCATTTGAGCCTGGTGACGCCGCTGTTCTCCGGCGGCTCTGGAGCAGGGATTGTGCCGCTGTATCTACTTATTCGGCGTATTGAACGAGATCGTATGTTGCACGCAGCACTCACTTCACGGCATGATACTTTGCAATGCGTTCTTAAACTCACAGTTTGTGAGTCAACTCGAAAACGACGCTCGCAGGGTAAGTCTTAATCCGGGGGAGGTCATTAAGCCAGGTCCAGAACCCGCAGCATCCGCCCAGCATGGGGACATCACGTGCCACCCCTAACACCGGGCAGCGTGATCCTGTTGTCAGGCGGGGAGGTGGCCGCCTGCGCCGCCGCCGCCACTGACCGAGCGCCGTCGGCCGCCAGAGTCGGTACGAGCCAGCATCAGCCTGCCGGAGCCGGAGGTGGCCGTGGGCGCGCGGCTGAGGATCCCGTGCCGTACAGCCGGCCGGCCGCCGCCCACCGTCTCCTGGTACAAGGACGGCGAGCTGGTGTGGCCGGACGAGAGGCGGCAGTTCGACGGTCAGTGGCGGCGCCGAGTCAGGGCATCGGGGCGGCCCCCATCGGCGCCGGAGGGCATGGTGCGCAGGGATGCAGTACCCACGGGAAAGGGGGGGGGGGGGATCCTCAGGGGAGGACGAGAGATGCAATGGAGGCGGCACATGCGTTTGGAGGGGGCGGAGGGGAGCGGAGACACCTGAGAGGTTCACATTTATGGGCATGCAAGACCAGGACCTGGGGTGCCATGTTTACTGACTAACTGTAGGTGACTGTAACCTTGACTACCATATATGTCAATGTTGGCCGGCTCGGGAGGCGTGGCTCATTGACAGGTGCAGATCGGAGGTCACTCGGCTCGATCGTCCTCCTTCGCTTTTCTATGTTAATGCCTCGGTCGATGCCGCCGCCCAGGTCACTGCATGCACTATTGGTGTGGTGACCGCGGCTGCTGTGACCCCGTGTGTGTGACATGGTCAGGTCCGCCGTGTGTGACGAGATCGGGTCCGCCGTGTGTGATGAGGTCAGACCCGCCGTGTGTGACGGGGTCAGGTCCGCCGTGTGTGACGGGGCCAGGTCCGCCGTGCGTGGCGAGGTCAGACCTGCCGTGTGTGACGAGGTCAGACCCGCCGTGTGTGACGAAGTCAGACCTGCCGTGTGTGACGAGGTCAGGACCGCCGTGTGTGACGAGGTCAGACCCACCGTGTGATGAGGTCAGAACCGCCGTGTGTGACGAGGTTAGGCCCGCCGTGTGTGACGAGGTTAGGCCCGCCGTGTGTGACGAGGTCGGACCTGCCGTGTGTGACGGGGTCAGGCTCCGAGTGTGATGAGGTCAGGCCCGCCGTGTGTGACGAGGTCAGGTCCGCCGTGTGTGACGAGGTCAGACCCACCGTGTGATGAGGTCAGACCCGCCGTGTGTGACGAGGTTAGGCCCGCCGTGTGTGACGAGGTTAGGCCCGCCGTGTGTGACGAGGTCGGAACCTGCCGTGTGTGACGAGGTCAGGCCCAACGTGGGATGAGGTCAGGTCCGCCGTAGTGTGACGAGGTCAGATCCGCCGTGTGTGACGAGGTCAGGTCCGCCTGTGTGCGACGAGGTTAGACCCACCGTGCGATGAGGCCATAACCGCCGTGTGTGACGAGGTTAGGCCTGCCGTGTGTGACGAGGTCAGATCCGCCGTGTGTGACGAGGTCAGACCCACCGTGTGTGACGAGGTCAGACCCACCGTGTGTGACGAGGTCAGGCCCACCGTGGGATGAGGTCAGGTCCGCCGTATGTGACGAGGTCAGACCCACCGTGTGATGAGGTTAGAACCGCCGTGTGTGACGAGGTCAGGTCCGCCGTGTGTGACGAGGTCTGACCCGCCGTGCGTGGCGAGGTCAGACCCGCCCGTGTGTGACGAGGTCAGACCGCGCCTGACTGGCGCTGACCGGCGACAGGCACGGACCTAGTGGTGCGGTCTGCCGAACCGTCCGACTCCGGTATGTACCGGTGCCAGGCGGCCAACCAGTACAGCACGGCCGAGAGCACAGTCAGCGTCCGCGTGCAGGGTGAGAGTCCAGCCGGCGGAGCCTCCCCGGTGCCGCCCGTCCCGGTGGCGGCCGCGTACGGAACAACGCGTCGCGGCAGACGAATCAAAACATGGGAAGCGTGTCCGTCGCCAGTGTTGTCACGTCTTGTGAATGAAAGCTTTGACTCCAGATTAAACACCGTAATCAAAGGATCTGGCTGTTTGGTTTTGTGTTTAGTATTTCCCTTTTATCCGAGGTCGTATATTTACAGATATATGCGAGCGCTGCCCTGTAGGGCTCACGAATCCCGGTCTGATCTTTGTGCCTTCGATGAAGCAGCTGCCAGCTCCCTGGAGCATCGGCCAGGACCAGTGCCAGAAGCCTCCGCTAACCGCGCACACGCAGCCAGGGATTCACTCCCGACCCGCCTCCGCAGGTGTATTCGTCCACCAGAACTGCACGGACAACCCGTTCTTCGCCAACTGCAGGCTGATCGTGGCCGCTCGCTACTGCAGCAATCAGTACTACTCGCGCTTCTGCTGCCGCTCGTGCACGCTTGACGGCCAGCTGCCGTCGCTCGGCTCCCACCTGTACAACCAGCGCGGTGAGTGAACTCACTCCTGGACCATGGGCGGGGCGAGTGGGCCACACCCAGACTGTCGCCAGGGCGAGCGTGGTCACACTGGGCAGCCGGCGGGGTGAGTGTGGTCACACTGGACAGCCGGCGGGGTGAGTGTGGTCACACTGGACAGGCCGGCGAGGTGAGTGTGGTCACACTGGACAGCCGGTGGGGTGAGTGTAGTCACACTGGACAGCCGGCGGGGTGAGTGTGGTCACACTGGACAGCCGGTGGGGTGAGTGTGGTCACACTGGACAGCCGGTGGGGTGAGTGTGGTCACACTGGGCAGCCAGTGATAAGGTGCCGGGGCGATAAGACGCTGGCTATCCGGCGGCATGGGTTGCTGATATCGCGGCAATGAGACAAGTGGTTGGTGGACGTGGAGCGAGCAGGCGTGCCGGCCATTCCCATCTCCGCGCCGCAGACATCCCCGCTGAGTCAGCTGACGCGTCGGCCGTCATTTCAGGGTACTTCGCCGCCTCCGCCGCTGCGGCAGAGGCGGCGCGGCCGGCGCGCGTGCTGGCGCCGGGCCCGGCGACGGTGGGAGCGCGCCGCCGCCTGCCGCGCCGCCGCCGCCTGCGCCGCCTGCGGGTGCGCTTCGGCCCGCGGCGCCGCCCGTTCCGCCCCACCCAGGTTCCGGTCAAGGTCACGGGGTCACCGGCGGAGGTCACCAACCCGGCCAACGCCACGACCGCGGCGCGGCCGTGAGGAGGCGGCGGGGTGGAAGGGGGGGGGGGGACGCTGGTTAGACTGCGAAGGACCAGTCTCGGCCGAGGGGCAGGAGGCGTGGTTCCAGCCGACGGGCGGCCTTGGTCCATGGCGGGGCATCACGCGGAGAGTCTAAGCAGCCCGCCAGCACGATGTGTTGGGGTGCATCTTGCACGCTTACCGCTCGCCAATCCGATGTTCGCGGGGCTAAACTGGCTTACTGTGAGCACCTGACTGTTCTGTACTTTCTGTGAAGCGTCGCATGCGCTTGCGTCGAAGTACGCATCAGCGAAAAACTTACGACTTGTCTGCATCGCCTGTTCTGCGAGTGATTTGTTCGCACTTGTTGCTAACCATGTGGGCCAGAATGCCCAGCTACCGCGTCATGTCAGTTATCATGGATACCGCTGTGGCGGGGGTCACGGACGATCAATGTGGAGAAGCTTTGACGACGCCTTTTTTGTTGCGTTAGCCGTGCTAATACGACGTCCCGGCACCACGCACTGCGCTGATCAAGAGACACGCCCGGCAAATACGAAGGAGCTTTGATGACCTTGTTTGTATTGTGTTTACGCTGGCAAGACGGCGTCCCAGCGGGACTCGGCAACCCTTCGCATTCCTGTCCGGTATCGGCGACTGAAGCATCCACCGCCGCCCAATGGCCGATTAGTGTCGCTTCTGATGACCCCCAGCCCATGCATGGAAGACGCTCTGTTGGCGTCACACTGTCACCTACCCGTTTATTGACCACGTCGGCAATCACCAACAAGCGCTTCGTCTCCGGCGGTACCAGCCCTACCAGGAGGGAAGCAGAGCGCCACCACCGTATCAGCCGGTGATCAGCTGGCCGTGATGTAGCAACATCGGCCGCTGGCCGCTAGACGCGACCGTCGGGCACACATTGGCGGTGGCTCTTCCGCGCGGTCACGCCCCCGCCCGCTGTGACGCTGGCCCGGCGGTGCCGCCAGTCGCATCTGCAAAGCCCCCCCCCCCCCCCCACGCGCTCCACCCGTGTCAGGTGTCAGAACAGTCCGGGCTGCCGTGATCGGGCATCGCTGCCTCGCTGACAGCTGTCAGAAGCCCGCGCAAAAGGGTCGTGATCCCGTCACAGACCACGACAGCGGATCGGGTTCTCGCGGAAAGGATGATCATTCGGGAGAACACTGACGACGTGGTCTTGATGTTGCAAGGTCACATTACGACAAGTGTGGCTAAACGCCACTAGCCTTCCATGATCACAACTAACGCCCGTGCCTCATCGTGCCTGATCTGCCACACTCCCAAGAGTATATTTAATTACACGTCAAGCCTTATACTAAGCCCTAACCGATCGCCGACGTCAGGACCCGTCCCGAATGGGCTTGAGCAGCGTCGGCTTGTGAGAGTACATCTCTGGCACGAGACTCGACAACGTCAGGTGGGTGAGGATCGCCGTCAGGCCCCACACTCGGTGCGGCCCGTTCAGGAACACCGGCATCGAGTACCCAGCGCCGCCGTCCTTGCGCCGGTACTGCGTGTGGCCGACGTTCTCCGCTCGGCAGAGGTGCTCCAGCGAGAGGAAGAACACGTCCTCCACCTCGCGCGGCTCGGGCCGCAGGTGCTCCAGCTCCAGCTCACCCACGTCGGCCACAAACGCCGCCACCGGCTTGCCATCGTGGCGCGAGTTCATCTGCGGGAGCGCGGCCCACAGGCGGTCGCGGCCCACGCGGAGGCCCACCTCCTCGCGCGTCTCGCGCAGCGCCGTGGCGAGCGGGTCGGCGTCGGCCGCGTCGCGGTTGCCGCCGGGGAAGGCCACCTCGCCGGCGTGCTTGTTGAGTGCCGTCGAGCGGAGCGTGTACAGCAGGCCCGACCGGCCGGCGACGCGGCCCAGCGGCACCAGCACGGCGGCGGCCGGCGCGCCAGTCGCCGCCCGGCAGCCGCAGCCGCAGGCGCGACAGCCGCTCGGCGAAGGCGGCGCGTCGCTCGGGCGTCAGCAGGGCGGCCGCGTCCGTGGAGAGGGCTCGGCCCGGCGCCACCAGGCGGCGCCACATGGTGCCGGCGCTGTGGACACGGCGGTCCGTCAGGTCTGTGGCCCTCGGGCACGACAGGCACACTGGCGCAGTGTATTCACAGCTTGTCAACGTTAGGTAAGCGGCAGGTGCTCGATACTGGATCATCGACGGCAGGGCAGGCGACTGACGAGTCCGATGGCAGGCGACGCCCAGGAAGGAGAGGATTGCGGTCGGGGGTTGCCAGTCCAGGGTAGAACAGCCAACGCTCGGTGTCGGCAGTGACGAGTGGGCAGAAGTACTCATTCGCAGAATAGGAGACTACCCAGGTTACACAGTAGCCACTGCATGGGAACACGACGGGGAGGGAGGCGCCTCGAAACATGAGGAGAGGCACGCAGTGCTTTCCAAGGCCCGCCGAGGCAACAGTGGGCCAATAAGGAGACGCCTAATTATTCGAACGGACATTGCATTTCACCAGTCGTCCGTGTAGGTGGCGCCCAATGCGCTCATCTACTAACTTATTCGCGTCGACATGGGTGCTGGTACCTTCTTAAGCATGGACACGATACTAACCTTCGTTCACGCATTGAACAAACACAGGCTGCCGCTCTATATACAGGTGTGCAAGACAGCAGCACGCCACCAGCCCTCAGCTGGCCTTTCTCCTCGCCCTTGGGATAAGCGACTTTCCACTCCATTTCAGACGACTGGCCAAATCCCACGCATGTTCCTGGGCTATGCCGTATATTCAAACCCTCATGCATATCTTGACATATCACAGACGCTTTATGCGAACCGTTCACACAACAGTGAGAGTCGCGCACTGTGTCGGAGCGTACGACGGCCGAATCGTGTCTCTGTGCGACACTACTCTGGCTTACAGTTTCCACCAGAGGCAGACCCAGCAAGGGAGGCGTCGCGCTTCATTGTGGTGCCCCATGAACTCCCCCGCCCCCCCCCCCCCTCCACAAAGAAGTCCCCAACAAAATATATTTCGCAGGAATTATTCGCTGGTTTCAGTGCACTTTATTTCTGAAGGTCAATTTTCTTTTGTTTTCTTTTATGCTGAACTTGAATGTTTAGGGCCGTTTGTGGTGCCCCTGAACTTTGGTGCGTCTTGAAAATAAAGGTTATGGTGGACCCAAAAAGAGGATTTTGGTGCCTCTTTGGCCCAGAGGAGGCATGACCCAATAAGCCTTCCACCCCCCCCCCCCCCCCTTCTGGGTCCGTCACTGGTTTCCACCCAGTTTACATCGGAAACCATTTTGATAAACACATCAGTGACACGTGGTTGGTACCACGACCTCCAGGTCCTCTATTTCCTTTAAATCGGCATGTTCGCAGGTACAACTCCTGTTCCAATAGTTCAACGCACATCACATAGGCAGCCCAGGGTCAACTAGACAATACTATACAAAAGCAACTCCTCCGCAGCTAATCCGAAGCAGAATAGCGGAATTGCCCGTCTCCTATCGAACGTACGCATGTACCGAACACATGTACCCTATCAGTGTTTGATTAGGAAATTTAAGACGCCCAGCAACGTCAGCATTCAATCTCTCACTACAGGAGTGTTCAGTCCAATGCTCGCTGCCCCGCACCGCGCATAAGCAAGTGGCGAATCTTTTCATCACGCCAAAAACGATCAAAAGCGTCTGAAAATCACGCGATTGAGGCGATGGGCAAATATGTCCGTGGCGCTGGCCCGAGCTTGGATCAGACCCGCTTCGACCGCAGAGCAGGGGACGCCATCACCGCTGGTGACGACTTCGGCGTCGGCGAGGACCGTCCGGCTGGGGACGGGCGCACGGCTGGGGTCGAGCCCATGGCGCCGTCCGGCACTGTTTCGCCGCAGAGGCATTGTTCCATGCCGCGCGCGTCGGCCGCCAGGTAGGCGTCGTGCGTCCAAGCGGCCTGGAACGCCGTCAGCGCCGCCGGGCTGTCCGCGTGCGCCATCCAGGCGGCCACTGTCTGCTTGACGCGCAGTTCGCGCTCGTACAGCGGCAGCAGGGCGGCGGCGGCGCGTGCGCAGCGGCCGGCGTCCCAGTCCGCTGGCGGCGCGGCGGCGGTCGGCGGCGCCCGCTCCGCCAGCTGCCGCAGCGCGTCGAGCTGGCTGGCGGCCTGTCGCAGCCGCTGCAGCTGCAGCTGGAGGCCGTCGGCGCAGCTGGCCAGCCGGCGGCAGGGCTCGGCCAGGCCGACCGGGTAGCCGTCGTCGGCGGCGCCGCCCTCCACCTCCCACGGCCGGGCCGCCCGCTCCAGCGCCGCGCCGCGGACGGCCGCGATCCGCGCCACCAGGGCGGCGCCACCGGCGCGCTGCTCGGCCCAGCCGGCGGCGCCCGCCGCCCAGCCGGCGCGCGCCCTCTGTAGCCGGTACGCGACGTCCGAATAGAGGCTCATGGCGGGGTGCGAGGCAGCAGAGCCACTCCCGCACGACGCCTCGCGTTGAGCGCGAGGAGACGTCGGAAGCGACGGGCACACAGTCGTCTGCGGAGGCAGGAAGCAGACGACCGCTGGTCGAAAGGCTGAAAGGGCGATTCTCAACTGAACTAGTCTGCCACGCTTTACGGACGAGGACGGTACAATGGGATGAGGAACAGGTTAATGTACTGCATTTTTCATTGCATGTACAGCACACAGAGCCACATAATACCCATACAGGCTACAACACATTTACACCTTGGGGCAAATACAAAAAAGCCTACCAAAGCATTCTTTTCTTTCCTGTTACAGCTATTAAGTTAGCTCTTGTAACTGCTAATCGTCATGCTGCTTGCACATCTAGCAATCTTTTCAAAGAGATTAAAAGCCCTGACAAGGTTCTTTGTTGTGTGTTATGTAAATATTGCAGTCTTAACAAGCTTGATAGACCAGCAATGTTTTCTAAACACGACTTGCAAGGTAAAATATTTTGAAGCGTGCAGTAAGACAGAAATAATGCTGCTCATCAAGCCTTTCATGGCCAGACTGCTTGTTTTCGTCTCAGAGGAACTGCTTCCGACTGTGAATAGCTGTGCACGGCGTTGAGTCCAATTCCGACCCGGAGAAATGCAGTATAAATTGGAGTCCGAGCCCATTCCGATCCGACGATATGTGAGTTGTTTTTGACATTGGGGTTTAACGACGCACTGAGCTACTGAGGCTATAAGTATCGCCCGCCTCTCACGATAGCAAAAAGGGTGGACACCATGGGAAATCTAACCCCGTACCAGAGGTACGGGGTTCTACTGCCCCCCCCCCCCTCCCCACACACACTACCGAGCCCAACCACTGCCCTGTCGTATTCCCGAGGATAAGTGGATGTATTCTAGAATGAATCTCGATGGAGTCGATTCCGGCGACGACCGTTGAGGCCTGACTTATAAGCTTCACAAATCCTGCATAGAGTATTCATTACATTCATTTTCAGATTGGAATGGGAACATATCTTATTTGGGTCCTGGATAAGCCTCTAAGTTATAAATATATGCTGTTGCTTCCACCTTCATCTGAAATCAGCCCCCAATGATTTGACTAGCTTGAACCCAAATTAAAATCACATGCCTATTTCCAAGGCATTGCTTCCACCATGACAATGTCAGTTTATGGATTCAAGAGTTGCTTTTGACTCTGTTTGGAGCTTTGCAAGCACCAATAACTCCACTCATGTGGACCAGAAGAGGACAGCATTTAATCACAGGTGTGCCCAACAGTTTTTACATAACGGCCATGGCATGGGCCAATGAGCATGGCAGCCTAAAGTTCTAGTTTCCTCCTGACCACTTCTATCCTGATGATGATGATGATGCTACTGAAGGCTGGTCCATTTGACTTAATGGTTGGGCATAGAGTAGTTCTTGCATCCTCAACCATGGAAATATTGTTGAGGCACTATTAAAGAGTGAGAACACTTTGTTTCTATTCAATAGCAAGAGTTCACCCCAGCCCTTCAAGTATTCAACTCTTGCATCTTCAACCTCAGACCCACATACCTCCCAAATACTTTTCTGTCATGCATTGATGTTCAGTCTGCACAATTTAATAGATGTTTCTGTATTCCCCAGGGCCCCTTTGAATGTTCTTAATCATGCTCCTGAGGGCTTTCCTGCAGCAGGTAAAGCAGGCATGATCAACATCTTCAGATTGGGTGTACATTATTAGATCCATTTTCTTCTTCTTGAGGGCATAAACCATCTCTGCAACTTACCACATGCAGTGATTCATCATCATTGTAACAGGCTTAGGATAAGATACAAATGTCTCCAAACAAAAATAAGCTTTCTTCAAGAAGTTACATGATTTGAGTGCATGGTTTTGACAAAGTAGTGGTGGTGATGAATGTCTGATGGAAAGCATCATTTTATCCCAGTCAATACAAGACATATTGAAATCTCCTGGAATAAGGTAGTGGGATAATAGCTTTGAAGTTATAATATCTACCACAAGGTCTCCATACAAAGATGTAATTCCCCTGACTGTGGAGGTGCAGTCCTCACCCCCAACTTTGAAAAGGAAGTAGGCCAAATATGATGAGAAACACACATTTGGACACCCTTTGTGGGTAACTTTAGCCAGGTGTCTTGCTCAGTCAGGCCAAAATTATTTTGTAAAACTATATCCAAGTTTACATATTGCAGGACATAAAATGATAGAGGAAATCAATACTAGACTGATCTAATACCTCCTTACCTTATGAAAGCTACAAAATACACAAACCGCACTGAATGCATACCATCTCCACTTCCAGTGACTAACCAGAGAGAACATCTACCTGACATAATGAGCAGGAAACTGAGCTATGAATGCAGTTTGCATCAGCAGTTATTCTATTAAATTCTAAATGTCTGATCAGATCCTATTATTTTTGGTTTTATATTGACTCAGTACAATATACTTTTGTATATTTTTAAATAAACTTACTGGCATTATTGAATTGATATGCAATAACATGCCCAACCCCACAACACATTCACCTACATTCTGAAATGCACTCTCAGTGGCAGAGGGAGCTAGAATGTGTGCAAAATGATGCTCTGATTGGCTGTGTAAATAAACTCCTTGTTTACTATGGATATACCATATTTCCTTCTCAAGTATAATGAACTTAGCATATTGCACAAGGAGCTAAACATAATTATTAGTGGAGAAAATAGCATGTGTCATAAATGGAGCTAGTTAGGATGTCCAAATATAACCAAGCAGGTTTAGTTGCATGCTTGAACTTCAAAAGTTAAAATTGCTTTGAAATGCACATCTTCAGTTGGGCTGCAGCAAATGCATCCTGCTACAAGTCATCAGCTTTCTGCAATCAACCTTAAAGTAACCTTCATAAAACAGATACTTGTTCATGATTCAGATGTTGCATCTTTCATACAAGTGGAACCGCATGCACGATGTGCCCCTCACATACAATTATATCAAGGCAGATAAAACCCTGATGCAATTACACTTCAGGCCACAAAAACCCTTACAAATCACATTGTTATGCACAGGGGACTGGCTGAACAAAATGAGCTGAGAAAGGGGTGGAGGCTGAGCAGTGAAAAACGATGCAGCCTGCCCTGAAACCACATCAGTAAATAGATTTCTCCAGATTTAGTTCACGCTCTTCCAAAAGTTTTTTTTCTGGAGGGATGGGGCTCAAGTTGGGGAGGGGGCAGGAGACCCCCAACAACAGAGTTAACGAGAACTGTGGCTAGGAGCCTGGTTTGATCAACAAGTAGGACAGTAATTCACCTTAAAGAAGAGCGTGGGAAGCAATCTGAAATGTCCTGGAGCTTTTGATGGCCACTCAACAAATCCTCTTATATCTAGCGCAATTATGCACACGGTGAAAACGCGCCCCACCGCACGCAGCGCCCGAGTATACAGTGCAGGACGTGCGATGCAGACGTCTCTAGAGCGCCAATTACGGTCGGAAAAACAAAAAGTCTGGACATTTAAAATCCTTCATATGCTTACATGAATTCCGGCAAAGTTAGCAAAACATGGAATTACCGGGATGCATGTCAAGCCAATATGTTATGCGCCAAAGCGATCGTATCTTAAATATGTCAGTACCATAACAGGTTTCAAACATTTCAGCTTGGGTGTCTTTAAGTGATTACCTGCTTTTTCCCATACCAAATGAGGTACTTCCCGGAAAAGGTAGATCAGGGCTGTCATACAGTCTTTTCTTAGTTCTCACGCAACTTCAGGCTTGGGTTACTAATCTAGATGACTGATGCAAAATGTTTCATCATCTATTGAACGATGATTTCTTCTCGTAGCGATATGCGAGACATGATTTTGTTTTTGAAGCGTAAGTAAAGGAAATTTGGTGAAGGCTTTTTCTGGATCCGGAAAACTTGCACCACTTACACCACTGCGCCACAGCCGCCGCAAAGTGAGGCTCTGTCATTTGTGTGAGCACGTTCGCTTCTGTGGGCGAACTCCGGAATGCATTCTGTGTTTTGCTCGCGGCGGCGATAGATCAATTCTTTTGTATGATTGTGCTCTACCTCCCGTGACGTGACGTGTCTCTCAAAACGCGTTTATAAAATTATCGTGCAACATATGTCTTTATGAGTGAAAACTCCTAAACTTTAGTGTGGTGGTCGGAACGCCCACAATGGTTTGAAATGGCCACTAATGGTGCTCCGGAACATTCGAGCGTGGGATCTTTCTCCACCAACGAGGCGACCAAGAGCTTCATCTATCATCCAACATTAAATGTTATCCTGTTGATAACCAAAGATGCAAACATCAGGGTTCTTGATGTCCTTTCTTGTCAAACATTGCACATAGCAACACCACCTGTCAAAGGTAAGTAGTAGGGAGTGATGTATTGGCTCTGAGAAGCATATTGCATATTTAGTTTATTGGGTTTATTTCATATATATATATATATATATATATATAAATTAGTCTGGCTGTATGCCATTCAGAATATATTGCTCCAGTATGTGATCATGCTTATGTGCAGTGCAGTCTACCTGAAGTGGGCATCATGGTTTTGGGCAGACCTTAGGGGTGACCAAATTTTGTCATGTGAATACTGCACAAAAATTTCATGATTCCAAGCTGATATGCATGCACCTTGTTTGGTAACCAGAATGTGACTAGTCATAATACACAGTAGGAATTCATATTTTGGGGAATGTTTTCTAAAAATAGCTATGCTGTATTGAAAACCAGAAGTTATTTTGTGTTGTCTTTATCACTGAGACCTGTTAGACAGAATAACCAGTCACATTTGGTGTTGTTTTTACACTAATTAGGAAGTGTTTTATGACTCCATAGGCACTATCAGATATGCCACTTCTAGATGTGCCAGGCTCTGAGTGCATAGCTAAAATGATGAACATAGAGTGTTTATCACATTTTTTAAACAGTGGCAAGCATAATGATGTAAGGATAGATGAATTCAATGTTGCTTGTGTCAAGGCTAACAAAGGAGGATATGTATAACAAGGGACTATGGTGTTATTGGTTGCATTTGGTTGCCTTCATTAATATTGCAATGTTTGGAGTCGATGATCATACAAAGGAATGTCTTATTGAAGAACCTCAGGATGGCTTGCAGAAAATGCTTTTGCACCTAATTGCAGTAAAGCCAAAGTTTAAGTGAAAATCATGTGGCCCTTTCTATCCTACACATAATAAGGTATGTAGGATAGTGCAATTTGCTCAATTTTGGAGACCCATTAGTAAATAGGACATATGGCCTTGTCTTGCTTAGGGTTAACTGTTATCATGTGTTCCCAACTGTCTATGGTTTGGGTGGAAAGGAATACCTTAAAGAAGATGCAACAATGATTGGTTGGCTGGTCTGGGTTGGACCTGTTGTGGGTTTTAGGATATGGTGGCAAGGTATGTTTATGCTATTCTTTTCTATATCCAGAAGCTGATTGGGTAGATTGTTTATGGTCATTTTCAGTTATTGTTGGATCATCTTCAAGACACAACCTACAGAATGTTTCAAAATTATTTATTTGCATGGATCAGTATTGTAACAACATGATGAAATACCCTTGTGACAGTGTCTTTGTTATAACTCCTGAATTGTTGAAGCACATGGTGAGTGCCACTGAGTCCAGTTAGATATGGGATGGAAAGTCCATATATATATATATATATATATATATATATATATATATATATATATATATATATATATATATATTATACACCATTATATATATATATATATATATATAATGGTGTATATCTAATATATAAATGTTTGACACAGTAAAAGTATATATGCAAATAACTGCAGATATGTCAGGACAGATGATATCACATGCTGGTTATGCTGACATGATAAATATGGTATGGATCATAGAGATCATTTGACATAATGTAAATCAAAACTTTGCTTCTCTGGGGGGCTTTAATTGGCATTTCAGTAGAGAATGAAACTTCAAGCCATCATCAGATCTGTTTCATCTTTGGGACATTTTTGAGCATATGCTTTCAGCAGTGTTCTGTGTGTTTTCTCATGCAGGATTGGGGCTGTTGACATTCCACAGAATTCCATGGCTGTTTTGAGCTGTTGAGACAAGCACCTGAAAACTGATCTCTCAACACATCATGTTTACAAGCTTTTAGGTGGCTGATGTCCCATATATTTTGGGGCTTCCCTATCTTTTTTTTGTGTTCTTTCATTGCTGTTAGATAGAAGGATGAAGACCAATAATGACAACATTACAATAGGAAAGTAGTTGAATGAGTGAAAAATGAATGAAGGGTTTTTCATGAGGGGTTTTTCACTCATATTTTTATTTCACTTCCATCAAGGCTTCTTTTAGCTAGATGTGGAAATAAATTGTGTTGTTGATCATGATGGTATTTTGCCAATCTTCCATTTGTATTTGCATTATTGTCCTGTAAACTCTGTTGGTTATTTTCATAAAAGCATTTGATGTTTCCATCAGACTATTTCTAATTTTCATCCATATCATTGTTTAAGCTTGTCCTGTAAAGGGTTTTTGCACTCAATCCTTTTTGGTGTGAAATTTCACCCCAGTTTGAAAAAGAAACTACAGAAAGGAGAGCTGCATGCAAATCACTTTTTGGTTGAATATTTTTTATTTACATCTTTCTCATTTAGATCACTTTTTGGCTAATCATTTTCTGTTTTTGTTTACATCTTTCCTGTTTATGTTGCTATGATTTTGTTTCCATTCATTTGTTTTTCAATTGTGGTTTTATTTAAAACCACATGCTGATATTATGTCAAATATTTTACAATTATATCATCCACATGCATGCATCTTGTCCTTGCAGGCTGGAAAATGCTCACACAGACTAATTCTGGAAGTGTTTTCACTTGGCTCAAGAGCCAGTGGCAAGCACAATTTTTACTCACAAAAGTCAAGAACTGTCAGTGCATCAGGACATGGCCTCCGCACCATGCACTGCTGGAGAGCCATGCCACTCAGTGCACTCCTGGCAGCACGGCGGCCGTGCGGCAGACGGATGGCATGTGGCGCGGCGTCTGTGACGGGGGTCACGGACGGAGCGAGGTCTCGTCCTCTCCCCAGTGGGAGCCCAGATAGGTGTCCCTCCCCCCTCCCCAACCCCTTCCCGTCCAGGTTACACTCAGACGGGCTGCCGCGCTTCTTACACCCGGCGGCCGGTGGGTATCAGTCTGGTGTCAGGTGGTCGCCGCTGGCGCCACTAACGAGCGGGGTGGCTTGTTTGGTTTGGCGTCCTGCACGCGAAACGAAACAGCTCGCCGAGCGGGTGCGGAAGACGTGAAACAGCATACCATGAAACACTCGAAAGCTACCAAATTTCGCTTTACGTCATTCAGGTTTTGACCACAACCATCGGTCATTTAGAGTCATTGAGCAGTTCTCAAATTAGTGTTTTTTATGGGACGAACACCTGATGGAAGGCTGTGGACAGCGCATTTTCTGAGAGGAGAACATCCAGTAGGAGGCCGTTTTCCCGGCGCTGGCTGGTGGCAGACCACCCCCGCTTGTGGCGGCTCGCCCGCGCCCCCGGATGACCACAACTCGTGTCAGCCTCCCACAGCAGCACGACGAGGGAAGGTGTCACCTGACGAGCACGCCTCACGCACACACGCCGCGTTTGAGTGGCCGGCCGGGACGAACCGGTGCCTCGTTGACCGCCACCTCCGCCGCAGGCCGGCCGCTGTTCGGCGCGTACCTGCCGGGCGTCGACAAACTCCTGCTCTGCGACGGCCATGCGGTGGGCGTGCGCAAGGACCACAGCGGCATCGTGCTGCTGGACTCGATCCTGCAGACGCCGGTGGCGCGGCCCGACTGCGTGGTCAAGCTGGACATCCCGCTCTCGGAGGTGGGTGCGGGGCGCGCGCGCTGCCCGCCGATCCGGCTGGGCGCCTGCCGCCCGGAAGGTGGCGCCCGCGTTGGCCAGGTGCGCGCGCTCCCGGAGACGGGTTTGGTTTACGCCAGTGACGCGCGTGTAAGCTGCTAGCTGGGTGAACCTGGCGCTCGGTTTGGTGTCATCATTTCTGTGGAAAACGTGTGGCACGACCAGCGAAAGCGGTTCCATCTCATCGCGATTTAAAGGCGTGACCATCGGCGACGGTGAAACAGCGATGAAATAGGTCAGATGTACTTGACGATCCTCAAGCCTTTGATGAACGTGGTATGAAACTTGAGGATGGTGTGAAACGATGCGAATAATGCTTTTCTCAAACAAGCACGCTACGTTGTCCGTTACGTGAGTAGACAGGTCGTTCCGCCTGTGTACAGGAGCGGATGAGACTGGTACCAGAAGGCGCGCATGCAATTTATCTTTCCACTCTGTGAGTGGAATCAAGGTCAACCCGTCACCGGAGTGCCGGTGAAGCCGGTGCCATGCGGCGCGCGCTGCGTAGCGTTTTCTGGCGGTGTATCCGCCACTGTCGGATGGGCCGGAAGTCGGGGTGGCAGGGGGCGCCCGCGCGGGACGCGGTGCCTCGCACCGACCGTCGATCGTTGGCGCCCTCCCCTCCTTCCAGACTTATGTCTAGCCGCTGACTCACAGCCGGCAGGCTCGCCCTCCGCTGAGCCGCCTCCGGGGGGCGACAGGGTGGGACCACCGTCTCCACCCCCGATCCCGGCGGTGGAGACGGTGGCGAGCAGGGAGTGGGCTGGTGCTGCCAGTCCGCTGACTCAGCGCGATACACGGCCGGGTCTAGAAAACTGGTTGTGGTCTGGGTTATTTCTATCGAGTTCTGTTTGCGGCCGGGCAAAATATCCGCCGGTAACCCGATTACCACGTCTGTAAGCTAGCACACTGCATGTAATGCGGATAGTATTTTGCATGCGGTTGAAGAAAGCCCCTGAGTGATGGAACATGCGACAGGACTTTCAGGAACGTGGTCACGTATGTAGTGAACTTCCCCTCCTTGTTCAGCAATGCGACCTAGTCGCGTTAATCCTTTATAGCTTGACTCAAAATTGACACGTCGTACGCCCAATGGTCTGAGCGGAGCCCACTCTATGCAGACCCTGACACAGTCTCCCAGATGTTCACAACTGCGCACGCGCTTCGCCCCAGGTGGGCGGCCACTCGTCCGGAGAGATGTGCGACGTTGTCACCATGTCCGTCAATCACCTAGCGTCGCCTAGCGACCAGTGTCGCCATGCCATTGAGCGGAGAAAAGAAAAAAAAAACAACAACGAAGGCTAACGTCGGCTGTTCCGCCAATTCCCCTCAAATTGTAGCCGTGTTGCCCTAAGCTGTCAGTAGGTCGGTGTTTGCGACGCATTTTTCACATACCTCCTGTGAACCAGCCCGTGTCTGCAGGATCACGGGAGAGGCACATGCATGCTTTGCATGGTGCACTTTGCTTGAAGACTTGTCTCCGGGCCTGTTTGAAGAAGTTTTAAGAACTCGGCCTGCGTATGTTTTCTTGGAGGCAATGTCCGACATGTGACATAGAAACATGCGTAACACATGCGGAATGGATGTGACAACAGCTCCTGTTCGGCACCCAATTCCCTGTCATCATTAAAAGCACCTTGGAGGTCAAATCAGGATGTAAGGCGCTCAGTCTGTCAGAGCATTTTGGCAGATTGCTCGGAAAATTTGCCCTGTATCAAGATCTGCTGGGAAACCTAGATTAGAGCGGCCCACGTGACTCTTGTGGCTTTTCCCGGCAATGCCGTCGTTACGTCCGGGATATGTTACGTCATCAATTGTGACGGAAATAGGCAGGGTTACATCCGGCACTTGGAGTCCGTACAGATGCACCGGTTGAAATGGGCATAACCAGGATTGTCATCTGGGGGAGGCTCAGTGAGAGTGCATCGCGATTGTTTTAACGTTCTGTCAGGAGCTGTCTGACACCAACAGAAAAATGCGAGCCCAGGGGAGAAGGCCGGACGTACCCCTCCCCTCCTCCTGGCTGGGGGAGGTCCGGCCGGTCCGACTGCCCCCCCCCCCCCCCCCCCGGTCGAGACTGGAGTGCATTGGATGCTCGGAGCGCGGTGTGAACTGAGGCTCCCCTGGAGCCTCAGTGTCGGAGTGTGCAATCCCGATTATGGGCGTTGGTCAGCGGCCATTGATTTCCCGCTGTGGACAGTTGGACACACGCTGCCGCCACATGCGCGCCAGGTTTTGCAATGGCGAGTTTTTATCGCGCCAGTGTTGTCACACTTCGATCAGGGCCACTGCGCGCCCGCCCGCGAGGCGGTCGGTGCGCGACAGTTGGCGCGTCCAATGGCGCCGCCCGTCTCATCCGCGTGGGGATGGCTCGCGCGGAGCTCGCCGGTGATCACTGCTGCGCTCTTTTGTCGCGCGCTGCTTGGTGTTGGCCGTTGAGGGCGGCGGCGGGTGCGTGACGGCATGTTCAAGATGCGTCCCTTCGCGGCAGTTTGTCGGATTATGTCTTTACTAGGTCCGGGTTCGGGGACGGTGGGGCGCTCAGCGTGTACCAGCCTCGGTGCGTGGCGGAGAGACTTCGCCAGTGCGTACCGCCTCGACGCACCCCTATATTGATTGTCCTGAAGCTCAGTCTGGTGGTATCACCTTGACGCACGGGGTCGCTGTCTAACGACATCACACACGCGAAGATCGCATGATTCAGCCGATGCTGTCCTGTACCTGGGGGCGCGACACGCCCGCGTGTGTTGGTTACCCGCCGCCGTTGTCATGGCGAATTGTGACGTCCACGGCCGCACTAGTTACATGCGTCATAATATTTGTGTTTGAAGGGACCGTGGAGCCACCTGAGGTTGTGAATGACGGGCCTTTAGGTTGGGAAGGTGGCGCGTTGATGACGATAGAGGTGAAGAAGACGTAATAATAAAAGCTGGTCACGGAAAAGACAGCCGCAAATTGTCAGCCGTAGGACATCTTCATGTGGAGGGTAGAGTTGGATTGTAAGGGGGGAGGGGAAATACGTGGGAACTGAGACCGCACGTGTCCAGTGTCTAGGATGCTGAGGTCGCACGTGTCCAGTGTCTGGGTGCTGGGATCGCATGTGTCCAGTGTCTAGGATGCTGGGATCGCACGTGTCCAGCGTCTGGGTGCTGAGACCGCACGTGTCCAGTGTCTAGGATGCTGGGATCGCACGTGTCCAGTGTCTGGGGTACTGAGGTCGCACGTGTCCAGTGTCTGGGGTGCCAAGACTGCACGTGTCCAGTGTCTGGGGTACTGAGACCGCATTTGTCCTATGTCTAGGATGCTGAGACCGCCTGTGTCCAGTGTCTTGGATGCTGACACCGCACGTGTCCGGTGTCTGGGGTGCCAAGAGCGCAATTGTCTGGGTACTAGGACCACATGTATCTGACTAGTGACGCCCGGCGCGCGCCGGTGTCGACAGGCCGTGCCGCTGGCGCAGGCGCTCTCCAACACGGACATGTCGGTGCTCAACGCCTCGGCCGATGAAGACGACATCGTTTACTCCGTGCTGGAGCAGCTGCACGCCAAGATCGACGCCCACAACACCGACAGCATGGCCGACAACCTGAAGGCGGCGAAGGTGAGGCGCACCGCCGAGCCTCAGCAGGCCATCATCTGGCAACGCGGAATGGCTCTGTACCCAGTTGTTCAGCTTAGATGACGACATGTGATCCCATGTTGTGGTGGCCGCGTTTGGCTCTGTGCCACGCTGGTCTGCCGCGACTGCGGGCTGCCGGGTCGGTCTCAGTGTGTTGCGCTGTTGCCTTCCGTGACCTTTTGAATGTCCGGCGTCGCCCCGCGCACGGGACTTTGCCGGCGGGCTTGGGCTGGTGCTGCCGGCCACTTAGTACCCGGATCCCGGAGGCGCACGGCGCGTCCATAAAGGGATCTGATGATTAAGGCCCGTCTACTTGTGTAGACGGTGTTGTCGCCCGACGCCCGATGCTCCCATATTCCAGCGGTTGGTGGCGTGTCTGAGGGTGTGATGATGAAGATCTGCGCTATGTGCTCAGGGCTCTCACGCTGTGTCCACGGCGTTGCGCTCCCACGCTCAATGGGCCGTCTCCGGTGTGTTCCAGTGGAGCACGGTGTGTCTGGAGCTGCCGCTGGGCGTACTGCGCGTCGTGTTCTCTGCGCTGCTGGCCGAGCTGCTGCGCGTCGGCCGTCACATCCCGGCCGTCTCGCACGCGGCCGCCGCCGTGGAGCGGCTCCACCTGACGCTGGCGCCGGGCGCCGACCCGACGGCGCCCGGCGCGCCCGGCGCCGCCGTGCCCGACCGGCGCCGCATGTTCAGCGAGGCGGCGCGGCGCCAGACCTTCAGCCGGTGGCCGCACATGCACTACAAGTCAGTGACTAGGAGCGGGCGCGGGCGCGGACAGGGACAGGGACAGGGACGAGGCGGGAGGTGGGGTGCGGGACCACTGTCTGGGACCTGTGGAGCTGGGCTTGGGTTGACAGTCCAGTCGGTTTGCGGGTGACGCGTGGAGGAGAGGGAGGGGGGATGGAGAGGGAGCCTTGAGAGACGCTTGGTGGTATTGACTCTGGTTTCACGTTGCTTCGCAACTTCTACTCACGGAAAGGCTTTGTTTGTGAGCGTCAGCGTCAAACGGAGTGCTCGCGGTCCCTCACGCAGCAGCGAGCGCCCGAACAAAGCCGCACTTGTGTTGGGATATATTGACCCCGTGTGACATGTGATACTCTCTCGTGTGGTGGCCTGGCTCCGGCGGCAGGCTGGCGGCCCGGGAGCGCCGCGCCCTGGCTGACTTCGGGCGCCGTCCCTGCCGGCAGGTGGGCGCTGCCCGAACAGATGGCGCAGGCCGGCTTCTACCACCAGCCCAACCAGTCGGGCGACGACATGGCCATGTGCTTCACGTGCACGGCGTGTCTGGTCTGCTGGGAGCCCACCGACGAGCCGTGGTCGGAGCACGAGCGGCACTCGCCCTCCTGCCCGTTCGTCAAGGTGCGCCGCCCCGCCCCGGCCCGCCCTGTCCTCGCCCGCTGGCTGGCGTCAGCCGTGCGGCGAGCTTGGGCCGCAGCCTGTGAGAAGGCCCGTGTCAGTAATGTGGCCGTCTGGGCTCGGCGGCCAGCGTCAGACCTGGGGCGCCTTGTGTGTGGCCGCCTCACTCGCAGGTGGCGGATGCCACCATGAATGCGATGGTCGTTACACCTGAATGGAACGTATTCGTTGCTTGCCTGCTGCCGGCCTGGCCTGCTGCCGCGGCGACCCTGACGCCGCGCGTCGGCGACTGACTGGCCGCGCGCTGCCGACGCCGGCAGGGGGAGCACACGGAGAACGTGACGCTGTCGGTGACGGAGAGCACGGAGCCGGCGCAGGCACACGGCGCCGAGCACGGCGAGGAGGCGACGCTGCTGGCGGCCTCCTCGTGCGCCCACCTGGCCGCCACGGGCACCCGGCGCGGCCATCTGGTGGTCTGGAGCGCGGCCGCCACACTTACGGTACGCCCAGCGCCCGGCCGCCGCTCGACCAATGCTCGACCACTGCTCGGTCGGCGCGGATCGGCCGGGCCGTGTCGGCGGCTGAGCTGTTGGGACGGTTTCGGTGCGCACTGTTGGACCCCGTAATTGTCGCGCAATGTGTCCGGCCGGTGGCGTGTCGTCCGAGGTCAGGGGTCAGGCAATGTCGGCCTGTTTACTCGAGACTTCTGCTGCCTGCCGGCCGATTTCGTTGCCCGTTATCAGTGACATCAGCTGTTGCACACCGTTCGATTTTGATGGGTTCGTGATTTGTTCCGGTAAAGTTTTGTAAAGTGGTGTGTTACACAGAAAGCCCCTAATAGGGGCGGACTGCAACAGCTGAACCGTGCAATGTGTATGGGCGCGCTGGGCTGATAGCCGCCCGGCTCAGCTGGACACCGAGTCGAGCTGCCGTGTGCAGCGCTCCGTCTGACAGGCGGCATTAACGCTCGCCGCCGCCGTCCACAGCGGGAGCTGGCGTTCCGCATCGACCCGTCCCACCCGCTGATCCTGGGCCAGAGCCTCTACTGCGCCCAGTACAGCCTGGACGGCACGGGCGGCGTCGAGATCCCGCTGGAGAACATGGGTCAGTGGCGGCCCGGGAGGCGGCGCCGGGGCCGGACGGGGCGGACTCTGGGCGACGGTGACTCGTGGGAGACGCCGTGTCGGCGCTGGTTCAGTCCAACAGCCCAGGAAGTGTGTCGTTCTCGCGCGGTCTGTGTGCACTATCGAATGGACGGTCCGTCCGTCACCGCCGCGTCGCCCCGCCGCCGGCGCTCGACGGCGGCGGCGGCGGCGGCAGTCCCGCTCCCCTGCACCCGTGGTGACCACCCCCCTTGCCTCTCTGCCAGACGAGCTTCTGTCGGAGGCGGGCCCGGAGCCGGCCGAGGTGGCGGTGGGCGCGCTCTGCCTGCTGGCGCCGCCTGGCGAGCCGAGTCCCGGCGCGCCGCCACCGGCCCGGCCCTGTCTGGTGGCCGGCGTACGGCTGCGGAGGCGCCCCTCCTCGCACGAGCAGGCCATGAACGTGGCCAACCAGGTGCGTGGCCCGACTAGGCGTCCGCCAGAGGGACGCCGAAGGGGGCGTGGAGCACGCGCGGGATGTGACGGCAGGAGTCCAGCTGGGGATGACCTGCTGACGTCCTCATTCTCTGCTGAATGAATGGTTCGTGTGGTATAGATGTCGCTTGTGTTTTGTGTCTCATTCATACTGGTTCGCTTACTAGCGGAACGGGTATTTCAGTTAAAGCATTCCACAAGCGTTTTTTTTTTGTTGAGCGGCCGCGAGAGTGGCGCGGCGCCGAGTTTCATCAGCTCCTGCTTTCGTCGTAATTCGTGCTTGTTTCGATCGCACTGACCCGCCCGGCGTTTTCAGAGCGTGTCGCCTGGCGCTAGCAATCCACTTGACATCATGGAGATCAACAACGAGAGCATGGGGCTGACGGAGGACGAGCGCGTGCAGCCCTTCCTTCTCGTCTACGACATAAAACAGCAGGTCAGCTGCCCGCGGCAGCGGCTCCCCAGGGCGCAGACCTCAGGCGCTCAAACCGCGCTACGGAGACGAACGCAGAATGTGTGGAGATTACAAACGTGGCGTCGACTTGCGTGCAGCTTGTTCTTGGCCTGTGGTCGTCACGGAATGTGTCTTCACCATGGCGCGTGAGTACTGTTGTAGGTCTTCCTGGCGATGGTTACGCACAGAAGACTCGGTGTTCTGCCCACTGCCCACTTGCGCGCCGGCCCTGCCCCGTGTTACTGTGGTGTCGTCTGACCCGGCCACCCCCCGTCCCGGCAGGTGGCGCCGTCCAGCGCCGCCCGGCCTGCCGACACCACCGTCTTCACCCATTCGGGCAGCGGCCACACCAAGAAGATGAGCGCGCCGCCGGCCGCCGCGCCTGCCGACGCCGCGCCGCCGGCCGCCGACAAGGACGCCGAGTTCTCCGACACGCTGATGAAGTTCCTCATGAACAAGGACGAGCTGGCGGCGTTGCCGACCGGGCCCGAGTCGCCGTCGGCGGCGCCGCCCGCCGGCGCGCCGCCGCCGCCGCCGCCGCCGGCCGAGCCGCCGGCGCGGCCGGCCGAGCCCAGCCTGCTGCAGTGCGTCGGCCTGCCGCAGCCGGTGGTGGCGGCCGGCCTGGCCGTAACGACGCTGCTGCCGTCGGCCGACGGCGCGCAGTTGCTGGTGCTGGCGGCGCCCGAGCCCGGCCAGCCGGACGTGGTGGGCGGCGGCGGCGCGCTGCTCGTTTACGACCTGGAGACGAGCGGCGCCGCCGTCGCGCTGCGGCCGGTGCCGACCGTGCAGCGCCAGTACGGGCCCGCCCAGCCGCGCCCCACCGCCATCACAGTCATACCGACCGAGGTGAGGTGCAGGCTGGACCGCCGTCCCATGCTGGCGCCCGCGGATTGAGCCCCTCTGGTCTGCACTGTAGCTGGTGCCCCAGGTTGTGCTGGAGGATGGGGAGTTGCAAGTGGAGGTCAGGAACGCTCTCCGCTTGTTTGGTCTGACCTTACCGCGTGTGTCTCGCTCAGCTTTTTGCACGTGCTGGTTGTTTTCTGGCGCACGGCATATGTAAGAGCCCAGTCTGCCAGCACCGCTTCCCGGTGCTGGCAGACTTGGAGTTTGAGTTGGAGTTGTATTGGAGTGGCGGCTTGACACCCAGCCGCCGCCGCCGCCAGGTGTGCGCCAGTCCGGAGGAGGAGCCGTCCGAGCGGCAGGAGGGCCAGCTGGCCGTGCTGCTGAGCAGCGGCGAGCTCCAGCTGCTGAGCGCCGTCACGCTAGAGACGCTAACCGTGCTGCTGCCCGCCGGCTCCGGCTGCTTCGCCTGCTGCTTCTGCAACAGTGAGTGGCGGCCGGCGCTCGGCGGGGCGTGGGCTGGGCTGCTGCGACGGCGGTGGGCCGGCGCCAGGTCCGGCCGCAGCTGGTGATCCTGTGGCGGAGCGTCACCGGGTTGGTCAGCAGGTCTGTCGCCTCGCGAGAACGGTCGGTGGGACATCAGCCAGCAGGCCACGTGACTGTCACGTCTGCAGTTTGTGACGTGTGTCCGCCGGTCCGTGGTGTCTGGCTGCGGACACGCCGGCGTTGTCTGCGGTCTGTCAGCGGACGTCCAGCCTCTGCCGTGCCCGCCGGCAGGTCTGGAATGTCTGATCGCGTGCACGGAGGCGGGCGAGCTGACCTTCCTGCCGCTGGGCCGGGCCGACCCGGACGAGGTGGACGCCGCCGACGGCCCGCCCGGCCCGCTCGGCCGGCCGGCAGCCAGCCGGCAGAGCAACGCTGAAGCCCGTGAGTGCCCGACGCGCGCCCTCGACGCGCGCCAGGCCGCCGGCCTGCGGCACGGCCGGCGCGGCGGCTCGGCTGTGGGTGGATGGTCACGGACCATGGCTGGTGATCGAGACATCTTAGTTCACGTTGTATGCTGCCATTGGGTGGTAATGATGTTTCCACTCCTTCAGCGGCTCGACTCGGCTTTGGCTTTTGTGTTTTCCTTTATCAATGTCAATCGGTGGGACATTTAAAGGGATCTTGCGAGGCATTTAAACGGATCTTGCTGTGCGATTGTCATGCCATCTGTGGCTGCGTCGGTTCCAAACGCGGCGTCATGACACTCCGTTTGTTCCTGACGCTTAATGGTCTTCGCACTAGTGCCGAAGCCCAGACACATGGCTCCCATGGGTAGTGCCTGTACGGACGGCCCCGTCTCGACGGCCGCTGAGCTGCGCGCTGACCGTGGCCCGGCGCCGGCAGCCTGTGTGGAGCTGGTGACGCAGCCGCCGCTGTCGGCCGCTGCGCTGGAGCGGGCGCACGAGCTGACGCGGCTGGAGACGCTGACGCCGCTCTTCTCGGCCGTGGTACCGCCCTGCTGGACCGAGATCCAGCAGGCGCAGAAGCAGCGCCGCCACCCGCGCCACCTGCAGTCCGACAAGCACCACACCCGCACCTGGCGCCTGCTTAACGACGGGTACGCCGCTCGCCGCGCGCGTGCTGGGGGTCGGGCGTGCGCCTGGTCGCGCGGCAACCGGCTGCAGGCGGGCTGTCTGGGTGGGCGGTGTACTGGCAGCGGCGGTGCTCTCCCGCGATGCCCGCTGTCTGTCTGTCCGTGTCGCGGTTGGTGGGGCGTGGGTGGCGCTGGTGCAGCGACTGGTGTTGTGCTCGTGTTTAGTGACGGTCGAGCGAGCGGCCGTCTGTGATGTGTCCTCGTGTCGCGCTTGAGCCTCGCCTCCTCCCCCGCCCCCCCCCCCGCCCCCCCCCCCCCCCCCACCTTCCCCCGCGTCCGGTGACCTCGCCGCGTGGCCCCGCCGACAGGCCCGCCTGGAAGCAGCACGTGTTCGAGATCACGCTGCCGCGCTCGGTGCCCGTGGCGCACGTGGACTTCCGGTTCGCGCTGCAGCCGCTCTGCACCTCGATGCCGCCGGTGGAGGCGACGCTGGTGCGCTCCGGCGCGCTGCCGAGGCCGCCGGGCCGGCCCCCAGCGGCGGCGGCGGCGGCGGCGGCGGCAGCGGCGGCAGCGGCGGCAGCGGCGGCAGCGGCGGCGCCCGAGGCGGACCCGCCGCCAGTGCATGGTGAGCGACGCTGGCGAGGTCAGACCGCAGCCGTCAGACGCGGCCGGTGGGATTGTCAAGTGGCCGGCTTGTTGGACCGGCTGCGGGCAGCTGTTGGCGCTGTCAGCTGCCTGTGTGAGGCGCTTGTGGTAGGACCTCTCAGGCTTTCAAACAATGCCTGGGTGGGTGGCGAGGCGCGGGTATGTGGAGATTGCCGCCGGGCGGTATTTCATTCAATTAAGCAGACATGCTGGGAAGTGGTGTCAGATGCATGGTCGTGGTCCAAGCTAGACGGTGTTCCTAGTTTGCACAACAATCCCCATGGCCGCACTGTGGGCGTCTGAGTCGGTCTGCAGGCGCGGACGGCCGGACCGGCCGCCGTGCCGCCGTGCCGGCCTGAGCGGCGCCCGCCTGTCGGCAGCGCCGGACGAGTCGGAGGTGCTGTGCGGTCCGGTGGACCTGCGCTCCTGCCTGGACATGTCGGGCCAGGGCGGCACGGCCACCTTCACCTCCAGCGAGCTGCTGCGCGCCCACCACCGCACCTTCAGCATCAGGCTGACGTGTGCCCCGCAGGCCGGCCAGGTGAGCGCCACGCCGTCCCGGTGCCGCACGGGGGCGACCGGGGGCGCGCTTCACGGCTGCGGCCGAGCGCGAGGCGTCGATGCCCCGCGCGGACTGCCGCGCACAGACAATGTCCCTTGAAATAGTGATGTGTGTAACATTTGGACAGCATTGAAATGTGTGAAACGGCCGTTGTAGCACATCGAACATGAACAGCGGCTGATTGAGAGTGTGACCATGGTGTGAGCTGTTGTGCTGTACCGCTCACGGCCCATCCACGCGTTGTTCGTGCTGCGGGTCGGTGCGCGCCTATCGACCACGCCGTCCTCTGTTGCAGAGCAAGCCCGCGGCGTCCGACGACGACGGCGCGTCGGGTGCCTCATTCCTGCCGGACCTGCAGAGCGTAAGCGCACTGCGAGACGATGCGCGCGCGCCGCGGCGGCTGGCCGGGGGCCGGCACGCGGGCGGGGGCCGCGAGTCGGGTGGGCGGCGTGGAGGTTCGGTGCCGTCGGTGTTCTGCTACCCTGGCAAACCGGGTGGTTGGCGTTGTTTCAATGGGCGAAGAACCCACGTAGCGGCAAAAGCAGCTCGACTGCCGTCATGTGCACTGCTTTCTCGGCATTATTTAAATTCCAGTGTGCTGGTGTCCGTCACTTTCGCTAGGCTCGCGTGCCTTTGATATCAGGTCGTCGGAGGTCGTTCCGGGCCCTGGTCGACTGACCGGCTCGGCGCGTCCCCTCGGCTGCCCGGCCCCTGACCGGGCGTCCACGGCCGGCCGTGCCCGCAGGCGGTGTTCAGCTCGGTGCCGCTGACGGTGGACAAGCTGGCGGCGGCCGGCGTCAAGGCTGACCACCTGACCGGCTGCGAGTGCTTCCAGGAGGTCAGCGTCACCATCCGGCGCGTCAAGACCTCCTGCCTGCCCCACCAGAGGTCAGTCGCCCGCCGCTCGCGCGCGCCGCCGGGCGTGTGGACGGGCTGGCGGGGGAGAGACCGTGCTGGGTTCGCGAGGAACTGGGGGATGGGGCGGGCTTGACCGTCGCCGGGTGTTGGTGTGACGTTCCTGACCGAATGCTGGCTACGCTGTTCGCAGGGAATCCTTTCTGAGCTATCAGCACACCGTCATCACATTTTTGTTTGCATGTCATGCGCATCCCACAATTTGCAGTAGGTGCTGCATGTATTTCAGCGAGGCGGACTGACAGCCGTTTTACATAATCCGTATGAATGATCCTTATGCCATCCGATTGTCGTCAGAATTATGTCGTTTATGTCATTATTGCCGTCATGTCCGATCCCGAAAACCTGTTGACAGGAGGCTTCGGTGACCTCGTTACCAGATGAGCGTGATGGATGACAACGCCCTGCCTTACCCAGTGTGCTGTTCGTTCCGCCATGCGTCTCCGCTGTGGTTATAGCCTCCAAGGCAGCGATTAGCCGAGTTCACCAGCTAAGCCGGAGCCGGAGCCTTTGACCCCTGACCTCTGACCTTTGACCTTTGACCTTTGACCTCTGACCGCCGCGTGTGATCGGTCACCGTGCGTCGCTGCCGCCCCAGACTGCAGCGCACGGCCATGCTGGAGCAGAGCCGGTACCACGAGAGTCTGCTGGCGGCCGCCTGCCGCCAGGCCGAGCTGGACGACCCGCTCTTTTGCCAGAACATCTCGCTCGACATCCTGCTCTGGGTGGCTGCCCTGCGGCTCATGCACAGTGAGTGGGCGGGCTGGGAGAGTGCGCGGCGACGGCAGACCTCAGAGGCCGACCTCAGAGGCCCGCCGCGGGCCGAGAACGGACACCATGCAGCGGGAGGGAACGGAGACCAGAGGTAGATGAAGCAGGTGTTGGTGTGGAATGCTGTGACTGATGCTGTTCGATTCCCCGCGGTGCCCGCCCTTCCTGCCAGGGTGAGAGGCAGGCGACGCCATATAGCCTCAGCAGCTGAGTGCGTCGTAAAGCCCCAATGACACAGCACGCTGTGACTGATGCTGGCCCGTGGGGCGTGTTTGTTGCGTGGCGGGCGTGTGGTCCGTAACCTGACCTGACCTGACCCGACCCGACCCGGCGCCGCAGACTCGTCGGCGGCCAGCACGCGGCCGTTCATCAGCCTAGTGCAGGCGCGGCTGGACGACCTGGTGGCCGCCTGCTTCCTGTACGGCTCGCGCCCCGCCGCCCACAAGTGCTCCCGCCTCATCGTCATGTGCATCGAGTGAGTGGTCGGTCCGGGCCCGGTCGGCGCCGGGCGACCCGTCACCCTACAGGTCACAGCTGGGTCGACTGGGTCACGCCGGGCCGGAAACGCCCCCTTAGGGTTGGTCGCTCCGTGGCAGCGCGGCCTGGACCAGCGCTCCGCCGTGGACTGTCGTGCTCGTTCAGTAGTGCGCGAGCGAGCGGATGCTCGCTCTAGACGGCTGCGCCACCTTGTCCCGGTGCCTCTGACGTCACTGATAGACACCGCCTCGCGGCCAACTGCGCCCAGCCGCCTGAGCGTGACACCGTGACCGGCCGCCGGCGCTGACGGCCGCGCGTCTGCCCGCAGGGCGAGCCGCGGCCCCGCCTTCGGGCGCGCCCTCTGCGACACGCTCGTCAGCCACGTGCCGCGCGCGCCCGACTTCCAGTCGCCGGGCGCGCTCTCCTGGTTCTTCGTGCTGCTGAACCACACGCGCTGCCTGACGCCGCACGCGGCCGCCGGCGCGCTCATGACGCTCCTGGCGCAGGTCGGTGAAGGGGTCCGGGCGGACAGGCCGGCGCCGTCCGAGTCCGGGCGGTGCAGAGGAGGTCCGAGTCGTACCGAGTCTGAAGCGGCAGGCACGTGGCAGACTCGGGGTCTCTCAGCATATTATACAGCGTATATGTACAGGGTCGCGTTACGTGTATCTGGAGATGGCAGGATGTTGCTCCATGCGCTTTGCGCTCCCCGACCCCTCAGTCGGTCCCGCTGGAGCTGGTGTCAGGCCCGCCAAAGGTCGCGTGTGTGCGGTCACGTGGGCGGGCGAGGATTGCGGCTGGGTGGACACGGGATTGGGTATCGGCTCGGAGTGGCCAGAGCCCAGCGCTCGGCTTTTCCGGGTAATGATATCGCGTAGTGCGGTGAAAATGGGATATTACCAGCAGTCGGCTCGGACAATGGAGCTTCGTGTGCGCAATATGTTTCTTGGATTGAAGCACGTACAATGTGAGCATGTGTATGAATGTCGTGAATATTGCATGCTGCGTTTTGGTCGTACTCTGCGTCCAACTGCGCGGTGAGTGTGACTGGTGGCGGGCATCGGCCTCCATCTCTCGTCTGGCTCACGTCGCGCCGGCCGCCACCTGACCGTCGACACGCGCTCGACCGGCAGGTGACGCGCCAGCTGGGAGCCCGGGTGGACCCGCTGCACGACCTGCTGAAGACCAGGTGAGCCGCCTGGACGCGTCCGGCGCCCGGCCGACGGCAGCCTGGACGCGTGCCGAGCCGGTCCGTTGAGGTCGTCGGGGGTGGCGACGCTGGGCCGACGATGGCGGCGGCGCGTGCTCCACGCCGGTCACGTCCGCGGCGCCGGCGGATGGTGTGGGCCGGCTGCGGCAGGGCTGGTGACGAGTCGGCGCAGAGCCGGTCGGTGCGGTCGGCCGGCGGCACTGACGGCCTGCCGCTGGCGTAGTGAGGTCGAGTGGGCCGTGCATTCGTGCTAAGAGAGGTGCGGTGAGCCGCTCACGGGCCTCTCCCGCGCGGACCCGTACGTGATCCGATGCCAGTGTAGCCGGCGGGGCCGCGTGTCAGCCGCTGTGAAGGCGGCGCGCCCGGCAGCGGGTGTGACTGGCCTCTGTTCGGACCTGCGCGTACCTGACCACCGCCTGACGTCCGTCTTGACCTGCGTGTGGATGCTGTCGTGACCCGGCGGTGGGTGTGGCTGACCTCCGTCTGCACCTGCGTGTGGCCGCTGTCGTGACCCGCGGTGGGTGTGGCTGACCTCCGTCTGCACCTGCGTGTGACCGCTGTCGTGACCCGGCCGTGACGGCGCTGCAGATACGGCCTGCACGGCACACCGCTGGAGGAGGAGCTGTTCGACGTGGAGCCGCCCGTCTGGAGCGAGGGCCCGGCCGACCCCAACGGCCAGACCGAGCCTGACTTGCGCGACCTGCTCGGAGCGCCGGCCGCCGGCAGGTCAGGCGTCGCCGCGGGGCCCGCTTCGGGGCGCGGGTCGGACGCTGCGCTGGCGCCGCCCGTGTGCGCTGTGTGCAGGACGGTGATGGTTCCACCCTGCTGAGGATGTGGCCCGGACTGTGTGTTTCTGACTTGACGCGTGACGTGGCCTCGTGCCTGCCCGCGACCCGGGCGTGTGGTGACCTCGCCGGTGCCCAGTGGTATGCCCTGACCCTGTCCCGTCCCTGCAGAGCGGGCGTGTGGTCGGCGCTGGCCAGCGACGAGCAGCTGCGCGGCCTGATCGAGGTGGAGCCGCTGCACTACACGTGCCACGCCACCTCCGACTGCACGCGGCTCGAGTGGCAGGCCGGCCCCGGCGCCGCCCGCCTGTTCGGCGCCGGCCAGCAGCTGGCCGGCCAGCGGGACGGCCTTAGCACAGCTAAGGTTGGTCGCCGGTGGCGGCGCGGGCGCGGGCGCTGACGCGGCGCCGCGCCAGGAGAGCGGGCTTGTGAGGAACCGTGCGGTGATGCGGACAGACGCTGCGGTGCGCGCTGTCGATGGAAACGGCAACGTGTGCCGGTTACGCAGGAGCCTCAGGTATCTAGGAACGGGCACTCCCGCCGCCAGAAACGCGCTACGGTTCGTTACGCACGCACACATTAATGCCGGCGTATGCGGCCGCCTTGTGTCGCATATGCCTAGGAGACGACGATCACACTACATCTGTTGAGTGGTGATGGGAATGTGTGCTGGACGTCGTTGCGCCGGAGGACGGCGGAGCGGGCTGGACGTGTTTGTGTGCCGCGCGGCGATGAGGTGCGTGTGCGTGTGGGCGCGCCTGAGGTCCCGTGTCCTGCGGCCAGCTGGAGGAGGCCATCGCCGACGTGGAGAAGAAGGCGGCCGAGCTGAAGGCGCTGATGACGCAGAAGCCGGACCAGGAGAACGGCCACCTGCTCGACATCCTGCAGCACGTCAGCCAGGAGGTGGCCGGTGCCAAGCGGCTCTCGGAGCAGCTGGAGGACTCGATGCCGCCGCCGCCGCCGCCCCCAGCGCCGGCCGGACCGCCGCCGCCACCACCGCCGCCTGCCGACCCCGTACATCAGCTGACGGTCAGTGGGGGCGGGGCGGACCGGTGGCTGAAGCCGGGTCCGGCCTGGTCCTCGGCTGGGAGAGTTGGGGGCTTGTGCGGACTGGCTGGTATGGCGATCAGGAATACGTTGTGCACAGTTGTGTTGCGCGGCGACGGTGTGCCGCGCTGGTGCCCGTGGCGTCGTACCGTTTCGAAGTTGGCGCCGCACGCGAGCTGGCGCTGGCCGCCGCTCCGTCCTGCGCCGTGGCGCCTGTGTCCGCGACCGTGAGCCGACGGCGCCGCCGTCCGTGCCGCCGCCAGGACCCGATGCTGTCGGTGCTGCTGTCGCCGTGGCACCACCTGCTGGCACCGCCCGCCCACCACGTTCTCGTCATCGACCGCATGCACAGCGGCGCCCGTCGCTTCGTCGTCATCGACTTCGGCGCGCCGATCCTGCTGACCGGTGAGGGGCCGCCGCCGGGCTCGGCCCCGTCGGCGTCGCGCCGGCGGGCGCCAGCTGGCGTGTGTGTTGCGATAGCCAGAGGAAGTGTGCGACGAGGTGACAGCGAAGTGCTGGTGCGCTGGGATCTGTACTGCGTTGTGTCATGACCTACTGCGACCGCCGCCGAGATGTGTTGCTCGCGCCGGCCGGTTCCCCGGCGACATGCGCGCGGGACGGGGTGAGTTGGACGCGATCAGCCTCGGCACGTCTGCGAGCGCGTGTCCGGGCGGCCCGCTCGGCCGCCCTCCGCGGCCGTCGCTGCGTCGAGCGCGCTCGTGCCCCGTTGACACGGCGCCGCCGGCTCGCCGCCAGACATCATCATCCCGCCGTGCGCGGATCTGCTGTCGCTCAGCGTGGACGTGTGGACGGAGCGCGAGGAGGCGGACGGCCAGCGGCTGGTGGTGGCCTCCGACATCGGTTACCGGCGGCTGGTGATGACCAGCCTGCAGCCGCCGCCCGTCTGTCGCTACCTCAAGGTGCGCCCCCGCCGCCGCCGCCGCCGCCGCCGCCGCGCGGGGCGAGATAGCCGACCGGACGGATCGGCTGGTGGTCAGAGGGGGGGGGGGGGGGGGAGGAGGAAAGGGGGAGCGACGGGTGATGGCCGCTTGAGCGAGACGCGGGATGTTCTGTTACCTGCTGTTTGATGTGACGCTTGCCGCGCCACGAACGTGGCAAGATTGACGCGGCTTACCACGCTGCGATGGGACGGCCCGGAAAACCGCGTGTGTTCCACTGCGGAAAGCTGGCCGTGCGCTGGTTTCGCCCTGGCTCGGCAGCACGTCCGCGCGGGTGGCATGGCCCCGCACGTGCGGTCTGTCGGCGGTGTTGCCGACGCCTCGAGCCGGCCTCGGCGCTGGCAGCGCTCGGTGACGCGCGGCGCGCCCCGCCAGATCACGACGATCGGCCGCTTACGGCATGACGACGACGCGCTGTCGCATCCCGATGGCCTGGTTCTACGGGCACACCGTGCTGATGCCGTGGGAAGTGGCCGACCCGGCGCAGAAAGTGCGCGTCATCCGCCGCGACCAGGCGCAGGTACGTGTGGCGGCGGCGTCCGGCTGACCGGGCGTGGCCAGGCCGGCGCGCTCGGCCGCCGGCGGAGATCGTTGGTGCCACGGAGAGGGCTGGATGGCGTGGGAGGCCGACTAACGGCAGCGACGGACGTGGCTGGGCTAACTGGTCGTGACCGGGCTGCCTGGTCGTGGCCGGGGCGGGTCCCTCAAGGTGGGGATGCGGTTCGAGGCGGGTCAGCTTCGCCGGCGTCTGTCCTTTACGCAGTCAGCACAACCCGACGACGCCCTGACGTGTGGCGCGGCGCGGCGCGGCGCCAGTCGCTGCGTGCCGTGGCCGCGGCCGGTGTGCGGCCTGGCGTGTCTGGCCGGCGATGCGCGCCGGAGCGCGGGCCTGACGCAGTCTACTGGCCGCCGGACAGACGGAGCTGGGCCTGCTGACCACGCTGCACCAAGAGGTGCACTGCCAGTACAGCCTGGCCTGCGAGCGCCTGCGCCGCCTGCTGACCGCGCTGCCGCCGCCGGCCGACACCGCCGACGCGGCCGCTGCCCCGCCGGCCGCCGCCACCGACGACAAGGTGCCCGCCGCCTACCAGGTGAGGGGCCGAGGAGGAGCGCCGATCTTCCACGGCACGCGGCGCTCGCGTCTGGTCGTGAGCTTGAGATCAGGTCGAGAATGGGGAACCTGATGACTTCAGCCGATTTTGGGATCCTTGTCCGTTTGTCATGTTGTGTCATGTCTTGTTTTTGCTCTGAATCTTCATTTAGCCATCCGCTATAATTAAAGCGTCATTTATTCATCATAATCATACAGTACTCAGTATCGTTCCCACCGCATGTCGCATATTTTGGGCTGGCTGTTCGTCGCGTTCTGCTGAGGGCTCGTTTCCCCTCCCCCCTCGCATTTCTCGCCGTTTGGTGACCGTCGCCGCCTGCGCGCGCCGCAGGAGTGCGTCACGCTGCACCAGCAGGCGAGCCTGGTGCTGTCGCTGCTGCGCCGGCTGCGCCACTACTGTCAGCCGCGCCTGCCGCCGGCGTCGGCCGCCGCCGGGCTGCGCGCCGCCGGCAGCTCGCAGCTGCGCCGCGTCTGCGACCACCTACTGGAGGCGCTGTTGGCGCTGGCGCCGGAGACGGCCGGCCGGCCGGCGGCGCCGCTACCGGCGCTCACGCCGCCGCTCTGCCGGCTGGTGTTCTCCGAGCTGTGCGTGCACGGCGGGCCGCGCGCCCAGCTGGCCACCGGCGCGCTGCTGCTGGCGGCGGCCGCGCCGCAGCCCTGGTGGGGCGAGCTGGTGGCCGACACCTTCTGTCGGCTCTTCACGCACACCGAGGACCGCGACTTCAGCCGCCAGAGGTGAGGCCGACCGCCGGAGAGCCAGGGCGGGGCGGGGCGGGGTAGCGGCCAGCCTGACGCGGTGGCTCCGCGGCTCTACGTCAGGCGCCTGACGTCTCACGGTCTTGAACCGTGCGAGTCTGAGACACGCTGTCGCCGCGCGCTCCTCAGCCCGCCGCGTGTGTCACGGCGTCACTGTCCGCGGCTGGGCCTGACCGTCGCTCCGCTGACGCCGGCGCGCCCGCGTCGCCCCCAGGCTGTTCATCCTGCTGACGTACCTGGGCCAGCGGACGATGTCGCGTGGCACGGCGCTGTCGCGTTGCCTGCTGGAGGCGCTGCTGGCCGCGCTCTGCGCCCTACCTGACGGCCGAGCTGGTCGACCTCACGTTGGTCGAGTGGATGCTGCTCTACCTGGCGACGCTCATCGAGGGACTGGTGGAGAACAAGGACGCGGGTGAGCTGCACGTGTGAGGCCAGCCGGGGGGGGGGGGGGGGGAAGGGGGAGACTCGAGCGCCCCTGGTACGCCGTTGGGCACACGGATACTCCCCGGAGCGCCGTCACCTCAGAGGCGGGCTGGCCACGGATTTGATTCAGCGACCGCGTCGGTGCACAGCTGCGGAACGGTACGTTATAGCGACGGCCCTTTCAGCAGTAATGACGACCGCGGATGAATGGCGTGGGCACATCTGAGGTCCGTGCTTGAGGTTCCCACGGGTAAACATTGGGTGTGTGAGTGATCGGTTGATTCATCGACACGGTGACCTCCGGCGGTGACCAGCGTCGGGGCCTTGCTCGCGGTCGTCCCAGCTCAGGAGCGGCGCTGGGGCGGCAGCGCGCGGCGCCGGGGCGCGGTCCCCCTAGCGCTGACTGCCCGTCCTGCCGTGACCGTGCGGCGCTCCTCGACAGGCCGCTGGCGCTTCCTGGCCGGCGAGCGGTCGCTGCTGCGCTCAGGCGGCGCGGCGGCGTCCGGCCGCGGATACAAGGGCTACCGGCGCCGCCTGCTCACCCGACTCAAGAACCACAAGCAGATCGACGAGCTGCTCAACGTCAAGAAGCTCACCATGGCGAAGGTGGGACGGAGCGCGGGATGGCTGAGGTTTCGGCGGGAGGCGCCACTGCGGTGCCGTTCAGCCGGTCGTGTTGTGTCGGGACACCGGACCGCACCAACTGCATGTCATGTTTTCATGTGACATGTCAATGTCCCCAGACTTAACGTGGCTTAAATCAAGCACCAGGGGGTCGTATCCTGGCATAATGTCGCAAGGCGGTCGCAGATCTTGTACAATGCGATTTGTTCCGTCGTGCAGGTTTCAACTATTAATGTAAGTTTCGGGCTGCTACAAGATAATCAGTGACATCTCGCCGCTGAGTATCCTGCTCCCTGTCCTCAGCAGAGCCTGGCGAGCAGCAACCTGATCGGCTTCCTCGTGCACAGCACGCCCAAGTCCGACCTCATCAAAAAGAAACAATTCAAATACGTCAAGGTATGCAGCGGCGTTCATGGACTCGCACACACACGCATTGTTGCTCCGTCATGCTCCGTGTTCTGCACAGCTTCTTGCTTGTGATTTGAGCGGAATTAACGTCATGCATACCGCTCGTGCTAAACGCGGCCATATCGCTCAGTGAGTCCCACACACATCTTTGCTGGTTGTCTGATTATCTCGCCCAGGGTGAGCTGTTGGCGCGTTGTGCCGATTGTTACGTCACGCTGTTGGCCGCTCGGCTCTGCGCCGCAGTGGAGCCCGTCCATGCCCCCCCCCCCCCCCCCCCACCCCACCCCCTGCTAAGCATGGTTACCGCCGCGTCGACGCGTCATCGCTTGAGAAGACGAGCGTGTCTCGGAACGGTCGAAATTCCGCGCGCGTGCTCTGTTAGTCGGTGAACAACGGTCACTGAGAGCATTGTGGCCTGCGACGATGAGAGAAGCCAACATCAGCTGATTTGAGCGCGACGTCGCCGTGTCCGCGTGGTCGCCGCGGAGTGACGCGACCGAGCCGAGCGGTGCAGCACCGTCGCGTCCTGTCGCGCCGGCCGGTGCGTGTGGGCGTGAACCGGTGCCCGCTCCCCAGCGCCGATGTGCGTGTGTCCGTCTGACTCCCACCTCGGCCAGCAGGCGGGCCCCTCCTCCGACGGCCGGCGGGAGGCGGGCGGCGCGGCGCCTGGCGGCGGTGGCGGCGGCGGTGGCGGCGCCGGCGGCGGCGCCGGCCAGCCCGAGCCAGCGCCAACCGTCAGCCGCGACGTCGGCCTGCGCGTGGTGCGCCTGCTGATGGAGCGCCTGCTGGACCCGCAGCTGCTCGTCTCGCCCGACATGATGATGACCGGCTGCAAGGTGAGACAGCTTGGGGCAGCCGCCACACGTGGCGGCCCGGGGCGTGCCGCCGCATGACTCAGTTGGGTGCGCGGTGTAGGGTTCTCGCGTGGGCAGATAGTCATAAGGTTTTTGCCACCTGGCACATAATCGTTGAGCTAATGCGACTGCTGTTTGCGAAGTACATGCCAGGTTTTTCGGCACACAAAGCGCAGCGTTGTATAGATAAATATAGTGTAAAGTGTAGCGACAATTATAGACAAGATTTGGTATGGGAAGCTCGCCATGTGTTTGTAGACAAATGTTTTGCGTGTGGACGGGCCGTTGTTGGATGACGCGGAGTCCGTATGTGGCTGCGGTCCCCGCAACCTGAACTCGCTGTAGACCTGGACCGTGATCATTCAGGCCAGATCAGATTTGATGACCGGTCGTGACCAGCGATAACGCGGGCCGCGCGACGGCCAGCGGAACGTTGTGCTCGGCGCTGCAGCACGGGACGCTGCCGCTGCTGGCTGGCCGGCACGCGATGGCGCTTGTGCCCGTATTTGGCAACAGCGGCAGCTGGCAGCGTGCCCCTCCCCCTCTCCCTCCGCGTGGGATCCCGATGTGCCGTTTGGTCCTGTGGTCCGACCAGACGTGTTGTGCTGTAGCAGACGTCGCTCCTTGCCTCGTGACACACTGGGCTGCCCGAGTGGACGCCCCGGTCTGGTGCCCCGGCGCCAGCGGTCGGCCGCCCTGCGTGCGGGCCGCGCCCGCGCCTGAGTTCCGCCCGTCACCGTTAGGTGGTGTCGTGGGTGAGCTCCGCCACGCGGCCGGCGCTGCGCCTCTGCGAGGTGGTGACGGCCGGCCAGCTGGACGCGCTGCTGCGCGCCGCCAGCGCCACCTGCGCGGCGCCCGTCGGCTGGGCCGGCCCCTGGACATCGCACACCATCCAGTGCTTCATACAGGTGACGGCGATGTGTTGGAGCCAGCAGGCAGTCGAGAGCTGGCGATTGACCGCGCGTCGCGGTGCATGGGTGCGGCTTCACGTCGCCGGCGCAGGTGCACCGCTGGTGACGTGTCTTTGTCAGCGTGGCGGTGGCAGGTGTGACGTCGCGAAGATGTGTCGGCTTTGTGTCGCGCTGCCTGTTGCGGGTAGTGACTTGCAGTTATCATGCCATGTTCCCATCACTCCGCCGGAGGTGGGGTGGGATGGGGTCGTCGGCTCGTAACTCAGGGGAGGCTGAGATGAGTAGATGATATCAGCTCGCAAAAAGTTGTGTCAGCATTTATTGTGCACGCGGTGCAAAATTGTGTCCGTCAAGTGAACGCTACGCTATGTGACATCTGCACCACAAGCCAAAGTAAACTGAAGTGGCTCATATCTGATTAGTGTCTAGTATTGTGTCATGTCTTAACTAATCAGCTCTCGACGCAGGTAAGGTTTCCCTGATCCCGGCCTTCCAGGTGAGCTCGTCTTGTTTTAGACGTGTCGCGGGAGCGGCGTGCTCTGCCTCGTGTCGTCTCATTCATCTTAAGATGCGCGACGGCACCGTGCCCTCAGTCCTCACTGGCATGTCGCCCGTTCCTCACCATTTCGGCGTTAGTCACAGCGTCGACTCTCGCCTCCCCACCCAGCGCCGCCACTCAGCGTCGTCACACTGCCTCCTCCTCGGACAGGAGATCCTGGTGGCGGAGCGCACGCACCCGGCGCAGTGGGGCGGCGGCGGCGGCGGGGGACCGGCCGAGCCGCCGCCGTCGCCGCCGCGCGCCCCCGCCGCCGCGCCGCCCGAGTCGGCCGGCAGCGGCGGCGGCGGCTCGTCGGCCGCGTCTTCGGACGGCTCGGGCACGCCCGAGGACGACGACGACGACTCTCCCAGCCCGCCGGCCAACCAGCCGCTCTCGGCCTCGGTGAGCGGCGGCCCCGCGCGCGCCACCAGCGCCCGCCCGCGAGTCGTGTGTGGCGACCGGCGCCTGGTCACGGACTCCGTGCTCGGCTGACGTCGCGTTTGTGACACTCGTGCAGATGATGCTTCTCTGCCGGACCTGAAAATGCTTCATCCGGCCATGACGTGGTGCGCCATCGATTTTCTGGCTTCGCATGTCTCCACATCAGCACGCCTCCAGCGTGGCTGTGTTGCGAGGCTGCTCGTTGTCTTTCCTCCACTACCTATGCCATCCGCGTGTCCGTGCGCCTGACGTCCGACTTCGAGCGATCTGACCCGTGCCTGGCCGTCCGTTCCGGCAGTCCGACAAACTGGAGGTGCACATGTTCTCGTCGGACGGCGGCGGGCCGCCGTTCTCCTCGTTCTACCCGTTCCCTGGCGCCATGTCGTCGGCCGAGGGCGGCGGCGGCGGCGGCGGCTCGGCCGCGCCGGCCGTGCCCTCCACCTCTACGGCACAGCAGAACCAGGCGACCGACGCTGCCGGCGAGCTGTACTCGGACGCCTCGCAGGAAGGTGAGGCGACGACGCCGCCGCGGCGGGCTCGGCTGCGGTTCGGACCAGGCCGGCTGGCAGCGGGTGCACGGTGATGTGGTCGCCGCGGTCCGTCTCAGCTTTGGGTGCGGGAGCCGGCCGATGTAGCAGGACTTCGTACTTTCCACTGAGTGTCCCTGCACTCGACAGCAGGTGGCCCAGGAACTAGACGGGCTTGGGTCTTAAGAAGGGTGGGGCTGTGAATTTCTCGCACTGATCTTCAAGATAGCTATTTCAGTTCAAAAGACAATTCAGGTGTGGAACACGCCCTTTAACGCCGCGTCCCCCCACTCCCCCACCCTAGGCGTGTGCCTGCTGCCGCCCATGGTCGAGTCGGACGACGACGGCGACCCCCTGATGCTAGACGACTTCGTGATGGACATCTTCGACGCGTCGCTGGGCGACAAGAAGCCGCCGCTTCCGTCCGACGCTGTCAAGTGGGGCCTGATCCCGGCGCCCGGCGGCTCCTGGTGCCTCTCCAACTCGCTGTGAGTCAGCCCACGCGGGCGCCGGGCGGCTCACAGGCCGCCGCGTCCTCGGCTGGCAGCTGGCGTGTCTCTGTGCCTCCGTTTACGGCCACTGGCTTGGTCTGTGAAGCGCCTCGCCGTTGGTTTATTGGAGGCGCGTTGAACGGCATTCTGCTGCGATGCACGTTCAAACGGTGCCTCCTGCGTCTCAGTCAGCTGCTCCCCGCCGGTCTCAGCTGGTGGCGTGTTCGTCTGACCGCTGCGCGCCGGCCGCGCACTCATCTGACACGCCTCCGACCGCCGGCGCCGCAGGTCAGGACTGGGCAAGCTGGGATCCGGCTGGCTGTCGCAGGCGGGCGGCGGTGGCGCCGGCGCCGGCGGCTCGGCTTCCTGCCTCGACATGCTGCAGTCGTCGGGCGCTGGCGCCGGCGGCGCGGCGGCCGCCGGCCCTCCCGCCGGCGATCTGGCCGGCTGCAGCACCGCCTCCGACGCGCGGCTCGAGGTCGGCCTCACCGCCTGGCCCGAACTGCGCCTGCGCAAGATGGCCGCACTGCACGCCAGCGCCGTACGTCACTGCCGGCGACGGGCCGGGCAGGAGCGCGGCTTCGCTCGGCCCTGGCGGGGGGGGGGGGGGGGAGGCGAGTTGGTGCGCATGGAGGGTCTATGGCGCTGTATGTGATGTTTGCTGCGACGGACCGCTCATGAGCCCTGATTCGTAGCTGAGGCCGTGTCACTGTACACTTGAAGCGGGTTGACTGTGGGGGATTTGACCCAGGGTGATACAGAGATAGGCGGCATGCAGTTCTCACAGAAGCCTTTAGCCGAACGGCCGCTGCTGGCTGAGTGCTGGCGTCTCCCCGATGCTCCTGGCGGTTTGACCTGGCCATGGCAGCGGTGGCTGTGATGGTTCGACCACTTCTTTTGCAACTGACCGCCCCCTGGCTGCGGCCACAGCCTAGACCGTAACATAACGGTCGGTACCAGCTGTGAGCCGCGCGCGTGACGGTGCGGCCGTTCTCGGCGCCGGCAGGTGCTGCGCGCCGTCAGCGCGTCGCCGCCGCCGCTGGCGCCGCCGCCTGGCCTGACCGAGCCCGTCACCGGCGGCGAGGAGACGCCGCGCCTGCGCGGACAGGACCTGGTCGCCGACGGCCTGGCCGCCATCGTGGCCAGCATACAGTACACGGTGCGCGGCCGGCCCGAACCTGGGTGGCACACGGGGCTGCGCGCTGGGCATGGGACGGGCATGCAGTCGAGTGGTCCTCCAATGGCATGGATGAAGTGTGAATACTCCAACAAGCGGTAATCGACAGGCTGAAATGGTTTTCGTTAAGTTGAAGATAAGCGCATGGGACAGCGTGTCCCTGATCGGCAGTTAAGCTCAGGGTCAGTCGGAGTGTGGTGTGGTGACGGCTGCTCTGTGACGGTCGTCCGCCGCCGCCCCTGACGCCGTGTGACGCCGCTGTCTCCGGTGACGTCAGGCCACGCCCGAGTGGATGGAGTCGCTGCTGGAGCTGTGGCTCAGCCTGGACTGCGCGTGCACGGCCGGCTTCCACCGGTCGGTGCCGGTGCTGCTGCAGGCGGTGCGCCGCGCCGGCCGCCTCTCGCTGCGCGGCTGGACGCTGCTCTTCCAGGCGCTGACCGGCCGCCGCAGCCCCGAGGGTCCCTCGGCCCGCGCGTCCGACGTCTCCCTGGACGTGAGTACCTGGCGGAGATCGCCCTCCCGCTGGATCGATGTCTCTCTGGACGTGAGTAGCTCGCGGAGGTGTCTCTCCCGCTGGATCGACGTCTCTCTGGACGTGAGTAGCCCGCGGAGGTGTCTCTCCCGCTGGATCGACGTCTCTCTGGACGCGAGTAGCTCGCGGAGGTGTCTCTCCTGCTGGACCGACGTCTCTGGACGTGAGTAGCTCGCGGAGGTGTCTCTCCCGCTGGATCGACGTCTCTCTGGACGTGAGTAGCTCGCGGGGATGTCTCTCCCGCTGGATCGACGTCTCCCTGGACGTGAGTAGCTCGCGGAGGTCCCCCCCCCCCCCCGCCCGACCGACGTCTCCCTGAACATAAGTAGCTCGCGGAGGTCTTTCTCCTGTCGTCCGACGTGCCCGCGAATGCGAACAACACGCGGCCGGACGGGGCGGACTCCCGAGAGCTCCGCAGGTGGCGAACAGGCAGGCAGGTTGACCGGCTGACAGCCATTTTACTAGATTTCCCGCCGACAGGAGCGATCCACCGACAGCGGGCACACATGTTGCAGAGATGCTCGTTTGGACCCGTTTTGGGTCGCACTGAGCGCAGTGTCGCGTGCAGGATTGCGCTGCCTGCCATGTTGAGGACAGAAATGGATTCAGTCGTGGTCCCAGTATTTACTTGCTATACAGCCGGGGATGACGGCTACACAAGCGGCACTGCAGAAGGGGGCGAGACCTCCACCGTTGATGACCGTCGGAAGTGCGCACGTTGAGTGAACCCTCAGCGTGCCCTCTGCTGCCGCTGCCGCTGCGTCGGTGCCCCCCCCCCCCCCCCCTGACCCTGACGAGCGCCCCGCCACCGGCAGATGTTCCTGGCGCACGACTTGGTGCAGGCCACCTCGCCACTGGGCCTGGTGCTCATCATGTTTCTCACCCAGTCCGTCAGCGACATCCACGGCAAGCAGGAGGTCAGTACGGGGCGCGGCAGGCGCCCCCGCCCCCTTCCCTGCCCCCTTTGGCGGCGCTGGTAGCGTCGCTCGAGTGCTTGCCCGACCTGTCGATGCTGGGCGTGGCGTTGCGATGTTTGGAAGGCTGGGGCGCTGTTCGGGACAGGGGCGTTGGAAGGAGGCCCGATAGGGCCTGGCGTGCCTGAACTCTTCCCGTGTCCGCGGTGTGGCGCCGCCGTCGTCCGGCGCCTCGACGCCGCGCTCCTGCCGCGCCGCCGTCTCTAACTCCCGAACGTCCCGCAGTGCGGCGCCACTGTCTGCCAGTGGTTCGACGCGCTGCTGCTGACGCTGATGTCGGCGGCGGACGGGGTGCGCGTGCTGTTCCTGGAGCTGCTCTGGATCGCGGCGCACACGCCCGGCTTCCCGGACCCGGGCGCGCCGCTCGACGCCCACTCGCGCCTGGTGCAGCGCATGCTGCAGCTCAGCTACCCGGGCTCCGAGCTGGGCAGCATCGTCGGCCTGGTGCAGGTCATCGGTTAGTGGCGGGCGGCCCGCGCCCCGCGAGCCTGCGCCGGGACGGCGGCTGGCTCGCGGTCCGCCAGGGACGACGGAGCGGAGGCGCTCCAGCATGGGGCGATGCCGTTGTGCCGCTTGCCGCTGTCGGTCTGTACACTGGATCGGGTGCGCTGAACAGTGGAGGGTACGGTGTACCTTCCGGGCTGTGGACGTGACGTCACGGCGTGGGGCCCGTCTTGCATGTGAATGGTCGTGTCACGTTGTCAGAGCGGCCAGTGATCCGGCGGGTGTCAGCATTATTGGCTAGTGCGTAGCCAGCGGTGGTCGCGTGCGTTTGGACGTGGTCCCAGCTGAAGCCGGTCCGCCGCGCCGTCTTCTCAGTGGCGTCTCGCGGCAAAGCGTGGTTACCGCGCCGACCCACGGTCACTGCACTGACTTGTTGGCCTTCCTGACCGTGACCTGGCGTGACCTGACCCTGTGTTGACCCGCCTGCTTCATGTCCTTTTCCCTGAGTCCGCCTGACCCTGGCGGGTCCCGCCTGACCCGGCTTCACCCGCCTGACCCTGCCGTACCCCGCCTGACCCCGCCTGACCTTGCCTGACCCTGCCTGACCGTGCCCCACCCTCTCTGGCACCGCCGGCCTCGCTGGACCCCGCCTGACCAGTTGACCCCGTGCGGCCGGCAGTGTCCTCGGTGCACCGTCACCTGGCGTCCGCGGCGCAGGCGCGCTGCACGCGCGGCCCCGACTCTGCCCAGACGGAGCCGGCCGTCGAGACGCTGCTGGTGGACCTGCTGCGGCTGGCCTCGCTGCTCGTCTGCGTGCCGCTGCGGCCGGACCGCTCGGTCAGTGTGCCGCCGCGCGCGCCGCTTCTGTGCAGCGTCGGTTTGGATCCAGTGCTCGGTGCCGGTGCCGCGTGAACGGAAGCTCGTGTGGGCTGCTTGGCTATCATGGAAACGTCGCCATTGGCGGTGGTCGAGCTCGCCGCCGGGCCGTGTCGGCGTGAGCGGCGGGAGCGCCGCGATGTCGGTGTAGGAGCATCGGTGCGTTGGCCTGACCTGACCGGCGGCTGCGGCAGGGCTCGGAGGCGCCGCCGCCGCAGACGGATGAGCTGAAGGCGTCCGGTGCGGGGCCGGGCGCCGCGCCCCGACCCAGCCTCCGCCAGCTGGTGGTGGACAGAGGTGAGCGGCCGGCATAGTGACGGCCCGGCACTGCCGGAGAGACGGACGGGCAGACACCGCCACCCTGGCGCTAGAGTGGAGCCGAGTGGGGGGGGGGGGGGGGGGGGGGGCATCGGTGGAGGCGCCGTTAAAGCTGCCTGTCAGAGGGCGAGGAGTTTGAAACAAGCGGATGTTCGGGCACTCATGTCGCTGTCACTGAAACGAATGACTGGGAAGAGGCCGTGCCGCCGGAGGGCTGTGGAGTCGGCTGGCTCAGGGCGGGAGGGCTGTGGGGCGGGCTGACTCAGCGGGAGGGCTATGGAGCGGGCTGACTTGGAGCGGGAGGGCTGTGGAGCGGGCTGACTCAGAGCGGGAGGGCTGCGGAGCGGTCGGCCCCTGCTCAGAGCCGGCGGCATGAGCTCGCCACTGACGCTGTCCTGTGGCGGTCGGCAGTGCTGGAGAACAACGTGATCGTGGAGCAGCTGCTGCTGTCGGCGGCTCTGGTGACGGCCGCTCCGCTCGAGGTGCACGAGCGCACCGAGCAGGACGTGAGTGGTCGGCAGGGGGCGCCAGAGCGCGGCGCCGGCGCCACGCAGGCCCTGCTCAGGGCTGGTCCCGCCTTCACAGGCGCCAGGCGTGCGGAAAGTTGCGCACTGCTGGGGGAATGACCGAGTGATCGTAACTATTTGTCACGTGATCAGATCATTAAGTCATGATTAGAAGGGTAATTTAGTCGTTGATCCGAATTGCTGGTAAGGTAGATGCTTTCTAAGTCAGATGTTGGATGTTGTTATGTTAAACTTCTGCCATTCGTTTCAATAAAAGCATGCTGCCGAAATATCACATCCATATCTACATTCTCCTGGTATTTTTCCGAGGAATAAGGGGTTTACTACTGTCCTATTTATCTATGTGCGAAATGTCCCTTGCAAATGCACTGAACAACTCACGCAGACGTTAGATGTTCTTAAGTTAGAAGTTCGATGTTTAGATGCTGGTAAGCTAGATGTAGGTTAGGTATTAAGTTAGATTTTGACATCTTTCTTGTCTGGTAAGTTAGATCAGTTAGATGTTCATAAAAGTTGCATTGGCTTTTGTAACAGTGATGTAAAAATCAGTTGTCAGCGACGTTTCCATCGTTGTCCCCATTCAAGACTGGAGCACGTGCAGACCCGTTACACCCATGTGCCCGGCCGCCGTCGGCCGAACCTCGCCCCCTCTGACGCTGCTGGCGCGGATGGTGACAGGGCGGTGCCGGCGCGCGCGCGGACGGCGCGGCGCTGGCCACGGCGCTGGACGACCTGCTCAGCACCCTGGTCACCCAGTCCTCGGACCGCAAGCTGCTGGCACGCGCCATCATCTCGTACCTGGGCTCGCGTGAGTGACGGCAGCCGTGCCGGGCGGGTGTGCGCGGCGGTGGCGGGGTCGGACGGGCTGTGTCTGTCGCTGCCCCCGTCATGGTGACCTGTCCTGTCGCGTGATGGGACAGCGTCCGGACTCGTAGCAATATGAGGAGAGCGTGCGGTGTTCCGAGTCGAGCAAGCTCCGTGGTGTCATCAGCTTGTGCCGGCTGCGGAGAGGCTGTGGGTGACCCGAGCACAAGGGCATAACCGGACCTGTGAACCTGAGAGACGTTTCCATGTTCATGATTGGGATATAACTCGGCAGGTTTTATGGTGGGCGGTCATGCATCCCTGGGCCCCCTCTGTGTCACCCAGTCGGTCCTCCGCAGCCTACCGCCGGGCGGACCCCCTAACCCGGACCGTGACCTGACCTGACCTGACCGCGCGCTAGGCTCCGGCGGCCGCCCGCCGCGAATCTCCCAGCTGCTGCTCAACTTCTTCCTGAAGGTGCTGGCCTCGGACACCGCCGCCGCCTCCATGATCCGGTACTGCGGCCTCGAGGTAGGCGCCGGCCCTCCTCGGCCGGGTCAGGGCGCGGCTGTGGCGTGGGACCCCCCCCCCCCCCCGGATTTCCGGTGGCGATTGCGACTTGCGCTGATGCGTCTCCAGTTTGAGATGGTAAGAAAAAGCTGTCACGCTGGCAGCGACGTGTGAGTTGAAATGCGCTTTACGATGTAGCAACAAGGAGCGGGTATCACTGGTCGGCTATACGCGAGAGGTATGTTAGAGTCGCGTTGTTTCCCGCCGCGGATACTCATTCGCCTCAGCTGGACTGTGTCTTGACCACGCCCCGTCGGCGGCCGGCAGTGGGTGTTCGAGAACCTGGCGCTCTCCTGCCGGGCGGTGACGTCACCGGCCAGCGGCGTGACGTCACAGATGATGCGCCACATGGGCCAGCGGCAGCGGCGGCCGGCGTCGGCGCTGACGCTGCCGGCGCGCCGCGCGGCCGGCGCCGCCGGCTCGACCGCCACGCACCGGCTGGAGGATGTGGACGGACTCATCAACGTGGCACCGCTCAGTGAGTGGCAGCGCTGGGCCTGCGGAGGCCGTCTGCCCGGGGTCGGGTCAGAGGGTGGGAGCGGCGGCGGGCTTTGCGTGTGGGTGTCGACTGTTGCCGGGCTAGGGCCCGGTCAGAGGGTGACGGGGTAGCGGGGGGGGGGGGGGTGACGGCGGGTGCTATGAAGGAGACACCAGGCCAGCAGTTGTGGAGGATCGCGGACTGGGGAGTGGGCCTGGTGGCGAGAGCTGCACCTGCCGTACCCGCCACCGCCAGCCCGAGCCGCGTCCTGACCCCTCCCGCTGTTCGCCGCAGGCACCATCACGTGCAGCAACCCGATGGCGCTGCAGCCGGAGGTGCTGGTGCAGCCGACGGCGCCGCACCGGCGCTCGCGCAACCCGGCCTGGTCGCACCACTTCTACGCGCCCGAGGAACGCACGGTGGAGCTGCACGTGCGCCTGCCGTGTGCCGTGCTGCTGCACCAGGTGCACCTGCAGCCGCACGTCAACTCACTCGCCAGTGAGTGCACAGGGAGGGAAGCGCCGGTGGGGCGGGGGTCCGGCCGGGCGGCAGGAGGCGGGCCGGCTAACGGATCGAGTGTTAGGCCGGATGGGTCGTAGTCGTCCCTGCTTCTGTGCTGAAGCAGGCCCCGGACCTGCTTCAGCTCAGTGAACAGGCGTATTGATTGGCGGTTTAATTCACGTCTTACGCCACATAGTTGGAGCTAAGTATTTTAGTTGTTCTCTTGCACACTTGCGGCAGCGTTCCGTCCTCGGTGTTTTTGTGACCTTAATGCGGGATCTTTCCGCGCCGGCGCGCGTGCCGACCGTTGACTCATTTGCCACATGCTTGCAGGTGGTTTTTGTTTTGTTTATTCATTAAGTCGCTCATAGACTCATAGACTTCACTGGCAGTGGGAAGTCACTCGATACAGCGCAGTGCATTGCAGTCCAGGGCAGACGATGCCCAGACCTCTCAGATGACAAGGTGTGACCAAATATGAAAATGACTGGCCTGTACGTCTGAAGATAGCTGACATGTATGTCTGTGTGCGCGCGCGGCAGCGTGTCCGTCGGCGGTGACGGTGGAGGTGAGCAGCGGCGGCCCGACCGGGCCCGTCTGCACGTCGGTGCCGACGGCCGGCCTGACGTTCATCGGCATCGAGCTGGCGCGGCCGACGGTGGCCACCGAGCTGACGCTGCGGCTCCACCGGCCGGCCGACTCCTACCAACCTGGGCCTCTCGCAGCTGCGTCTGCTCGCCTCCACCACCTTCGGGCCGGCGCCGGCCGCGCACGCCGACCCGGGCGCGGCTGAGTGGTGCGTGTCGGGTGGGCGCGAGGGCCGGCCGCCGGCGGCGCCGTGCCGGTCCGGTGCTGCCAGCGGGGCGCTCAGACGCAGCGCGTCGCCTGGTCATGAAGTGTGGCGTGTTGCGACGCGTCGTGCCTCTCTGCCGTGTCGGTAGCACACATTAGTGGGTACCGCAACGCGCTGGGAGCGCTCGTTTTAAAATTATTCAATTTCAGCTGTGCTGTGGAAATAAAGCGGGCAAAGCCGGCGGATGCTGGCCGGCCGGCCATGCCACCACGGTCAGTTCACAGCTCACTGAAATGTCCGAAGGAGCGTGGTCGCCTGAGGGGGAGAGCGTGTCGTGTGTGCGGCCGGTGTTCCTCTATCAGTCAGCTGCCCGCGTTCCCAGTCGCCGTCCCCAGCACCGAGCGCGTGTTGACGCCTCGCGCGGCGCGCGTCTCTCCGGCAGCCACCTGTGGCTGCGCCTGCTGGACGCGGCGCTGCCGACCTCGGCCGACCGCGAGACGCTGGACCAGCTGTGCGCGCTGCCACAGCTGCTGGAGCGCAGCCGCGCGCTGCTGGCGGCGGCGGCGCGCCGGCCGGACAGCAGCCGGCGCGCGGCGCGTCTGCTGCTGCTGCTGGGCCGGCACCAGGCCGAGCTGGGGCTGGGGCTGGTGCGCGGTTTGCTGCGCCGGCCGCCGCCCGCCGGCCAGCAGCCAGTCCGTCTGCTCTACCAGCTGGCCACCACCAACGACCAGTTCATGGGCAACAGGGTGTTCGAGCTGCTGACCTGGATTCGGGAGTCGGCGCTCGGAGCGGTACGGTCCAGGCGGCGGCGGTGGGGTGTCGGCACGCGGGGCGCGTGGGCGTTGTCGGCGCGACGGAGGCGGTCCGCTGGGGACGGCCGGGTCTTAACCAGCGAAAGAGGGGATGAGGCGCGAGTGTCCTGAAGTGCATCTTGTGCGCTCGCTTGCGCCGTGTGCGATGTCGCCTCTGTGCTCCTGAGACTTTGTTACCACTTCAAGCGATGCTGTGACCCGAGGTGTTGCGACCAGGCCAACACTATGACCGTTGGCAGCCCCCCGCACCGGCGAGCGCTCGGTGTCGACGCATTGCCCCGTCCCTGTATGTGAGCCGCCCCGTGGCACGGCGGCGGCAGTGGCGCGCCGTGACCCGCCGTGACCCGCTGCCCTGGCCCCGGCAGGACGTGGCCACGTCGCTGGGTCCGCTGCACGCCTCGCTGGTGCACTGCGTCGCGGCCATCCTGTGGACAGTGGCCCAGCTGAGTCACGACGGCGTCCATCAGCTGATCCCCACCGATCTAGTCACGTGAGTGTGGGCGGCGAGCGCGTGCCCGGCGCGCGCCCATGGCCCTCGTGCGCGTCCTTGGCGCCGTGGCCGGCCATGTCGTGTGTGACCGGCTGGTGGCGTGGCCCGACGCGGTACGCCGCCGCGCCGTGTGCTGCCGTACGGTGCTGCCCCGCGGATTCCATACCCGTGTGCCCGGCCGTGGCGTGTCCGTGATCGTTGGGCGGCGTGTTTCAGTGTGGTGTACGGCTGGTGCAGCCGCCTGCCGACCGAGTCGCGCCTGAAGCAGTCGCTGGACTGGGTGCTGTGCGCCCTCTGCCACCTGCAGCCGCCGCTGCTCAGTCAGCTGCTGCAGACCATGGGCGTGCTGGTGCCGCCCGGCGACGGCGCCAACGCCACCGACGACAGGTCAGTGGCGGCGCGCGCTGACGGCTTCCGTTGGCGGCAGGTCAGCCGGCCTTCCAGCTGCTGCTGGCCCGTTTGTGCCTCCGTTCATTTGTGCAACGATGCCATGGTAAAATGCTGACGTAAAGCGCTGGTCCCTGGCGAGAAGGTGGCACTTGACGCCTGCGCCGTGGCGCTTCAGCGTCGTGCTCTGATCCGCCCGTCACCGCGCCCTCCTGACCTGCTCTCGCCGCCGCCGCCGCCGCCCACAGGAAGGACATGGAGGCGGAGGCGTGCGCGTCGGTGAGCGACGACGACAAGCACGGCGCGTCGGCGTCGGCGGCGGCGCCGGCGCGCCTGCTGCCGGCCGAGCGGCTGGAGCTGGGCGGCGGCCAGCTGGCGACGCTGGCCGCCGTGCTGCAGGCGCCCGCCGCCGTCAGCCAGGCGGTCGACTCGGGCCTGCTGCACGCCGTGCTCGTGCAGGCCGTGCATGGTGAGCGTTGGCTTGGGTGACTGGCGGGGGAGGGCGGCGGCGTGCAGGGGCGGTGGCTTGGGATACTGGCGGGGAGGATGGCGGCATGCAGGGGCGGCGTGCGGCGTGCAAGGCTTGGGATGCTGGCGGGGGAGGGCGGCGGCGTGCAGGGGCGGTGGCTTAGGATACTGGCGGGGAGGATGGCGGCGTGCAGGGGCGGCGGTGTCGTTCAGGGGGGTGGGGACGGTTGCGGCTTCTTTAGAGGAAGTTGGGGTGGTGGAGAGGCTGCGGCTCAGTTAAGGGAGGACCTTTCCTGGCACGGCGCAATGCTGCGAGGTGCTGCCGTGGTCGCGGGGGTGTCTTGGTGGCTGTGACGCCTTGGCGTGGCGTGGAAATCAGCTGGGGTACTTCCTTCGTCGGTGGCCTAAAGGGTTTTTTATTTGGTATCGCGGTTTCTTTGATATTTTTTTCGCGCTCTTAACCCGCAATTTAAACTCCTATCCGTATCATGTAACTAGATATTTTTCCGCCACTGTTTGCTGGCTGTTTATCCATGGGAATTGCCGTCCCCGACGAACGGGGTCCAGGCATTGAACTGATCAACACCAAACCAGTGTCATAGACAGCGGCCGGTCGGGCCTCTGTCGCGCGGCTGTTGACGTCAGAGTGGGCGCCGTACGTGACGTCCGCCGCCTGCCGTCCGCCGCAGACTGCTACTCGGAGATGGGCGGCCCGGAGGACGGGCCGGACCGGGAGTCGGCCGACCGCGACGAGGGCCTCACCGACGCGGACAAGCGGTGCCGCGGCGGCCAGCAGCCGGGCAGCGCCGCCCCGACCGCGCAGGTGAGCGCCCGCCGCCCGCGCCGTCTGCAGGCTGTGCCGCTCGGCGGCGCGTCAGCAGGCGGTCTGGAGAAGGCGGGCCGCGTCGGCTTTCAGTGATGCTTGCGACGTTGTCGCGGCGGACGACGGGCTTGTGCGCGTTTACACCTTGACTGATGTTTCGGACGTGAGGAAAGTGTCTGCCGTCCCTGGCACCGGTGCCCGAGGTGCCCGATCATCGGGCGCCGGCTGATAACGCGGCTCGGGCCGCTGTCTGCTGCTGTCTGTCGGGCCGCTGTCTCTGCTGTCTGTTGGGCCGTTGTCGCCGCTGTCTGTCGGGGCCGTCGTTTGCCGACGTGGCCCTGAACGGCACTCGTGGCCGGCAGATGCCGGCGCTGCTGGCGCTGCTCAGCGCCGCCTGCTGGGAGCCGCGCGTGCGCGACTGGCTGGCCTCGGACACGGCGTCGGTGTACTGGCTGAGTCTGGTGCGGCTGCTGGCCGTGCGGCCGGCGCGGCCGCTGCCGGCCGGCCTCGAGACGCAGCTGCTGCGCCTGCTGGCGCGCTGCTGCCACTGCCACCCGGCCAACCAGCGCCGGCTGGCGACCACCGTCTGTGACGTGCTGTCGGCGCAGCTGGAGGCGCCGGCCGGCTACCGGCCGCGGCCGCAGGGCTTCACGCGCCGGCTCGTGCTGGGCCTGCTGCTGGAGAGCGAGCGCGTGGGCGTGCTGCTGCGCGCCGCGCCGCCGGCCGCGCTGGCCGTCGGCGCGCAGTCGCCGCCGCACCACCCGCGCTTCTGGGCCGACTCGCCGCTCGTGCTCAAGACAGACTGCACCGTGGCACAAGTGCTGCAGGCGGCGTTCGGTGAGCACGGCGCGCGCGGCCCGACCGGCGCGACCCAGGGGAGAGGGGTGTCTGCTTGCCTACGACTTTCGATGGACACGTGCGCACGTGTACACGCCGGGAGCTGTGTACACGTCGGCAGGTCTATCACGGCGTAGTGTGTTGTGCGCGTGGTTGTAACTTCCTGGTGCAGCTCTTCACAAATCTTGCTCGCGTGCATTGGCGTCACAAGGATCGCGAGCATCGCGCCGCGCGATGTAGACAAAAGCATCCCCTTGCCTCGCGTCACGAGGTGATCATTGTTTCGCTTCAGTCGCTCAAGTCGCAGTTGGCCGACGTCGCCGGCGGTACAGTCTTGACTGAGAGGTGCCGGAGCCCACGCGGCCCGCTGCGCCTGACGCGTCACATTGCCCCGCGCCCCCAGGCACGGACAGCTCCGGCGGCGCGTCTGCCCCGAAGGAGCAGCAGCAGCAGCTGCAGCGCGGCGACAAGGAGCAGAAGAACCAGGCGAACGCGGCAGCGGTGGCCGACGCCGACGGCCCGCCCGGCACAGGCTCCTACAAGGCCAAGCAGGAGAAGAAGTACGGCAAGAGGAGTCGACGCACCGCAGGAGGTCAGAAGAGCCGTGACGCACAGTGTGACCTCCGAAACTGGGGAGGAAGGGGGGGGGGGACGCTGCGGAGGAGTCATGTATCGCACTGTTACCTCTGTAATGTCAGCAAGGCCTTTGCACTCACTTAAGCAGATGCCGTGTAGGTTTAAGTTGACGGGCGCTGGCGACAATTTGAACACAGGCGTGATAGTCGCTTTAGTTCTCATTGTGTCATGCGGCTCTGCTCATCGATCTGTTCACGTTTTTTAAGTTGAGTTGGTGAATCTTTTGCATCGATCCTGCATCGTTTTTCTTTTTTGTACACAGTCACGCGCTACGCAATCGTGTCAGTGTTTTGTACGGCTGTGTCTAGTCTGGTCGGATCTGCGCTGTCTACCCTATCCGTGCTTACTCAGTATGGGCGTGTTGGACTGCTACCGAGTGTGTGCCGCTGTTTTAAGCGGTCGTGTGCCGCCGAAGTGCAGTGTACTGGCCGGCACACCGTCCTCTCCCCGCCCTGGCGCCGGCAGCGGCCGACTCCAGCAGCCCCGCTCATGTGCGGGACACCGCCCGCCGCCCCCTGACCCGGCCCCGACGCGGCAGACTTCCTGCCGGAGGTGGCGCCGGCGCCGGCCGAGGCGCGGTACGAGCTGGTGGATCCGCAGCTGTCGGACCAGCCGCTGCCGCCGGCCGCCACCCTCAGCCAGCTGCTGACGGTGCGCGCCGAGCGGCTGCCGTCGGACGCTGCGCCGCCCTCGCTCTCGCTCACCGTGCGCCAGAAGGGCGCCTCAGGTGAGTCGCCGATCCACCTCGCCGCCAGTTTGTTGTCGTCGCGGCTCTGTGGGAAAGAAAACGGGCGATTTGACGCGGGGATGCGCATGTAAGGTGCTAACTTAGTGCGGGACGTTCCCCATGGAGACGGCCTGGGCTAGGCGCGATGCTTCGACGTTACCACGGTGCAGCGATTGTCGAGAGCAGTGGGCTGGCGTGCACGATCGCCGCCGGCGCCTGACGCCGCCGCCGCACCGGCAGGGTGGTCGGGCTCGCCGAGCCGCGAGGAGGGCGACCTGTCGACGGCGCTGCTCGGCGCCGCCGCCTTCCCGTCCGTGCTGTCCGTGTTCGCCGAGGAGGGCGGCCTGGCGCTGCTGGCGCGCACGCTGCCGCTGCTGTTCCCGGAGGGTGGCGCGCCGCCGCCGCCGGCCGTCAGCGGGCGTACGGACCGGCCGCCGCCGGCCGACCTCAACGACGCCGAGTGGGTCAAGGTGGACCAGACCGAGGAGGACGAGTACGTGAGCGGCCTGATGCCGCTGGCCGGCGGCGGCGGCGGCGGCACGGCCGGCTCGCAGCTGGGCGCCGGCGGCACTGGCAACGGCGGCGGCGGCGTGGCGCCCGTCATGTCGCCGCACAGTCTGGCCTGCTTCGGACTCTTCCTCAGGTGAGGCCCGGTGGCAGGCCGCCGGCGCCGCTGGGAGTGGGGCCCCGCTGCCCGTGGCCAGCGGCGCCGAGTGCTTCCTGGTGGGAGGTAGGACACCCTGCCCTGTGATGAGCGGTGGCGGTATGGTGGTTATGGCGTCTGGCTCTGGAAGTGTTGGTCCTGTATTTGGTTCCCTGGCGCACTTCTATCGCATTTCACACGGAACTGAATGAAGGCGTCCCGTCTCTTAATGACCCTGGCAGTCTGTGAGACGTAAAGCCCTGACCATTATTGCTGCGATGCACTGCAGCCCTGCATACAACACTGACAGCAGCTGTTGCGATAGTGTTGAGCCGTGGCAGTTACACCTCGTGAACTCCGATGTCTTTTTGTCAGCATGTGCATGCCTGTGCCCGCCTGTTTTCCCTCACGACTGCCAACGTGCCCGTGTGGCCGGCGGCCGTCTGGGTGTGTACCCCGGACCGGGGCCGGCTCGTGCCGTGCAGCGCTGAGCAGTCTCGCCGCCGGCCGGCGCGCGACCCGCTATGACCCGGCGCCCGTCCGCCAGGCTGCCGGGCTACGCCGAGCTGCTGCTGCAGGACCAGGTGTGGGCGCGCTACCTGCTGCGGCTGGCGCTCGGCGTCACCGACGACGGAGACGGCAGTGAGTGGGCGCCTCCGCTCCGGCCGCTCTCGGCCGGCGGGGTCGGGGCGCTGGTCACCGGCTCCTCCGTGGCCAGACCCCGCCCCCAGACCGCGGCGTCTGCAGGCCCGGTGTGGCGTTGTCGGTATTTTTGTTGGTTGACGTGTTGTGAGGACGTCCACTCGCTGGACTCTCATTTGCCCTCCTATATTTGTTTTCTTTCCATTTCCGAAGCAGTGTCTCATGTCGGAGTCGATCGTGTGAGTTTTTGTCGACGCTACTGCTTCCCCAATAGGTCGCGTGTCTCCTCCGCACTTGACGCGACCGGAGGTACCGAACTAACCACTGTTGTTTGTGTTTCATGCGCGCGCCGTCAGCCTTCGCTCGCATGCCGCGTGTCGGTGTAAGCCGCCCGCTGCGCCCCACCGCGCCTCGCCAGTCCGCAGCGGGTGGCTGTGGCCGCGCCTGACCGCGGCGCCCGGCGCCTCTGCCTGCAGACGAGATCCTGCGGCACGGCCAGTCCAGCGAGCTGCCGCTGTACCCGTTCCAGCTGATGCAGCGGCTGCTGGACGCCACCCAGCTGACCACGGACGACGGCCAGCTGCTGCGACGGCGCTGTCTCGAGATCGGCGCCGTCAACTTCCTGCTGGCCTGCACGGCCGTGCTGAGTCACTACTGAAACGGGCGTCCACCTGCCCGCGCTCGAGTACCAGGTACGCGGCGCGCGGAGACGGGCTGCCCGGTGCCGGACACTGGTCCGACCGCGGCGTCCGGTGCGGCGTGCTGAGGCGTGACGTACGGGTCACGTGGGTGCGTCAGGCGATCGCTTCGTCGTTCAGGTGCTCGTGACGTTGTTCGTCGTTTTGACCAGCGACGGCTGGACAACTGGTGTTCTTCCGATACCTTGGGTGCTGCTGCGAGCGGAAATTGGACTGAGGTTTGGAAGCCCGTTGCGAAGGAGTGAGCTCCGGTCGCACTGTACGTTTGCTGTGACTTGGCCTTAGCATGTCAGCTGTGCAACATCTGGAAGGCTTTTTAGAAGAATTTTTAGTTTCCCTTATTGGCCCTCATATTGATCCTATTGACCCAGACACTAATGGAGCCAGGCTTGAAGCTCCAGTTGAGGCGCCGCGGTACAGCTGGGCATCAGCCAACGTCGCATCTGGGGGCCGGCTAACGCCAGGCCTGCCGCTCCAGCTCCCGTTCGCTGCGCGTGGGGCGACGGCCGCTGACTAAGGATTGACGCCTGTCCGTCCGTCCGCAGCTGATCCTGGCCACCACGCGCAACCAGCTGCTGTCCGAGTCGCAGTCGCAGCGCACTGGCGAGGAGCGCTCACACCAGTACTGGGCCAAGGGCACCGGCTTCGGCACCGGCAGCACCTCGCAGAAGTGGAACGTCGAGCAGGCCATGCTCAAGCAGAAGTCGGAGGAGGAGCACGTCACCTGGCTAATACAGGTGCCGGCGCGGGGGGGGGGGGGGGATCGCCGCCCGCGGGCTGCCTGGGGGGATCGCCCCCGCGGGCTGGCAGGGCCGCTCGCGGGAGTGTCGGGCTGGTGAGGGCTCTGTGAGTGTGGCGTGGTGGGGTAGGTGGCGGCGAGGGCGAGAAGACCGTAGTGACGGCGTGCGGAATGATTGTCGTACAGAGAGCCAACGATCCGGCTGTTGCGAGGTGGCGCGTCGTCGCGCCGCAGCCTACCCTGTATGCGTCGTTCGGCGAGGCGCTGTATCGCGGTTCGCCGTGGTGGATGCTGTGCGGCGGTGTCCGCGGTCCGCGTGCGGCGTCGCTCGCGGCGCGCCGCCGCTGCCTCACGACGCGCGGCGACCCCGTCCACAGACGCTGGCCTAGCTACATCAACCCGGGCGACGCGGCTGTCAGCGGCGGCGGCGCCGGCGCCTCCTCCGGCCCGGAGGGCGAGCAGGCAGACCTGCTGCCCGAGGGCCTGGCCGAGCGCATCCGCGAGTCCAACATCCTCACGGCCGTGTGCTCGTACCTGCGGAACGACTCGGTGCTGGACATGGCGCGCCACGTGCCGCTGTACGGGGCCGTGCTGCGCCTGCTGCGCGCCTTCACCGCCAGCCGCCAGCTGGCGCCCTTGCTCGCTCAGGTGGCGCCGCTGCTGGCCAACATGCGCCAGGTGGTGGACACCTACACCTCGCACCTGCAGTGAGTCGGCGGCCGCCGGGGCTGAGCAGCGTGAGCGGGTTTGGCGGTGGGTTTTTAAGGGGATGTCGGGAATGTAAGTTTTGGAGGGTCAGGTGGGAAGGGTCGCAGGAGTTAAACGCTACCTCGCAAGTTTCCTGCTTCTTTAGTGGGTTTTCTGGCGGCCGTAAAGAATGGGACAATGCTTGCGATTCCTGGACTTTCCATCGGATGTCGGATGAGGCGTCATCTGCCCGGTGAATGTGTGTGTGTGCCACGCTCAGTCTGCAGGCCCGTGTGGCCCGCCGCCGAGCCGTGCGTGTGGCCCGCACTGACCAGTGCCGCCGCCGCCGCCGCCGCAGCTCCAGCAAGTCGCGCAAGTCGGACAAGCCGGCCAAGTCGGGCTGGCCGAAGGAGGACGAGGACGGCGGCCTGGCGCGGCTGCTGGCCACGATCCAGGACACGTCGCGGCTGGTGGAGTCGGCCGCGGCGGCGCCCGGACCGGCCGCGGCGCTGACGGACGGCGCCGAGCCGGCGGCCGCCGCGCCCGGCGCCGCCCGCTCGCTGCAGCACGTCTACCTCGAGACCATGAAGGAGCTCCAGTTCGGTACGTGCCGCCCTGCTGAGAGGAGGCGTTCGGGGCCCGTGAATGGCCGGTGTAATCGAATCGCGGGAGTTCCGAAGCGAAGTTGTCAGAATGTGTGGGCCGGGGTGGCACGCAGCGGTGCGCCTGCCGTGCCGTGACAGCCGGGGTGCCGACACTTTTCAGACACGCACGAGATGATCGTGGAGAACCCGAACGGTGGCACGCGTTTCGTGGTGGCGCATCACTTCGAGTCGACGATGCGCGCCGCCGGCGAGCGCTCCCACCCGGCCAGGTACGCCGCCCCTCCCGGCTGGGGAGGGGGAGGATGCGACGGCGAGGGGAGGGGCGCTCTCAGCGGTCGGCTCGGTCTGGACCCGGCGGCCGTTTCCATGTGCCATATGCGTCTCATCACGGAATCGCTGCGTGGTGATTTTTCAGCTTGGTGCCTCGAATGTTTCATATGGTTGCTGTTAAGGAGCGGGATGTGTCGGCTGTCGAGGGAGCGGACAGAGGCTAGCACTGTGTCACGCGGCGGGCGGTTACACCTGTTCAGCTGCCGTCCGGTGACGCACACGTCGGGGTCTGAGACGCGGTGCCCGCCGCGTTGTTTGTCTGACGACCGTGTGCGGAAGGTCGGGTGGTGGAGGCTCGAGTCCGGTTGCCGGACACGGGCTTCATCACCCCCACTCCAGCGGGCGCGAGGGCGGGCGACGTGAAACGCGTAGATGTGACGGCGGCGTCAAAGCCCAGAGATTACTAGATATCCGCGCCTCAGGCCTGGACATCGCGGTGTGCGGCCGCGACGTCAGTTCATTGTTCCAACGTGGTCCATGCCGTTAAACGGCGGGGCCCTGTCTTGAGACGCCAGCACGGCGCCGGCGCCCGGGCGTCGGCGGCGTGCGGCGCCGCGCCGCGCGGCTCGCACCCTGACACGGCTCGCCGTGCTGTGTCGGCGCCCGGCAGGATGAAGCGGCTGGCGCAGGAGACGGTGACGCTGTCCACCAGCCTGCCGCTGAGCTTCAATAGCTCGGTGTTCGTGCGGGTCGACCTGGGCCGGCTGGATCTGATGAAGGTGCTCATCACGGCGCCCGCCGACACGCCCTACTCCAACGGCTGCTTCCTCTTCGACGTCTACTTCCCGTACGACTACCCCAACGCGCCCATGCTCATCAACCTGGACACGACCGGCCGCAACACTGTCCGGTGAGTGGCGGCGGTCGGCTCGAGCGGCGGGTTAGCGGGCGCCGTACCGCAGTGGCGGTCCGGCACCAGCGGCGGACGGCTCGTGCGGCGGGTCAGCGGGCGCCGTACCGCAGTGGCGGTCCGGCACCGGCGGCGGACGGCTGCCGCGCTCCTGCCGGGCCGGTGCGGGCGCGGTCGCGGGCATGACGGTCCGCGACCTGGTGCGGGACCGAAGGGACTGGCCCTGTGGCAGGGTGTCACGCTGTTCCGGGGAGGTTTAATGGCAGCTGATGTCGCCCGTCGGTTTTGCGACACCTGTGCAGTGAGTCGACCTTGCCCAGCCCCTCGTTTGTTGTGAAAACACTCTTCAGGTAGCGCTCCGCGGGTGTCTTCATTCCCCCCCCCCCCCCCCCCATCTCCCATTCGCCGCGTGTGAGTCGGTGAGGTGACCCGCTGTCTCGCCCGGTCCGCGGCAGGTTCAACCCCAACCTCTACAACGACGGCAAGGTGTGCTTGTCGGTGCTGAACACCTGGCACGGTCGGCCCGAGGAGAAGTGGAGCCCACAGACCTCCAGCTTCCTCCAGGTGAGCGCCGCCCTCCGTCGAGGGTCGGCCCCGCGGCAGGGCGCCTGGCCTCGCCTGTGGGGTCGCTGCGTTCGACGGTGCTGGCGAGGCGCGGCGACCCCGCTTGTGGTGTCCGTGGCTCTCCGTGGAACAGCGCGCATCGAAAAGGAAACGCATCTCGGCAATGCGCATGACTCCCGCCGTCTGTCTGTCTGCAAGAGCCGATGAGCGGGTATGAGCACATGCTGTTGTTGGTCAGCGCTGCGTGGCGGGCCGTTGACGTTAGTTGGGCGCGCGGCCGCCAGGTGCTGGTGTCGATCCAGTCGCTGATCCTCGTGTCGGAGCCGTACTTCAACGAGCCGGGCTACGAGCGCTCGCGCGGCACGCCCAGTGGCACACAGAGCAGCCGCGAGTACGACGCCAACATACGACAGGCCACCGTGCGCTGGGCCATGCTCGAGCAGATCCGCAAACCCTGCCCCTGCTTCAAGGAGGTGAGAGCGGCGCACCCGGGCCCCGGCTCGGTGGCGGCGGCTAGCGCGGCGCAACCCGGCCCAGCCACGTCTCCGTGTGCGCTGCTGGTTTGCAGCATCTCTTGACCTACGCGTGTTGCAATGCGTAGTAAAATTCGACTTCTGGAGGGTTTCGTTTTGCGGGTTTCGGTGGGCGGCGCCCCTTTTTTTGGTTCCCGTGCACACCGTTGGGCTTTCAGAATGACGTTGGCTAGCGATGTGGCTGGGAACTGGGGATCGAACGGGAGTGCCCAGTGGTGCTTGAGCCATCGCAGCGCATGGCAAAAGTGGAGACCGACTGCCCGCAGGCGGGGCCCACGCTGAAGCGGCGGGCGTCAGCCAGCCGTACGTGCCGGCGCTGTCGGGCTGCGCCGGCTCCGTCTCAGCAAACCTCGGCCGCCGCGTTTCAGGTGATCGAGAAACACTTCTACCTGAAGCGGCGCGAGATTCTGGACCAGATCCAGGGCTGGATCACCGAGATGGAAGGCTACGCGTCCGACCGACGCGCCTCCAAGACGCTGCACGTCTCCCTGCAGGCCCTCAAGGTGAGCGGGCGGCGGCGTCAGAGCGGGACCCGGCCGTTGATCGCACGCTGGCCTGCTGCCGTGGCTCGCGTAACCTGGCCGCCGTGAAGGGTTGGGAAGGCCACGCTGTTCTCTTCGAACGGTTCAGAACAAAGGACTAGTAGAATGCTGTCCTTGCGGTCGAGTGTGCGCTATATGTGATAGATTTGGACTAAGTCTGGTGCAATCCTGTCAGATGGGGTCGAACGAGGTTCCGCAGCGCTGGCCCGTCCACCGCGACTGCCGTCACTGGCCCGGTTTGAAGTCAAGATATATGCATGATGCGTGGAGGCCGTATCAGGGCCCCTCGCTAGTTGTAGCCGAGTGATCACGTTGAGTGCTGCACATCCTGCGTTGCCCTGTGCCCCTCACGTCTCGCCCCCGTGCTGCAGACGCACTACACGGCCCTGCAAGAGGAGCTGAAGAAGCTGCGGCCGCCGGCCGGCCTGGAGGGCGTGCTGGAGCCGGACGTCGCCCCTCCGCCGGCGGCGGCCGCGGCGGCCGGCGCGGCGCCACACGAGAAGCCCACCGTCGGCCTGTCGCCCAGCGCGCGGCCCGCCGCCGGCCTTAACGCTATCCACGACCTGGCCGAGGCTGGCGCCGCGGGCGTCATCGAGAAGGTCAAGTGTGCGGCGTCGGCGGCGGCTGCAGCCGCGGCCGCAGCAGCGGCCGAGGGCGGGGTGGCGGCGGCGGCGGCGGCACCGCTGCAAACCAACGGCGAGGAGCCGCCGGCCGAGCCGTGAGCGGCCCGCCCGCCGCCTCAGGGAACACGGTGGCCGCTGGGCGCGCGAGTGAGCGAGTGAGTGACGGCCGGAGCTGTGACGGGCTCAGCCACGCACCCGCACTGCGTGCGCGTGCACCGGCCGACGCCGGCCGACCGGCGGCGAGGACAGGCGCGCCGCCCGGATGGCGCGGCACCGACCGCCCTCGTGAGCTGAGGTCTTACTGATTGTGAGAGACGATCGATTGGCTTGGCTTGATTTTAATGAATACAGATGTTCGCAAATACGCCGCCGCGGTGTCCGACGGCGGAGCAAGGTTTGCGACGCCGGGTCAGAGCGAGTCACCGCCGGGTCGGAACGGACGGCGGGCGCCGAGTGCCGCGCGGCACGGCGATAACACGAGTCAGCGTCTGGCACCGAGCGCAGTCGGCGGCAGGCCCGCATCCAGCTGCCCGGAATCAGACGACACGTCGCGGATGTGCGATACGGGGGCCGCGGCGCCAGTGCTGCCGACGGTGGGCGCCGACAAACCGGAGAGATTAGGAACGTTGCGGGGTCACACTCTTGGACAATCAACACGCTTTGAACTTCGGGGCTGGCTGCATACGTCACGTATCCAAGTTGTCTGTTGAAACCTTCACGAGTATTGTTTCGGAACCGTCTCCCGACGGCTGCTTGACTACTAACAACCACGAGCGCCTATAGTTCACGCGGCGCATCCGATCACGCGCTTCACGGACGCCCGATCTGCACTCCGCACTCCACAGTGCCATTCTCAGCCGGCGCGGACGCCGAGCGGCGGCCGTCCCGCAGCCGCCTCTTCCCTTCGGTCTGGCTGACGGTCGCTGCTCCGGCCTACTCGGCGTCGTTCATGGGCGAGAGCGGCTCCTCGGTGGTCTGCGGGCTCGAGGACTCCGGCACGGGCGTGTGGCCGTCGCCGCTGGTGGGTCGGCTGCCGGACGCGGCCGGCGCGCCGTCCAGCGACGTCTCCACGATGGTGGGCGGCACGGCTGTCAGCCAGGGCACTGACGGCACGCAGAAGGTGTCACCGCCGGCGCCGGCCGCGTCCGGCGCCGGCACCGCCCGCCGCCGCCGCTTGGAGTCGCCCGAGCCGCCGGCCCCCTGCGACGGGTCCACGCGCACGCCGCGTGTCGTCATCCTGCCGGCGAACGGGGCGTCAGCATGTGAGACACCAGCTGGCGGCCAGCGAAAGCGCTACGGTCTCGCTTTGCTGGCTGGCGGCAGCAGTGCGAAAAATGCGAATTGTGAAAAGACAGGAAAGCCTGCTAACCGTCCAGCTGGAAGGCACCATAAAGACTTTATCCAAGTTGACACAAGACATTCTAACGAAATATTAACTCCGTTTCCACCATGCATCCGTTTCCACTACGCACTACCGAAGGCGATAGCACCTGAACTACATAAAGTATACGGTTGACCTACTGGCTCAGTGTGATCCTTAAAACGTCTGCCAGCCGCCTCCGCGTCACTCACCCGGTCTTCATGGCGGAGAAGGTGCCGGGCGCGTCACGCCGCACGCGCAGCGAGTACAGGCTGGCCAGGTGGCCGAGCTGGTCCTCCTCGGCCTTGCCGCCGCCCGTCTGCAGCCGCACCTCCGTCTGCAGCGGGTCCTAGCGACGGGCTAGGTCAGCACTGCACGCGGCACCAGTACACCACAAAGCCGACAGGCACGACACCAGCACGCCAGGCAACGCGTACAGGGCACACGCACAAGAATGTACAATGCCGATCAGGCGCTCATCAGTCACGAGCCAGCAGAGTTGGAGCAATGAGAAAATGCCTTACGCTACACAGCACACAACACTCTGTGCCCTGCTCTGCAATATTTTGCCAATCGGGACAGGAAAACTAACAGCATCATACCTCAACTTCAAAGGGGTGTTTGTCCTCAATGAAGATACATTGTGGCCTTTAGACACATGCCCTGTCGTCCTCGTATAGAGCAGCTTGCAGAGCTCTGCATCGCTGCTGGCGGCCCGTCCGCGAGCGGCCGTGATGTAGTGCGAGACTGACCTGGAGAAAGGCGGCCACGCGGTCGTTGAGGGAGGAGACGATGGAGAAGGCCGGTCGTCGGTCCCGCAGCCGGCGCCGGCCGGCTCGGATCTCACGGCTCGGCTGCCGAGCACACCCATCCCGCCGTCACGGCACACTCTCACAGCGTCCGCACAGCACAACGGCACAGCACATCGGCACGGCGTCCGCACAGCACAGCAGCACAGCACATCGGCACGGCGTCCGCACAGCACAGCACAGCCGAGTGGCGCCCGCCCAACACAGCGGCGCGGCTTCCGCACAATGCACAGACACCGACGGTCGCCACCACAGTCGCCTCCACGTAGGCAAAGGACGAGCATTGTATAGAGGACGACCTGCACATGAAGCCGGCTTGAAGTCATGATCCTTTCACGCAAAGCGCCATTGTGGACCATCGTAGTTGGATCGCCTAATTTCCAGCTGGTCCCGACCAAAGTCGTGAGTGAAGGCGGCGACTCTCCCAGCCCTGCCGCCATCGGAAACAGAGTCCCTGGCCCCAGACTTCTCGACGATCGATTCTATGTACACGCAGAGGAAGACGCCGGGCCGGCGCTGACAAACGGCAGTGGCATAACACCCGCGTCTCTCCCGACCCTGTCCCCCCTCGACCTCAGTCCCTCCCGCTCCGCGGCCGCGAGGCGGTCGGCAGCGGGCGGGCCGCTGGTGACGCCGGCGGCGCCGCTTCGGCGCCTGACCTTGGCCACCGGCCGTCGGCTGGCAGCGCGTTCGGTCGGCTCGTCGGCCGGCTCGTGGTACCAGTCCGACTGCTCGTCGTCGCCCTCGCGCCCCTCGTCGTTGGTGTACACGCCCGGGTCGTCCAGGCCGTCCGACTCGCCCCCCGAGCTCAGGCTGCTGCTGCTCATCAGGTCACTGCACACACAGGTCACAGAGGTCAGGTCACTGGATGCACAGGTCAGATATCAGGTCACTGCACACACAGGTCACAGAGGCCAGGTCACTGGATGCACAGGTAAGATATCAGGTCACTGCACACACAGGTCACAGAGGCCAGGTCACTGGATGCACAGGTCAGATATCAGGTCACTGCACACACAGGTCACAGAGGCCAGGTCACTGGATGCACAGGTCAGTAGTCAGGTCACTGTACACACAGGTCACAGAGGCCAGGTCACTGGATGCACAGGTCAGTAGTCAGGTCACTGCACACACAGGTCACAGAGGCCAGGTCACTGGATGCACAGGTCAGTAGTCAGGTCACTGCACACACAGGTCACAGAGGCCAGGTCACTGGATGCACAGGTCAGTAGTCAGGTCACTGTACACACAGGTCACAGAGGCCAGGTCACTGGATGCGCAGGTAAGATATCAGGTCACTGTACACACAGGTCACAGAGGCCAGGTCACTGGATGCACAGGTCAGTAGTCAGGTCACTGCACACACAGGTCACAGAGGCCAGGTCACTGGATGCACAGGTCAGTAGTCAGGTCACTGCACACACAGGTCACAGAGGTCAGGTCACTGGATGCACAGGTCAGTAGTCAGGTCACTGCACACACAGGTCACAGAGGTCAGGTCACTGGATGCACAGGTCAGTAGTCAGGTCACTGCACACACAGGTCACAGAGGTCGTGTCATTGGACGCACAGATCACAGAGGCCATGCCACTGGACGAACGGGTCACACCTTCGGGAGACTCGTGCTAGGGTCAATGGACTATTTACGACGTGTGCTGCATTTCTAGATCGGATCTAAGATTCAAAACCACCCAACGGTTGAGCCATTGACACCGAACCACCGAACCAAACACACCAAACACCGGACCCAACACACCGAACACCGGTCCGAACACACCAAACACCGCACCGCTGGCAGTGAGCACGACGCACACTACCTACCATACGCCTGTGGTCGCCAGTTGGAGCTCTGTACCCTCCTCCAGCGGGGGAGGGGGGGGGGGGGCGGGACAGACACCCTCACCTGTGCAGCCGGTCCAGATCGCTGCACTCCATCTCCTCGTCGCCCTGGCCGGGTCGCGGCGGCGGGAACATTGAGCCGGCCTCCTTGCGGTCGCACCGGCGCTTGCCCAGCATCACACCGGCGTACCTGGAGCGGTCCCGGAGGCCGCCGCGTCAGACGGGGGGGGGGGGGGGGGCAGCTCACCACCACAACAAACCGGCGACAGGCCTGCGCAGCAGCTCAAGTCGGCAAGACACCTCAGGAAAACTGCACGGACGGCAAATCAACGACAGGACCTCAGGCGTCATACCACGGCATAATCGTACCGGACATAGCCAGCGGCATAATCGTACCGGTCGGCCGCCAGATGTCAGCAAAGGCACGCAAGCTATTACACCAGCTGCATGCTTTACAGCGCTCGTGTAGCGTAGCGATGCGGGCCGGGCTACTCGCACCGCGGTGGCGACCGCCGCTGAACGTGGCCGAGGTTCCGCTCGTCTTCCTGGGGACGGGACGCCTGTCGGACGGGTCAGCAGGCTTCTAATTGGGCTGGGCAGGCCAGATCAGGTCATGTATGGTCGGGTCGGGTCGGGTCGGGTCGGGTCGGATCAGGTCAGGTCAGATCGACTCACCTGCCCTCTCCGTACCCGTCCTGCATCTTAGAGCGCTTCCTACGCAGCTCTGACACGGAGCCAGGTGGAAGTCCGACCGACGTTGACGGCTGCGAGAGCTCGCCGTCCAGCGCCATGCGCTTCAGCTTCCGCTTCCTGCCGAAAGATGGCGTCATAGGCGCGCAGTGCGGCCGGCTCGGCTAGCCGCAACGTCAGGGTGACAGCCACGAGCGGCCACGAGGAATGACAGAGAACGGTATTGTTTGCGGGCATGCCAGGCACGGCAGCTTTGGCGAGGGCAGCCTGGCAACATGCCCACCCACCCTCTCCCTCCCGCACAGCACTTTCTCTCTCTCAGAACGGTGACATATCGTTCCTAGTCCCGCGACCACGACAATGAGTGTGCTGGAGACTAACCACCAGGCCAAAAACAATTTCAAGTGACCCACCTTCCCACCTTTCCTCATGACAAGACCATTCAATCCAAGCAGGCGTATGACACATGTAGGCATACACAGAGCAGAATAACTTGCTCTGTGACACCGCAGTCGCTGCTCGCAAATATTTGCCACTATGAAGGCCGACTAACTATTCCCGGTTCGTCCTGACATTGGTTCGTGCCACTACCAGCCCCTAAAAGCTCGAGTTCGAACCGTAGACACTGCGCGAGTTACAGTCTTCCGCCAGTCTCTACAGCATCAGACCGCATCATTACCGGCGCCTGCAAAACGCCCGAGGCACTCCACGGTCACACCGCGCGCCACCCGGCTCCAGCGACCGGAGCTCCCTGCCACGTCAGCCCGCGCCTCGACCGACCGTCTCTGGAGCCGGGCCGGCGAGAAGTTCTCGTTGACGGAGTCCGACTCGGCCATGGGTCCGGCGAGACCGGCGGCGGCCGCCAGCCGGTGCCGCTGGCTGCGCCGGCTGTGTGACAGGATGCCGGCGCTGCTCACCATCTCGTCCGAGTCGCTCTGCGGCCGGGCGCACGCGCACGTTGCGTCACAGGTGGTCTCCGGTCCGGGGCCAGGGCCGAGGGCCGGGGCCGGGGCCGGGGCCGGGGCCGGGGCCGGGGCCGGGGCCGGGGCCGGGGCCGGGGCCGGGCCGGGCCAGGCCGGGGGCCGGGGCCGGGGGCCGGGGGCCGGGGGCCGGGGCCGGGGGCCGGGGGCCGGGGGCCGGGGGCCGGGGGCCGGGGGCCGGGGCCGGGGGCCGGGGGCCGGGGGCCGGGGGCCGGGGGCCGAGGGCCGGGGCCGGGGACCGGGGAGGCCGGGAGGCACGCTGCCAGCTGATCGGTGACGGGGCCGGCGCGGGCAAATCGCGTGCTGCGGCGCTGCCATGTTCCGTGGCTGTCCAGCTTACAGACTTGACGCTTCTCAGCTAGTGGAGACGTGTTAAAAGACAGCGTTTCCGCCAGCTTGTTTGTCTGTTTGTTTTCTTTGGCTAAATCCTAGCCTTCGGAATAACCTCTATCCGTTCCTCAACCAAGGTCAATCAATATTGGAGAAATGTACGACGGAGAAATGGCAGGTGCGATGCAGCGGCAGACATGTCCGACAAAGGACGGCATGAGATGCCTTTACGATAATGCTAGCAGACACCAGTTCCAACTACCGGCAGTCATTTGCAAAACGGCTCAATCACCCACGGGTGCGAGGTGACCATCGCCGGCCGAGGACGAGGTCGTGCTACGTGGGAGACAGCTGGCCACAATTGCATGCAGCACGACGGCCGGCGGCGGCGCTGCGGGGCGGGGGGCGCTCACCACTTGCACGCTGGAGATCTGCCGCTCGGTAGAAAGGTGTGCCTCGCCGACGCTGCTGCCAGAGTCCTCGCTGTAGGTGCGGGCTGCCGGGCGGCCGCTTGCGTCAGTCGCGGCGCCGGCCACCGGACAATAGCAGACGACGAGCCACAGCCCGCCGAAGAGGAATAGCAGACGGCGAATCACGTAAGTTTCACTATAGATTGCATGATGAAACGATCCCATCGACAAAAAGGCGTTGCCAACCACACCATGTGGCGAGAATCTTTGGAAGCTCACTGTCCATCTTGAAAAAAATGGGAACTGTTGAGACAACTTAGGAATCGGTCACTGAACACGATATCGACGTCGTTACTCTGAGAATGTAAGGAGTCACGAGAGTCGGTCTTCTGAAGCGAGGGGGGACGACGGAGCTCTGACACTCACGCGGTGCGCCCGTCAGGTTGCCGGCGGAGCGGGAGCGGCGCCGCCAGCCGCGCCGCCGGCGGTGCGATGAGGACGAGCTCTCCTCTAGCGCGTGGCTGAGGTCGCGCACGAGCGCCTCCATGCTGCGCCGGCCGCGCTCGTGCTGCCCGGTCGGCGGCGTCGGCGCCACGGAGGCGCGCAGCACGTGCAGCCGCTGCAGTCTCCGGATCAGACTGGGGTCCATCGGCGCGGCCCCATACAACCACTGCTCGGCACAGTGGCCAGGTGGTGTTAGCAGATGGGTCCATAAGGGGAGGTTAAACCAACACATACAGTGCACAACTGTGTGATAAGTGAGATCTCTTATGGAACAGGAAGCCCTTGCATACTTAAAGAATGCAGGCCATTCAGACACAACTTTTGCATAATACTGCAAATCAAACTAGTAACCATTTCATCTGCCATGTCAATGGACAGGGAATGTTGGGTCACACATTTTCCACTCCATGTCATTTTAGGGGGGTGAATCAAGACAATGTGTCAGGCACTGAATGATTTTTGAAAGCACTTTGTGCAACATTTAATTTGGTGAGTTACAAAAATTACCTTGCTGGTTTCCCAGAATAGAAAGGCATGCATACTTCCAAGCAGGACTCAACAAAAAGGCCCAGTGGCTTCCACATCATCTTAATTACAAAGGAAGCAGTACTTTTCATTGTATGCAGAACTGTAGTAGGTATGTGAGACACAAAATATCATGCATAGCCAGTGACACAGGAGTGATGCCAGGGCATATTTCCTCCAGATTTACTGTTAAATTGGGTGTAGCTGCATCCCAAGCAGCTCAGAAAATTAGCATTTGGCCCATGGCATTGCATACAGAAAATGAACCCACAAAAAATTTGCATCTAAGGATCATCGGCAAGTTTCAGCTTAGCTTTGTCCAACTTGGACAAAATTTAGCTGTTTTTATGGTGAAGAACTCCAGCCAATCCCTCCTCCAATTCTTACGATTACCTCACTAAAACATATGACTCGCCTGTAACTGTAAGTGGCTGGCCAACGATCTCCACCCCACCAATAACTTATTGTCGACCAAACTTTGTCTACGGGGGCGTCGCCACCCTTCCCACTGCTATCGTTTCCACCAAGTGTCAACAACGATTGTGAAACCTCGACCATAGCAGTCCGTGCAAAGTGCTGGTTCTGTTCAATGCAAAATGCCACTGAGAAATCAGTGGCTGTGTTCGGCATCTGTATTGGCTCTTAGCGTATTTTCCAGCTATGATTGGTTTATTTGCGCTCAGCCTGCAAATCCAAGCCGTCTGTGTTCAACATTGTTTGAATACTTGACGCGTTTCATACAAAACCGACGCATGATGGATAAGTAAGCAAATAAACTTGCAATAAGCAATTGGCTTGTCGTCGGCTGTGCTTGAATTTTCGGGAGTACGTGTCATCATATTTGACCCAGGTAAGTCCATGTATAGACTGTGCTCTCAAAATGAATTAAGAGGTGTTGCTTGCCCACACTTGAATATCTGACCAGAGGTCTGTATTTCTGTTCACTGGTAGGTCCCAGATCTATCTAGGCGTCTGCCTAGCTTAATATGGTTGGGATGGTGAGATAAATGTATTCTATATGTTCAGGATGGTAAGTAAGCAACTAGGAGACCTTCATTGACTTTTTTCCCTTCCTCTTTCACTGGAGGCTCCTAGGTCTTGGAAGCCAGACTGTGAAGAAACATGTTTTTGTGAACATGTCTGTGATAGCGGTAGCAATTTCAGTGTACATACTTTCCAAGTCATAATGATCCGAGTTTTGTGCTGCTTTGTCATCCAATTTAGCATATGGGATCCAATGTTTCAAGGAATGATGGTGTAGCAAATGTATGTTGTAGCAAATGTCCTCAGAAAGCATTTTTCAGTCATAAGAATTTAGGAGTTCAGCTCAATCTGACCTGGCCTGAGTGTGTTCATTGCAAATGTCATGTTCAGCTGTTCACTGATTCACTGATTTTCTGAAGGCATCTGGGCCATTTGGTGGATTTTTTGCACATTGATTTGGAAGTGCTTTGCTCAATGGAATCACCTAAAACTGTCTTCATGGCAAACACACTGAGAAAGTTGACAACCTAAAGCATGTGCTAGTATTTCATGTGCCATTGCCCATGGAAATTTTTTTTGGCTATCCTCTGAACTTTGTGCATTGCTGGCCCACTTGTATGAGAGGGCCCTGGACTGAATTTGTGTGTTCCAGGCAGAATCTCACATTGCTTGGTGGACCCTATCTGGACATTATTATGATAGGATGTGGATAAGCCCATCACATCTATTGGCAGTTAGGTGCATATGGCAGTACTCATAGTTTTATTAGTATATTCAGGCACAGATTCTGTCATTTCAATAAGTAGCTATCAAAAGTCCCACATACTTCTTCCTTCTCTTCACACTGTGACCATGCATATGTCTGGCTGGATCTACTGATTAAAACCACAGTACCTGTTCTTCTGGTGCATCAGCTAGCTCACCTCATTGAAGGGAGGGGTGCTGGGAACTCTCAGCCCAAAACCCCATGGCTCTGCTGTCAAAGCTGTAAGAGCTGGCTCACCTTGTTGAAGGGAAGGGTGCTGAGAACTCTTGGCCTAAAACCCCATGGCTCTGTTGTTAAGCTGTAGGAGCTGGCTCACCTTGCTGAAGGGGGGGGGGGGGGTGCTGTGAACTCCCAGTCCAAAACCCCATCACTCTGTTGTTAAGCTGTAGGGGTTTCTGGCCCTGGCTGCTGTATGTTTCTCTTTATATGTGGATGTAATCAGTAATTTGCTTATGACACTTGAGAGTTCATTGCTGAGCATCAGGTAGAGTATGGCACTCAACTCACATCCTGTGACCAGCCTGGATGTCCCCACCCCACCCCATCCCACCCCACCCATTCTACCACCACACAATATGTCATTACTAAGGAGAGCAGAAATCTAGTGCAGCAATTTGCCATCAACTCGACACATCTGCAGAACATGCAGCAGCCATTTGCAATTAACACTATTCAAGGGATATTTAAAGGTCAATTAGATAAGATCTGGTAAAGCACTACTTTGATCTTGTGTGATTTGTACTCATCAATCACCAAAGCAATGGCTGTGTATTTGGATTAGGCTTTCATCCATTTTCTAGGACTGGCTTTGACTTTGGCTTTGACTATGAGTCATTTTGAATGATTTGTTTTATTTTCAGCTTTAGGCTTTTGTCATAACGGCTGCTGTCATCAGCTTTGGCTTCAACTTTGGGCAAGTTTTTGGCCATGGCCCTGACTTTGGCTCATTCGACCTTGGCCGGCTGGCTCTGGCTTTGTCACACATGGCTGAAAACCCAAAGTCAGCGGGCCATTTTCAAGACCAATCAAAACTACACGACAGACGGAGAATGAGTGTCCGAAACGTTGTTAAGTTGCTAACATATGCGAGGACAGTAGGCAGAAAACATATCTCGTGCTTGGCCTTGTCTGAATTACTCCCCAACACCCTTATGTTTTCTGACCGCATAAAGTTTTAGCCGACGCGAAATATTTCGCTCCGCAAAGCCGCGTTCTATAGAAGATTCGTTTGGCTTTTTCTTCGCGATTCCTATGATCGACACTGCTGGCTTCGGCTTCGTCTTGGCGCGTGCAAAGTTTGAAACCACTAGATGCGAATTCGGCGTCGTGTTTTACAAGTACGAAGCCATCGAATTCTGTCTGTTTTTGTATCTGGTCAAGTGGCCCACCCCCGAAGGCACGGCCTTGCTTTGGCCCGCCTGTGTATTCCTCCAAACACCCGGTCCAAGAAATTGGCAAGGGGTGCAGTATGCATGCATTTTGTGGAAAGTATCCTGCCTGCAGGCGCGTGGTCAAGGCTGTCCAGCAAGGGTGCCGAAAATATGAAACTCATCTTCGACAATATACAGTATGTGTGTATGTCTGTGTGTGTGCCTACGCGACCAACCCCAAAGTGCTACAGGCTGAGGTACCAAAAACATTTGACAAAGCAATGAAGACGCCTGCTGGCACTACAGAGGAGGTCTTTGTATCAGTTTGGAAAAAACTACATGTCGCCACTCTGCCAGGTGGCTGCCCTGGTTATCTTTCCTTGTATGGATAGTTCTACATGATGCAACTTTGGTCTCCCTTAGAATGACATTGTGTTATGAGATGCCACTCATCCTAACTCTAATCATCTTGTTTTCAGAGTTCGCTACGTGACAACATGCGCTCAAATATAAAATTTCGAGGCACAGACCACGAAGTGATCCGGGTGTCCCATGCTGGCACAGCTCCGGCTCCCGGCGCGGCGTCGTCGCCCGCGCCCGCTGCAGACGTGCCGCGGGTGGAGGTGCACCCTCCCGTGCTAGAGATGGTCACCCGATTGCGCTCGGGGTCCCTGCCGCAGAGCGTGGGCCCGGCCGACCGGGCCCTGGCGGACCTGCTGGTGGAGGCCGAGGAGGAGGAGGAGGGGGAGGAGGACAGTGACGGCATGGTCAGTGTCCGTGATCTGGGCGACCTTTGTCAAGCTGCTGTGGGTGAGGAGGTGCGCCTTTATGAGGGGCTCATAGAAGCCAGCGCCATTAAACAGGAGCCGGGGCTGGAGACTACAGTAGAGGAGCTGGGTGCAGAGACTGCCGGACGGGAGCCGGGTGCAGAGACTGCCGGACAGGGGCCGGATGCGGAGACGGCCGGACAGGAGTCGGATGCAGACGGGCCGCTTGTGACGACGGAGGAGCTGGGAGCAGCGATGGGGGAGGCCAGGCCCAGGCCAGAGGACGCTGGAGCGACGGAAGCAGACTTTGTGTCGAATATGGTGCTGCCCACTCCCAACAGTGAGTATTGAGGCTTGAGTGAGGCCTTCGTGAGTGTGGGGGCTTGAGCTGATGCCTTCGTGAGTGTGGAGGCTTGAGTGATGCCTTCGTGAGTGTGGAGGCTTGAGTGATGCCTTCGTGAGTATGGAGGCTTGAGTGATGCCTTCGTGAGTGTGGAGGATTTGAATGATGCCTTCGTGAGTACGGAGGCTTGAGTGGTGTCTTCGTGAGTATGTAGGCTTGAGGAATGCCTTCGTGAGTATGGAGGCTAGAGTGATGCTTGCTGGCGTCCGTTTCGGTGGCCACCTCGCCAGAGCGGCCAGGTATTGATGGTTTGCAACACTTTCTCTGTCCATAGCCTGCCAGGATGCAACACTTGCCTTAACACAATTCGTGTATTGCAATTGAAGTTCAGCTGCGCTTTCACCTTAGGACCGGGTAGGGTGCTTATGGAGTATGTCAGGTTGGGATAGGCAAGCTGTGGTGTTACATTGGAGTCCAACCCCTGTCATCGGCTTTGTTCGGGCCCGTACACTTTGCTCGTGCTCATTACACGGTGTGGCGTCCGGCAGTTTTTCCCAAGCGGGGTCGTGGAGGGATCTTTTGCATGGGTTCAGGCATTGCCATGTTGCATCCGTTCAGTTCCAGTTCAAACCTTCGCGGCCATACGCGTCTGATTACGATGCATATTGTTTGACCAGGACGATAGCCCTCTGTGGGGTCTGAATGCATGACCCTCGGTCTACCCGTCCTCGATCATATCCCCTTGGCATAGGGACAAGTGATAGTTCCTTGGGAACCTTCAGTTGCGTTCGACTGATGGCGCTGTGGTGTTCGCGGCCGCCAGGGAGTCTGCACATAATCCTGCAGGCCCGCCAGCTGCTGCAGCGGCGCCGGATGGTGCGCGAGATGACGGCCCAGTACCGGGAGCAGCTGGGCGCGCAGCTCGCCCGTTTGGCACCGTCGGCCGACTCAGACTCCGACGTTGGCTCAGACTCCGACTCGCTGGCGTCCGAGGAGGGCGCGCCGCGGCGGCCGCGCGAGCGGCGGCGGCCAGCGGCGTCGGCCGCGGCGCCGTCGCCCTGGTCCCGACGCACGCTGCTCGTGATGCGCGGCCGCGAATGTGACGACACGCCCAGCGACCTGACCGAGCGGCTCGACGCGCTGGTGCCGCCCACCCGCGATGCCATCCTGCCGCCGACCAACATGCGCGAGGCGCTCGATATGGTGCACCAGCTGCGCCTGCAGAACCTCAGCCTGCAGGCGGAGCTGATGCGCACCGGCGGCGAGCACCTGCGCCTGACGGCGCGCGCCGCCGCCACCGCGCCTGCCCACCAACCCAGCCGGCGCGGCCGCAAGAAGGTGATGGCCACGATCACGGCCGAGCGACTCCACCACCTGGAGAAGCTGGAGACGGCTGTGGAGCGCGTGTTCACGCCGTCCCAGATACGGGCCATGTCGCACGGCTTCAAGCGCAACAGCGTGCAGTGGCGCGAGGAGGACTTCCGCCGCGCCGTGACGCTGCGCTCGCTTTGCTCCAACAAGATGTTCGAGTACGTGCGCAACGACATGAAGATCCCGCTGCCGAGCATCGAGACGCTGAAACTGCGCTGCCCGAACTACCCGAAGCTAGACGCGATGCTGTGGCGGGCGCTGCGGGAGCCGAACGGGTCCGCGTGCGCCGGCTGCCACCGACCGCCCCAGCCGTGCACGCACGGGGCCACCGCGGCCGCGCCGCTCCTGCGTGCCTGCCTGAAGCAGCGCCGGCCGGCGCCGGCCGGCCCGCCGGCCAAGGTCCCGCGGTCGGCGCCGGCACCGGCACTGCCGGTGAAAGCAGAGACGCGCTCCGCCGGCGAGTCGGACGCGTCTGCCTCGGACGAGGATCCCGCGTCGCTGTGGGGGATGCTCGACGCGCGCGGCCGCACGCCCGTCGACGCCCCGCTCCGGCGGAAGGCTTGGAGCTGACTGGTGCTCCCGTAAAACCGGTCGGCTGGCACGAGCTGCTCACGCGTCGGAAGCTAGCTCGGCGTCTGCCGACTTTCTGCGGTGCTCTGGTATCGTGCTCGCAGGGTACCTGGGCGCACATGAATTTGCCTGGAAGCTGTGGGCCTTTATGATCGTTTTTAACACGGAGTGTGAATACCAGTTTCATTTGTATACTTGTTCCAGCTGCAGATGCCATGGTACAGGAGAGTTGGCTCGCGTCGCGTGCGCAAGATGCATCGCGCGGCTGGGGCATCGCGCGGCTGGGACCGTACTGTTACCGGGTGCTCGCAGTGTACAAATATAAACATTGCATTATGCACTTGTGTGAACACCGGGTATTAGGTTCAGCCTGACACTCATTGGATGATGATGATGATTTGGGCTTTCGGGCGCACCGACTACGTTGGTCATATGGCGCCCATAACCTATGTACTCATTGGAGCTAAGCGGGCTACGATGCCACCCAGGAATGCTTTCTGGAGGTCAGGCGCGCTCTGAGGACTTCCCTACGCGAATCGGGTGCAGACGCGGCCGGAGCTGAACCCATCGGATCGCAGGTGCGCTGCCACCTGTGGCTCGATTTTCCACGCTACGATCCGGCAGGTGGAGTTGCTCGTGACCACAGCAGCGCCACGCATCGCTAATTAGAAGAAATGCACAGTCGTCGCGCACTGGCGTACAGGATGGGAACCCTGGCCGATCCGGCGAGCGATCAAAAGCGTTGCCGTTCCCTCTGTCCGAAATCAATAAAAATAAAATCCTGCCGCGCCTGGTGCCGAGCCAGCCGACCGATTACTTACCGCCGTGCTAGCCTCCAATTTTTGCCCGCGGCGTTCATGAGGTCTCGCCATTTGTTCTTTGTCTGACGCGGCGCCGGGCGCTACCACCCCCCAGATACCGCTGTGAACCGATACATATAGTCCACACAACCTAGATGACTGGCATGCCTGGTATTGGCAACAGCGCAAGACCCTCGCTGTTTGGTATCAATAGGCCTTAGAGGGATCGTCATACATCGCACCATCACTTGAGAAATAACAAACCAATAGGCACCACGCTGACGGTTATTGGTTTGTTTTGAATGGCTAGTGGACAGCTGGACTGGACAATGTCCGACATCCGGACGTTATGAAACATGGTATAAACAAACCATTTGCAAAACTGAACGGTTGCCAACTCTCCGACGACTCGGCTCAGACCAGGTAAAGGCTGTCATGTCACTACCATCACATGGTTAACATGTTCCGATCAGCAGTCCATTGAGTCTTGGACAGCCTAACTCGGATGTGGGACCGTCCGTAATTCAAAAGTGGTCGTGCGTCTGGTTCAAAGTAGACCTCTCAGCTGGACGAGCAAAACTTACACTGCCTGTGGTCGGTAAGAATACGCTATTCACGTCTCATGCCGTATGGCAACATGATCGCAGTTTCCTCTAGCGACTGTCAACCGCTTTCAGTTACGTTTTGTTTCAAAAATTCACGTTTCGTAATCATGGTAGTACCAACATACTGCGGTGATGATGAAACAGAAAACGGATCGTGTTTCCCTTTCTGCTATCGGGTTCGCTCGCCGCATTTCTGAACTATGGGAGCAAAGGTATAAATTTTGGAACTTCCGTAACCTCGCCTCGAAATTTAACTGAATATTCGAAGATGGTGTCCTGAAGTGAATCATGAATGAATAGAAATAGCAATAGGTGGAGTGGAAGTATTGCTAAGATGCTATGAACAGCGAGCGGACCCTGCGAAGAAAAGCCTACCAGCAATAGCTTCCACAGACCGCAGGCCAACCAACTTATATGCCTGCCATGCTGTCTGCTTTACCACACGTGTTGCCGCCCCCGCGCGTCCCTCCCCGGCCTCTGCCGCGTAGCAGCCGCGCCCCCTCGTCCCGTTGCGCCGCTGGACGCGTCTGCGGCGAGCTTCTCTCCAGCTCCTCTGCTCTGTCTTCCACCCCAGCAAACACAGAGTATCAACGCAGCGTCGGCGTGTATTGGTGTGCATCCTGTCTAGGCCTGCGGCGGCGGCACGGGCACCGGCTCCGCGGGCTTCTCCTTGGACTCCGAGTACGGCTCCTTGGGCAGCTCCTCGTCCTTCGGCTCCACGATCGTGACGTGGTCGGGCAGCGGCTTCTTGGGGCCGATCTTGCCCGTCTGGTCCCACGGCAGCATAATCTTCACCTTGATGCCAAGCACGCCTGCCGGACACCAGCGTCGCGTTAAACGGCATATTCCTCAGTCTTAACTACACCTATCCCACTGAACCAGCATATTCATTTGTAGGCTGTGTGATGCCAAACGGCCTGATCATGAATCAGCGCGCGAGGTTTTAGCGCGAAAAAATGTAAACACCAGCAGGAATGAAGAGGAGTCTCAAACAGTTCGCCTTACCATGGTCACGAACTGTGGCATCATTTACATGCATGTCAAAAGGACGTGACAGACTATGCACCATGAACCCTGAATTAGTTTTGGTATCAATTGCAGTTGAAGTTAACAGAGAGCACGGCACAGGTACCACAGTCATCAGCTTCGTACCAAAGCCACAACACCACACACAGCATTAGGGAATCCACCAAGCAAATGCCCAAAGGACTTGGCAGAAGGCCCGCGGCTTGGTTCAGATGTGCTGACACACGGCTGACGCAAAAGATACAATGAAGACGCCGGTAAATTGTTAGCTCTACTTTCAAATAATTCTAAAGGTCTCAAAATACTGCTGCCGTCACAAATGGCGAAAACCGCGATAGCTTTTGAACAACTCGAGGGACGGCGGATCATCTACACCATACAGTTTGCGACTGGTAAAATGAGGAACAGACCAAGACAACAAACTTGATTCTCCACCACATTGTCAGTATTAGTTGCTGACAAATGTGTTTACTACATCCCTGGCCAACCAAACGTAACCAGACTAGGTCCGCGGCAAGGAGTCAGCTGTTCGACGTCACATGCACACTGCCAAAAAACGAAGGCCTGCGGCTGCTAGTGCGGCAACCATCGTCACGACCGCTGTCCGCTCCGGCGTTCGCCGCCGGTGATGGCCCCAAGCACCGGCGTCCGCCGCCGGCGACGGCCCCAAGCACCGGCGTCCGCCGCCGGTGACGGCCCCCAGCACTGGCGTCCGCCGCCGGTGACGGCCCCCAGCACTGGCGTCCGTCGCCGGTGACGGCCCCAAGCGCCGGCGTCCGCCGCCGGCGCGCTCACCTTGCCGCAGCAGGACGTGCCGGCAGGCCTTGTCGACGTAGTCGTGCACCGGGTTGCCGGAGTGGATCATGAGGCCCTCGCCGAACTTCATCGACTTGGCGCGCTGTCCGCGCAGCTTGCCCGACACCACCACCTCGCAGCCCTTGGCGCCCGACTCCATGATGAAGCGCAGCACGCCGTAGCAGGCGCGGCGCACGGCCAGGCCGCCCATCAGCTTGTAGTGCAGCGACTCGGCCTGCGCGATGGCGCAGAGACCGCGCGTGGCCACCTTCTCGGCGTACAGCTCCAGCGAGCCGTCCGGGAAGCCGAACCGCTTCTGCACCACCGAGGTCAGCTCGCGGATCCGGCGGCCCTTCTCGCCTGCGGACACATGGCGCGGTCAGTACGGCGGCGCCGCCGAACTAGCATGGTTGCTGCTCACCCAGCTGGTGCTCGATGCTCAGTGGCAGGACTTTTGGTATTATGTGTGGTCTCTGTAACTTGTTCATCTGCTGGACCTTGTACCAAACGAGCACTTCTCGAGGAAACTGGCATAAATGACTCACCAATGCCATGAAACATAGCAGGCTGGTGAACATCGCACCATCAGTATTGTTTGCATGCTTTTTGTCAGCACAAGCTAGAATTTTGTCACTGAGTTGAATTTTTGTATATTAGTCCTGGATTAGGGAGTTTCAATGTTATGAGTGACTAAAAAACCTTAGGCTTTTTGTTGAACTATTGCATTGCAATTTCAACAAAACAGTTTGGACCTATGAGCACTAGACACAAGTTGAAGCACTCATATTGAACAACAGGCACAATGCTTTCCATGGGACAGCTACAGTTGCCCTGCACCTCACATGGCACATAGTCAGCCCAACACCTAACCTGCACTGGCCAATCATAAACCCAACATCTGATTGGAACTGGCTCACAGTAAGCATGATGTCTGACCTGAACTAGGTGAGATCCCAGAAATTAAACACACTGGATCACACCACTGAAAATTCATACCACAAAAACCATCATACAATGCTTGCTGCTCAATGTTTTGCTCTGAGAATGATCCCACAAAAACAGTTTCTGGGTTTCAATGACACCACCCTGCTTCCACATATTTTGTTCTATGGTAATGAGAGGCCTTTAATGGTGAATAGGTTAAAATAATGTTTCAGGATACATTTTTCACTTCACACCATCCCAACTTCACAACAAACCCAATTACCCAGAAATTTAAAAATCACAAACATTACAGATAACCCTAGGGTTGTCATCCCAATGATATATTCTTCAAAAACCTGGCACCCTGGAATTGGCACAAATGAGGAAAACTGGAAAACTTATTAAAACAGCAGTCTTGGTAAATGAGCTTGTCACTAATTTACAGTGGTTGGTTTAATGGGATTAATGATCTGAAAACCAGAAACCTGATGTCAATGCTGGGACCAAACCCAGGCCACATTTACTTGCCTCAAACAGATCCCTGGTATGTTGCACCTTGTACAATTTTACATCTGGATTAACAATGGCCACATCTCCCAGGTGGTACCACAAGCTTCCGACACTCAGCGTTAGTTCTACAAGCATCATCAACCAACCAACACCAGTCATTACATCACAACAGCCATTTAGTCATGACAGGGTACCCACAGGGCAGGGCAGCATACCATGCACAAACAGGGCAGCATACCACACACAAACTGGGCAGCATAACATGCCACTCAGACAGCCTGTTAATTGGCTTACCCTGTCAGGCTCCCAAACCTACACTTGTATAAGATATCATGGAGAAGGCAGGCAAAGAAGAGGGAATATGCTAGAAACCCAAGCTTGACATAATAATCATATCAGATTGTGACAACGCAAAAGGTACGATCACTACAGATGTGAAAATACATCTACAAAACAAGAGGGAAACACAACTCACCAAGAACACTCTGGGTCCTTGTTGCAAGGATGATGATTTCCCTGCGGGTTGGGGTGACCCGCACCTCAACACCACTGTAGCCATCTTCAGCCAATTCACGTGTCAAGAACACATTGAGCTCAGCCTCAAAGACGCCTTTCTTCACAAACTGAAATAACAAATATGTAAGCATCATGACATGGCATCATGCAGTGTATCATACTGTGCCTGATGGAAAGAAAGGGAGAACTATGGAAATGGGCAGATGAGTGCTAGCAGTGGATGCAACATGCATGTCACATACCCTATTTAGCAGGCACTCTATTCCTTGTGATAAATGCACACCCTTTAAAATGAACCGATACAGTGATCTAAGCAAAGTTCCAAAATTGTTTCTTCCAGGCAACAATGTTCACATTTTCAATGCCTGGGATTCCAGAAGAGAGCAATGCATTACATCAAAATGATACCAAGGATAATATTTCCATCAACCTTTCAACCAGCCCAGCTGCAAAAATAGTAACAACAATGACATTGACACTTAATTTTTGGCACAAGACCCAAAACATGCGCAGAGCAAACCATCAACACATTATCAAAGCTGCACAGCATTTCCTGAAACGGTACCTGATCCATGATACATCTTGAACCATAATAGTCAGTGCTTAACACGCTTGGGTACGTGATTCACCTATAATTTAAGTGGATTCACAAAACATCCATCAAAACAAGACATCGCGTCACATACGCCCCGTCTGAAGCGCACGCAATATCATCACCCACAGAGTATATTGGTACCAGTCACTGCGGCAAATTGATAAAAAAACACAAATCTGGCTATAAACAACCCAAGCATAGGTCTCAATCGAAAACTTAAAGCGTACCTTCTTTTTCTTTGACAACTGCTGCGCCATGGTTGCGGCTTAGAGGAAAAGGACGGGACGCGCAGCTGCCGTTTGGAAAAATATGTAAGGTATCAAAATGCGCAAAAGATCCCTTGGCCAGATCTCATTTTGTTATGAACGAAATGAAAATGAGTAAAAATGACCTTCCTTTGAAAGAAAGATGTCCGAAAACTTGCAGTAGAGAGATAAAATGTTAAACCTTTCAGTGAGACGCTTCCGGTCGCTGTCGTCCATCCTAACGCACCAGTGACAAACAAGCTGAAATTGCAGTACGCTCGCCGCAACGTGCGAGGGCTCGGCCTTTCGCGTTGGAGTCGTGGGGTTTTTGTTGCTTATGGGAGTTGGGGGGTGAAGATTACTGACTTTTTTGAGAGATACGCGAGTGCGTGTTATTTTTCTTACCGAGTGAGTGAGAAGACCGTCTGAAGTGTTCTTTGTGGCTTATCGAGGACAAACTTTGCTTCAAGATGTCGTACAATTTTAAGAAGATTGTGGTGGTACCTTCCTCCAAGGACTTCATCAACATCATTTTGTCAAAGACCCAAAGGAAAACTCCTACAGTTATCCATAAGGGTTACAAAATATCTCGAATCCGACAATTCTACATGCGCAAGATCAGATTCACTCAGCAGAGTTTTCATGACAAGCTGCAGCTGATCTTGACAGACTTTCCAAAACTGGAAGATATCCACCCCTTCTATGCAGATTTGATGAATGTCTTGTATGACAAAGATCATTACAAGCTTGCACTAGGGTCAAATCAATATGGCAATGCACATGATTGGCAATGTGTCAAGAGACTATGTCCGGCTCATGAAGTATGGTGATTCTCTGTATCGCTGCAAGCAGCTGAAGAAGGCTGCACTTGGTCGCATGGCAACCATCATGAAGAGGCAAAATCAGTCACTTCAGTACCTGGAGCAGGTCAGGCAGCATCTGTCCAGGTTGCCCTCCATAGACCCCAACACCAGGACCCTCCTCATCTGTGGATTTCCCAATGTGGGAAAGTCAAGCTTCATCAACAAAATCACCAGAGCAGATGTTGAGGTGCAGCCATATGCATTTACAACAAAGTCTCTCTTTGTTGGCCACACAGACTACAAATACCTCAGGTGGCAAGTAGTGGACACACCTGGAATCCTTGACCATCCCTTGGAGGACAGGAACACAATAGAGATGCAGGCTATCACAGCTTTGGCCCATCTGAGAGCTGCAGTCCTGTACATCATGGACCCATCTGAGCAGTGTGGTCACACTCTGGAGCAGCAGGTGCAGCTGTTTGAGAACATCTGTCCCTTGTTTGCCAACAAACCACTGCTTGTGGTCTGCAACAAGTCAGATGTGATGACTCTTGAGGAGCTGCCAGCAGAGAAGAAAGCCCTCCTGGAACCACTGACAAAGCATGAGGTTCCTATTATGACCATGTCAACTGTCACTGAAGATGGGGTCATCGATGTGAAGAAGGAGGCATGTGAGAAACTGCTGGCTCATCGTGTCGAGGTGAAGATCAAGACAAGGAAGGTCAATGACATTCTCAACCGGCTTCACCTGGCAGAGCCAAAGAAACGAGACGACAAGGAAAGGTTGCCGCACATCCCTGATGCCGTACTGAAGAAACGCCAGGGCATTGCTATCAAAGAGAAGAGGAAGCTGGAGCGTGACATTGAGCTGGAGATGGAAGAGGAGTACACCCTGGACCTGAAGAAGCACTATGATCTGCCCGAGGATTTCAAATATGACAAGATCCCTGAGGTGTGGGAGGGCCACAACGTAGCTGACTTCGTCGACCCGGACATCTTGAAGAAATTGGAGGAGCTGGAGAAGGAGGAGGAGCTGCGTGAGCAAGCCGGCGTTTACGACAGCGACGAGGAGACGGACTCCGACTATGAGGAGGTTCATCAGCTGGCCACCAAGATCCGCAACAAGAAGAAGATCATGAAGATCGATAGCGCGATGCGGAAGAACAAGACGACGGCCACCATGCCGCGCACCGGCCGCGGCCACAAGCGCGAGCGCAGCGTCAGCCGTCTGCGCGGCGACATGGAGGAGCTGGGCGTCGACATGAGCGACGTGCAGGGCACGCACTTTGTGGCGACGGCCGAGGCGGACCGTGCGCGTTCGCTGTCGCGGCCCAAGGTGAAGAAGGCGCGCGCCGATTCGGAGGGTCGCGTGCGCTCTTCGTCGCGCACGCCGCGTGACCAGCTGGGCGTCAAGGACGAGAAGACGCGCCTCCAGCTGCGCAAGATCGGCCGCAACGCGCAGAAGAAGCTGGCGCGCAACGCCAAGAAGGGTGAGGCCGATCGCGTCATCCTAGACATGAAGCCCAAGCACTTGTTCGTCGGGAAGCGCGGCGTCGGCAAGGCGGATCGGCGGTGAGGTGATGCCCGGTGCGTGAGGGGTGCGTGGGTGTGGCGAGATGTATGGCTCAGCTGGCAAGCTGGAGCGTGTGCGACTTTGGGATGTTCTGGAGGTGTTTTTCGAATGTGCCTTGTTGGCTGACATGTTGAACTGTGATGCGTATGCTCGTGCCCGGCGTTTGTAATTATCGTGGGACTGAATGCGATAATTTGCAGTATACTTAGTGACGCGTTTGCTTAAAAAATGTACATCATTACTGCATCCAAAATGAAGGAAAGCGAAAAGTATCTTGATTCCACTGGCTGCCCGTTTTCATTCAGGGAAGTGGCCTTGCTAATGCTTTTGTCGTTTGGTGCTGTAATATCCTGGCTTTGTGGTGCCTGGAAATGTTTTCGGAATCATTTATTACAGAAAAGTAGTAGGATAACTGCGGGTGGATACATTTGTGTACGCATGTTGGACGTTAAGTCGGTATAAATAAAACCGCTGGATTGTGTTCGTTATAAAACGGCTACCTGCGCTACAACTCGAAGCAGAAACAGAAACGGACGCATGCAGTGAGGCACGAACTCATGCCTGCGTATAATGCGTGATCAACACGTCCAGCGGGATGAACGTGAAGATGCGAAAAAAGGGTCCACTGAGAGAACCGCACTCCAAGGTGCAACGGTCCACCCATCCAGGTGGCGCCATCTTCGCCAGCTCATGTAACGCCAGGTGGCGTCGAAGGCCGTCGCCCCGCGGACAGATTGGTTTATGGGTTATTTCTACAAAGGACGCTTGACACCCTGTTTGGCTCGACGGGAGCAATGCTTTCGAGTGTAACAACGTTCCGCGTGCATAGATCACAGTCCTCATAATGTTCATATGGCCCAGTTGTTGCGAGTGCATTGCAACATTGACTTCTCCCAACGCGCCGTTTTCGGGCCTTGCATACCTGCGTAGGAAATTCGCAGCCTGTGGAGCAGGTCGTCTCGAAAGGCTTCCAGCCTTCTCACGAACTGGCTCACCGTTTCACGGATGGATCGGTTGGTGCCGACCACTTCCGGTCAGCCGTGTGTTTAATTCGCGGTACGACTCACGCTTCGCTAAGTTTAGACGCTGGCGGGGCTCATTGATGTCACGGGCGCCGGTAGACTGGTCACTGCACCCAGTGGCTCCATGTCCGATCACAGGTCCAGGGATTCATCACCATGCAAAGTGTGGGCGCCCGTGCACGTCATGGGGTCACTATCCATCACCATCAGCTGTTGAGAAAGCATGGCAAATAAACAACCGTACGCCATACCGCCGTGATGACACTGGCAGTGGCATTCCCTCGCTTCTCCTGCACAGACACTAATAGCCGCCGTGATATTTCGGTCTGGCTGGCGTCTCACTCTGATAAGTAGTGGTGCTGCTTCACCTGTTCTCGGAACTTGCACTGTCGGCATCTGTCGACTATTCGCCACTGAGAAACGTCGGATGTCATCCAGTTAAACCATTTCCACGGCCACCTTCCTTGAAGATTCAACCCGAAGCTTTTGAACGGATGGAATGTTCTGGGATCAGAGCCCACGCTAATCAGGGATCAGAGCACGCTCGTTGCGTGCGTCCTGTCTCCCGCCATCCGATCGCGCAATTCCAGGGCAACGGCAGAATCTGAGGTAACAGTTTAACTTGCCGCAATGTTCAGCACAGCCTGTCCTACCTTCCGACAACAACCGCCCTTTGGGGCGGCCGCTGCCACCGCCCGCAAGCCGTATTTGTCCAGATAAAGTACCGAGGGTCTGCGAGGACTCGAACCCACGCCGCCACGGATGGGTGGATCGGAAAGCACGCGAGCTAATTAGCTCCGCCATCGGAGGAATCAAAGGTGTCCTCCTTTTCCTTGTAGATATTGTCGCAATTGTCTTTCAAGGTATCACCATATCCCTCGAAGATATTTTCATAACGCTTGAAGGTATCTTTATAGCTCTTAAACGTATTTTCGTAGCTCTTGAAGGTTTTTCAAACCCCTTGAATATATCGTAATAGCCCTTGAACGCGTTTGCATAATCCTGAAATGCATTTTCGTAGCCCTTGTAGGTACCTTCGCAGCCCTTGAAAGTATCTTCATTGCCCTCGAATGTATCTTTAAAACCCTTGAAGCGATCTTCAAAAGCCTTTGAAGGCATCTTCACAGTTCTGGAAGGTGGAAAGTTTGACGTCTATAGCTCACTTTGAAAGCTCGGTTTGCCCGCTTGTCGAAACGCCCCTTCGCCTCAGCCGGCTAGCCGGCCTGCTAGCACTACACTCGTTACTTGTTCGTGCCTCACCTGTATCCACGTTCGCGATTCCCCCCACCGTCGTTACCGCAGCACGCGTCATGCCACACATGTTACAGTGCTAACCAGTGCCTGTCCGTGGTGCTACACCGTCTCCCGGAACTCGTTCTCAGTCTGACTAACAGAGACGTGACTATGAGCGACGTTACGGGGGGCGTGGGGGGGGGGGGGGCACGCATCCCTCATAACCTCCCAAACGTGGCGGAATATTCCCCACAGCTTCAGAGGAAGAGAGCCAATATTGCTAAACGCATGCACACGCGTTCTGGTAACGTAGTTAAACACACAAGACTACCCACAAAACGCTGCGAGTATGTACCTCACGCACTTATTCCAACGCCATACAGCGCGTTCGCCTCTGACTGTTCAGGAGCTGGCCGCCTAAGGCCCATCCGGTGGCCGATGGGGCACCTCTGATTGCCCAGTGGCCCTTGCTCCTATAGCCTTGACTACTGAGGTCTCTCTGGCAGCTCAGAGGCCCGTTCGGTCGCCAGGGCCATATAGCTGCATTCTCATGACCACCTGGCACTCGGGGGTCCTTTTAGATGTTAGCGCCGTTTCGGCTGCCTAGAAGCCTCTCCTTCCGCTTAAGAGCTCTTCTGGTTGATCGCGCCCCCTCCCCCCCCGCCGGTCGTTCAGGGGCACTTCGGACACCCAGGTATGGCAACAAACGTTGAAGGCCCTCTTTTCGGTGCTTCTTTGGCCGCACATCTCTGGCCGCTTCTCTGGCCGCGCATCTCTGGCCGCTTCTCTGGCCGCGCATCTCTGGCCACTTCTCCAGCTCTTTGATTGTTTAAGGGCCTGTCTGGCCACGGAGGAGCCAATCTGGCCACGGAGGAACGCTTCGGCACCTGATGTGACTCTATGGCTGCTCAACAGGCTCACTAGCTGCTCAGAGCATATATAGAGATCCGGCGGGGGTCGGAGGGGGGGGGGGGGGCAGCCAAACCCTTCCCGGCCCCAGGAAGTCTAAAAGCCTAAGCCTACAACTTGGAGGTCCAAAATTCTGATGGCCCATGGAGGGGAAGGGGGTTGCTCCCAGAAGCGCGACGGGAAGATAAAGGACCGTAATGAATAGGAATGTCCAGAAGAGCTTCACTTTGCAAGAATAGACATTGGCAGCACCATACTCCCTCCGGCTGCTCAATAAGCCCGATCTGGCCACCCCAGGCGGTCTTGCCGTTCAGTGGGCCTTACCCGGCTACCATCGATACCGACCGTTGAAACGGCCCTTTTGGCTACTTCGTACTCTCTGGCCTTTCAAATTCCATTATGGATGCAGCGGGATCTCGCAACTACACAGGGTCTCTTTGGCCGGTTGTTGGCTACATCAACCTCTTATGTCTGTGTGCTCAAGGCCGCCTGCCAAGGGGGGGAGGGGGACCCTCCCTCCCCCCCCCCCCTCCGGTCGGTCATGGACCGTTTTAGCCGCTCAGAGCGCTCTGGCCACTAAGAGTTTGCTCCGGCCACTGAGGAGCCCCTGGTCGGTGGCGTCCCCTCTTGCTGCTCAGGGGCTTTACTGACCATCCAGGGCCTCTGGTCGCCAAAGGACTTTGTTGCCTAACCTGATAGCTCAGTGGCTCCTCTCTGATGGCATGGTGGCCCTTCAGAACACGTAAGTGCTCGTCTGGACGCTGGGGCCTCACGGGGTGCTCAATGATCCGTTTGGTCGCCAGTCATTTGTCTGCATTCTGGCGACCCGCTGAACACTTTGAGTCTCGTTAGTAGCTCGAGGCTCTTTTGGCTGCTCAGGGGCCTTTCCTATCGCTCAAGAACCTTTCTGGTCTCTCGTTGGCATCAGTGACCGCCTAATAGCCCTCTGGACGCCCATTGCTTTTTGCAAAAAACCTATGGGTTTTCTCTCTGCTCAGTGATGATGCAGCTAGGGGTGTGGTGGGGTTGGGGCGGGGCATCCCCAAGGATGGTGTAACATCTTCGCTTCCCGAATGCCCCCATTCTGGGGTGAAGTATTATCGTAAGCCCTGGGGGTTGCATGCCAAATATGAATTTCAAGCTGGTCTCAGCCGCTCACCTTCCGGTAAGTTGCCGGAGCTATGTTCCTCTGTCCTGAGGTCGGTTCCATCGAAGCCGGTAACCACCATTCCACCCTTCCACCCTTTAAAAATGAGCTCATTACGGAAAACACACAGCGAAGCTTATGGCCGGCGCTGGGGCCATGTCCAGGTGAAGCTCGAGAGTGCGTTTTGTGATCGAAGCCTGTTTGTATGTCACCAAGTGTTTCAAGCGTCAGGTGCAGAAAATGGACAACCAGCTGTAACGGGACAGATGAACAACCAGCTGTTACGTGACAGATCAGCAACTGGCTGCAATGTGACAAATGAGCAACTAGCTGTAACGTGACAAATGGACAATCAGCTGTAATGTGACAAATGAACAACCAGCTGTAATGTGACAAATGGACGGTCAGCCGAGCAGTCTTACAACCAGCAACCAGCGGCCAGAAACACCAGAATTTGCTGACGCAGGAACAAAACAGCTGGATTGTCCTTGGCCCAGAATTAAGGCGCATGTCGAAGTATCATGGCATTTAAAAAGCTGAAAGGTGAGTCATCATAGACGACAGTTTTCTTGATAAAGAACGCTACGCACGTCGCCACGCGCTTTCATAGAGTGTCAGCGACTGCATTGGCCCTGTTAGCTTTCAGGGGCTATCGCGCAACTGGCATTTGAACCCAGACCCCCGCGTGGGTGGGGTGGGGGGGGGGGGAGTCCGACGCTCTAACCGCTCGGCCATGACGCCCCGTATCACGTGGGACTGTGCGAGCGTCAGGTGGCAGGTGGCGGCGGGTTGCCATCCGGTCTGCTCGGCATCCGCCGGCTTTTGCCGCACCTTTCCCACAGAAACCACGGCGCTCCCGCTCACCCTGCCGTACACGTAACACAGTAAGAGGTGGGACTGCCCCCCCCCCCCCCCCCAATGTACGCCTAGCCCCTCCTTGCTATTCTCCGTTGGGGAGAGACGTGTGCCCGTCATCCCGTCTTTGGCATTTCGGCGGACTCGCGCAGGAATAACTCACTACTCGCTCACGCTGGTGTCAAACACCGGTGCAAAATTTGTTAAATGTGCTCTGAACGGCATTGCTTTTTATCATCGAGGTGACGCAGAGTCATGCTAAAGAAACTCCGTGGCTTTAGCTGCTTAGGAGTTCGGGCTTTTTTGGCTGTCCAT